CAACCAGTACTAACATCCATCGCAGAGTCTAACCAAGAATATAAGAAGCTGATAAAAAAGCAGTTTGAACAATTACATAATGTAAGCCAACAACTGTTTCTAATTTCTTTCGATGTGAATCAACTGCCTCAATATTTACCGTTAATAACATTTCAAGCCGCCGATACAGTAACGCAAGCAAATAACCAGCTTAATCAATTAAAACATTTTAATGAAACAATTAGAAAGCTAAACCAAGGATTGATAAGAATTTCTTTAAATACTTCAAAATTATTTTACCCTGCTCACCAGAATGTTCATTAGATGAAATTGAAAATGTTAATGTAAATGTATACAATAACGAAAGATTTCCAACATTAATGGTAAATTTTACAACATTTTACGAGATACCACTAACCAAATATTTCAAGCAGATGCATTTACATTATATAATAAAATAATACACACACTTGTAAAGTTACATATAAAGGTCCAGAATATGTATTAGTCAACATCACCGATTATCGATTCTGTGAGATTAGCGAGAAGGACTTGAAAGGTCATAATCCTATTTTAAGAAAGTATCGAATTGTAAAGAAAACTTGAAGAAAATTGAACTTTGGAAGAATGAAGTTTGTTTCAGCAATAGCCCTAATGTTACCACATACGCAGAAACGATTCAAGTTAAACAAATGGGAGAGCAGTATTTAATACATTGTGCAGGACACCCAATTACTTTATATAGTAATATTAAATATATTTGTCCAAATAATGTGATAAGATTATCAAAATATACTAATTTTACTATCGATGACCTAGAATATACAGTTCAAAAGTTCCAAATTCATAGTCAAGGTTCACCGGTATCAGAACATACACATGCAATCAATTTACGATTAACTCAACCATCGGCTAAAGAATTACAAATTGAACCACTTGATTTCACATTAATCGATGAAGCTCAAGAGAAAATTGAAACAAGTATCAATCACCTTAAAATCAATTGGAAAATGAATGTACCAATGTGGATTTGGATACTTATTAGTATTACCATCAGCTTCTTGTGTTGTGTTATTGGTTGTAGATTAATCCCTTATCCAAAAAGATCAATAAACTCTGTGATAGTTAATAGAGAAAATAAGGAAAATAAGGACATTATTATACCTTTACATCAGTGTTATTAATACAAATAAAATCAATGCTCCGGTGCTGGGGCAGGTTTTCGAAATTCTCCGGTGATGGAGATAAAATTAATTAAATAATGATAAATTCAATTCACCCGGTGATGGGAATAGAATAAATTAAACCAAAATCATCTTTTCACCCGGTGATTGGGTTTTCGAAGTTCTAATGATAAAAGTTTAATTAACCCGGTGATTGGGTATTAAAATTCAAATTTATGATAAAATTTCAATCAGCCCGGTGATGGGTAATTTAATACTTATTATTCAAAACTCCGGTGATTTGGGGTAGATGAATAATTGAAATTTTCTTCTTTCTTTTCTTTATTTTACAATTAGGATGGAAGACGACTGGAATGCAACAAATGCCTCTCCAGATCCAAAGCTAATCGCTTTCCAAAAGAAAATGGAAAATTTACAACTAAAAAACGGTCCAGGTTTCTTCATTTCATCAAAACAAAAAAAGAAAACTAATCAAGATTATAACAATCATTTTAAACCAGTTTCACCAAGTTCAGTATTTAGAAAATGTTATCTGATTTTGTCGATCTTCGCCTCTAAATACACTAATTACTATGGTCATGTTTGGAGACCAGAGTTAGTATCACCAGATTATGATATATGTGGCACCCCAAAAGAGATGAACAAATTCACGAAGTTAACAGTCACAGCAAACCACCCGGACAAATTACAAACTGCTCACCAAAACTTATTATATTACACTAGAAAACTAAATTACCAGAACAGTAGAAACTCAACAAAAATCAATCTTATCGATTTACCAGAAAAACATTGTTCCCTATGCTTCCGCTTTAACCACACTAAGATAAATTGTGAATACTGCTCATACTGTAGTGAACCTGGTCACTTCAGAAAAAATTGTCCTGAATTACCTTTTAAAACTGATCAACAAGTAAATATAAATACCGTGGTACAATCTAGACCAACAAAATATTCCTATGCACGAGAACAACGACGAGTTAGAAGAAGAAAATTAAGGGAAGCATATGGAGGTAAACCTTTTTGGAAAAACCTAAATAATCCAATACCAGAATATTTAGAAAAATATGTTCCGATTGGCCCGAAAAATAATAAAAAAGAAACATTATCCCTTGACATCGAAGGTGATGGAAATAATGGTGTAGGAAGCGTTCATTTATCAGGATGGTTTGGAAATGTAATTAGAATACAAACAGTATATTATGCTCAGGTAAAAAACACTACAATATCAAACCCAAATACTCGAATCACTGGACTACAAATCAATGATTTAGCAACAGGATTAAGCCTGGACGAGATATGTCAACAAGTACGAGAATTAGCCATCGGAAGAAGATTATTAACACAAGGGAAAGACGATTTGAATAAACTCGAGTTAACGACATCTAAACTAAAAGCATCGTTCATCCAACACGTTGACTTACAAGATCTATGGCCTGGACAACAACCAATAGGATTAGTTTCATTAGATAAATTTTTATTCTTTAATCATCAAAAATTACGTAGAGATGATGATAAACATGTAACCATTGGACATTCTCCTGAGAGAGATTCTCGAGTCACTCTTAAAGCGTACATCGAATTACAAAAGATGAAAGATAAAACATTCCTGTCCCCACAGCTGAAGTCGTTCGAGATATGGTAAAAATGGGACAAAATATTCATCACTGGCTCCAATTGCATTCAAATAATCCGATCGAAATAATCACTCTAGACTGATACGTCTGTCAACCTTAACTGTATTAACTCTGTATTTTAATATCGTTTATATTTTTTTATATACTTTGTAAATAATGTCCGGTGATGGATAAAATTATATATTAATTAATTTCCTAATAATTGTAAATCAACGGGGACGTTGATACTTTTCTATGTACCCCCGAAGAACTGTAACCAAACTGGTTACACCACCAGTTTCTTTGTTCAACCAGGTACCACCTCTCACGTGGTACCTGGTTATCCTTATTGGATGAAATTTGAGGAAGAAGATGAAGATAAGGGAGAAGATAATCTCCCTCACTAACCATATAATGGCCAGTTTTCGGCCATTTTATGTATGGAATTCGGGGTAGAATTTACCCAAGTTAAAATAATTAAAGTTTGTTTAAAGTAATTGTTTTATTTGCTAAGTCTGTGCACTATTAATAGAAAAAAATTTTACTCTGTTTGTTGTTTTCATTTCAAATGGTAAAGGAAAAAAATTTAATTGTTTAGTTAATTACCATATTCGTGAGCTTAATTGAACAATTAAAACTTTATTGTGGTGTGTAATTAAACATTTTCCGAGAGAGAGAGAGAATAGTTTAAATTAATCAAATTGGTTCTGTTTGGGCTCAAGTGATTAAAATCAATTATTAATCAATCAAACAATTAAGCTGGTTGATGATTAACTTTTTTATTCATCACCCGTTGATTGTGTTGATCTTTTTTTATCAACATCTCAACTTTTAGCATATAATTAAGACAATAATTAGGATGATGAGGATGAAGATGAGGATGATATGGTTTATACCTTTTTCTTACTTTATCATCTTCTTTCCGATTAGAACTTTTCATTTCATCTTGTTGAGCTTTTCATGTAAGAGAAACAGAAACTTGACATTCTCATTAGATTCAGATTTCCATCATGATCATCATGAATTGAGTGGGTGGTAGTTTGTAGGTTAAGCAATAATGTCACCATTCAATTCATCGTATTGTTTTTTTCTGATGAAATGATAATAAAAAAAAAACAAACAAAATTATAATGAAAAATATTATCAAAGAGATGAAGATGATGATGATGGTGATGGTGAGAAAGGGGTAAGGATTAAGATGATTATGAAAATCCTTCGATAATTAAAGTTAACCTGGAACGATCTTTGTCTCTCTCTCTCTCTTTATTACTACTCAATTTTTCATCTCAAGAGATTCAATTAAATTCACTTCCTTCCAGCATCTTTAGTCAATGGAATAGAGATAATGAGAAGATGAAGGAAAATGATGAGGATAAAAAGGAAAAGGTGATGACGATGATGATGATGTGGATAAGGATGGAGAGAGAGACTGATGTAATGAATTTTTTTCTTCATCAGTTTAATATCTCAAATTGAATACAATATAATCATTAGCATCATCAAATGATGAAACTTTTCCTCCTATTGCTAAGGCGCCATCTAACTTACCATGTTGATATTATTTGAAACCCTGACTTTAACTTTGAGTCATTTTATCATGAAACTTTCCCCTGAAAATTGTTCCAATATTTCAATAATCTTAATGATCATTTCACTTTGAAAACTTGACCTTTTCATTGAGACATTTTTTCATATCTATCACACTATTTTATCTTACTGATCTTTCAAAGTGAGAACTCAGATTATTAAGGTAAGGAAGATGATGATGATGATGACAGTAAGATGCTCATGGGTATTATTTGTCGTAAATGTTTATCTAATATCAGCGTGAAGGTAAAGATTAATCGTAATCTGATTGTTTGTCATTATTTGTCAATTGAAGATGAAAAATGATGTCCTTATAAGAGAGAGTGAGTGAGTGAGAGAGAGAGTGAAAATGAAGGTAAAAAAATTTTCTTCAAAAGGAATAATAAATTTCGCCAGAAACTTGTGACATTTTCTGTCATAAATAAGCATCTGATTAGTTGAACTTTATCATGAATCAATGAAAATCTGTTGAACTGGAAAAATATATTCACCAACTATCAATATTTGAACAATCACTTTCAAGCAATAACGTTCAATTGGTAATCATGTCAAAATATTGATTGTTGTTCAGATCTTTAATTTTAAATTCTCATGTATTAATAATAATTTTTTCCCTCTCTTTCTGAATCTCACTCAGAATGCCATGGAGGTCCCAATGAAAGACGATTACTATCAAATCTATTGTATGATTATAATCCCCTTGAACGACCAGTTATCAATGAATCCGAGCCAATCCTTGTGAGCTTTCATTTAACTTTGCAACAAATCATTGATTTGGTGAGTTTATCCAGATTATCATGAAAATGAATTCAGAGAAAGTTCCTGGAAAAAATTAATTCAAAAATTGTTACAATAAAAAGTTAATTAAATCACTAATATCAAAATGAATTAGTAATCAAATGGATTAGCTAATAATATTCTTGAAGATTATTATCAATGCTCATCAATCATGACCTTGTCTGAGTATATCATGTAACCAGAACTGAAGAAAGTTCAACTTTTTGTCTCGTTTTTGTCATGTATAAAGTAAACAGGATGAATGAAACTCTGCAAAAAGTTCATCTCATGTTCTGATTCTGAATCTAAATGTCATGATAACTTCATCAGATCTCGAGATTCAACATGATGATAATATGCTTACTCAATGTATTCATTTGTATTTTATGATAATTTCATCTTGATAATAACAATCGTCATGAATAATAATACAAACAGCCCAAGTAATCACCATGAAAACTACAAAGATTCATCAATTTGAGATTTGAAACAAAATGTTTCACAAATGAACCATGAAAATGATAACATTTTTCCCCCTCATTCTCATTGATATTGACTTGGAATAAGATTCAGTATCATGTTGACTATATCTACAAAATCTCTCAGGGTATTCATCTTGATATTGTAAAGATAGAAATAAGATTTTCTCTCTCATTTACAGAATTAATTTGATTGATTTACTTTACGATTACAGTTGTATCAATATTAGGAAAGATTTGATTACATCTGATTTAATATGAGAAAATGATAATAATAATAATCGTAACACCATGATAATGTATTTCGATCATGATTAGATTATGATTAATTTGATTTCATTTTGATTTTACAGGATGAAAAGAATCAAATTTTACAGTCAAGTATTTGGTTGAACATGGTGAGTTCCAGTTGAGAATCAGTATTAATCTTTACATGGATTAATTGTTCATGGAAAGTGATACAATCTTATTAATTCCTTAGGAATGGATCGACACCAATTTAAGGTGGAATACAAGTGAATATCCTGGAGTTAAGAATATCAGAATTTCAGCAGGTAAAATATGGACTCCTGATGTACTTCTCTACAATAGGTGGGTTATTATTCATTTTTTTTCTGTTTCTTCATGTTCCCGGGGGGAAAAGTTCATCCAATTAATCTGAACAATATTTCACCAGTGCCGATGATAAAATTGATTCAACTTTACACACCAATGTGGTGGTGGAAAGCAATGGTAGCTGTCTTTGGGTACCTCCGGGTATTTTTAGGAGTACATGTAAAGTAGATATTACTTGGGTAAGAATTTATAATAATAATACCAAAAGAAGAAGCAATTATTTTTTTTCTCATCATTTCCGTTTCCGGTTTTCACTTTTCTTTCTTCATCTCTAGTTTCCTTTTGATGACCAAAAGTGCATCTTAAAATTTGGCTCATGGACTTATGATGGTCTTGCCTTGGATTTAAGGTTATCTAATGAGGAGGGTGGTGATATCTCAACTTATATACCCTCAGGGGAATGGATATTAATTGGTCAGTATTGACATTCTCATGTTTCAATTGATAATTATGATGACTAAATGAATCTGCTCATTTTTTATCAATCGAATTTTTTTTCTATCATTTTCTTAAGGTGTTCCTGCTCGTCGACGGGTCGTTCAATATGCTTGTTGCCCTGAAACTTACGTTGACATAACGTTTTCTGTTCATATCCGTCGGCGTACTTTGTATTATACCTTTAATCTAATTGTCCCCTGTGTCCTAATATCATCGATGACCCTTCTTGGATTTGCCCTTCCACCTGATTCAGGTGAAAAATTGACCCTTGGAGTGACCATTTTACTCTCAATGACAGTTTTCATGCTTCAGCTCAGTGAAACATTACCACCAACCTCTGAATCAATTTCAATCATAGGTGAGCTCCGGTCAGCAAATTATTATGAGATGAAAAGAGTCAACAATTGTTTGGAAAACTTTTTGTTTTAATTATCATGGATCATGGAGATTGAGATTTGATTCAGAGTCGGAACTTTTCAAGATTTTGGTTAAAAACAAACCTTTGGTTATAGAGTTTAACTTAACTTGTTGAATTGTTTATTGAATAATCGGATGAACTTCATGGTAGATTTCATCATGATAATATTAATAGATATTGTTTACTTATTTGTCTTCATTGGTTTTATCATGGGTTTTTTAGATCTGATTATGAACTTATCAGAACTTTAATCTGAGTTTCCTTGTCTTTTTGCCCCTTTTAGTTGGTATATCCTCTAGGCCATTATGGATGATAACAAGCTTATTATCATAATGATTAACATACTTTATCATTTTCATTCATGTTGATCATCACCATGCTGATCAACTGATATACTAGCAATTTAAATATCTGCAATGAAGATCATCATGATCATGAGAAGAAAAAACTTCATGTATAAAACAAACATAAAATTTCATTCTCTTGCCTTGAAGGTGAAACTCATGTTTTTTTTATCACTTTTATCATGAGAATTTATCTGAATAAAAAGTTATTCCTTAACATTTATGTGCTTCCTGTAAACGAGTGAATATTCATCATGAAATAAAATTCTGGAAAATTGTGTAAAGAAGGATAAGCAAATACGAATTGTTTATTACTAAAATGGAAGAGGTTCAAAAAGAGTTACCTATTGTTCAGGGTGATTCAGTCAAATAAGAACATGAAAATCCACAAGATAATTCACAGATTCCAGAACTTTTTTTTCTTCTCTTTCTCTCCATATAATTCAGTTAAGTTCATTTTCTACAAAAAAAAAATTTTCTTCTCATTCTCATAGGAACTTATTTCGCTTGTATCATGATCATGGTTGCATTTTCGGTGGTCATGACTGTGGTTGTACTCAACTTCCACCACCGAGCAACCTCTGAATACCAAGAGATGCCTCCATTGGTGAGTATTCAATGATCACTTGATTAGTTGATTAGTTGGCTAATTAAAAAATTTCATTGGAAATAATGAAAAAAAGTTAATATCAAACCTTTCTAATTTGATTAGTTTATCCTGTTTGGTAATAAATACCATTGAGAATACAAGGTTTCCAATTTAATGATTAGATTAATAATCAAACTGAATGATGATTAAGTGATCAGTGATTTTTTATGATGATTAAATGTTTAGCTGATTAACTTTTACAACTTTCATTGTTTTGATCGTTAAATTAATACGAATGAAAAAAAAATCGAGTTCGTGATCTCGAACTAAACTTTTTTTTTGTTTCTAAAACTTTTTTCGTTTTCATCGAATTTACTTTGAACAATCAAACTAATTAATTATTCAATTTGCTTGATGATAATTAAATTTTCAGGTTCGTCGGGTCATATTGGTTTGGCTTCCATGGATTCTGAGAATGGAAAAACCCGGAATTAAACCGCCGCCGAACACAGGGAAAAGTAAATCACCCGCCGGTGAAAATGGAGCTGGAAACAATTCTGAAAGTTGTAATATAAGTATACCAGTAATTGGAGGTGGTGGTAAATCATTAGCACAATCAAATTTATCTAATCATCATCATCATCATAATCATCACCATCATCATAATCACTCATGTACACGACAGCCAATAACCGATAACGATTATAATACAATCAGCTCAACAATTAAAGGCTACTGTGATCCAATTACAAGATTGAATAATACTTTTAATCATAATTTTAATTCAACTCATCAATTAAATCATCATCAGTCACATCATACTTTACCTCACACCAAACATTGGGAATCAACCGGTATCTGTGGTGGGGTAGGAAGCGGAAGTGATGGAGCTCTTCATCTTGGTTGTCATGGTGGTGGTGGTGGTGGTGGTTTATCATCATCTGGAATTGATGATGAATATTTAGTTAATTTAATTGGAAACAATAATCAACGTAGTTCAAGTAATTGTCCATGCTGCTTAGCTCATAATCAACATCAACAAGTTAATCATCCTAATAAATGTCCTTTTAATCAACTTGGTGGTGCTACTTCATGTAACACTAATTGTCCAGGTTATAATTGTGATCAACTGACCACTGATCATCAAGATTCAACAGGTGATGGTGTTGGTGGTGGTGGTGGTCATCCTAATGAAGTAAATCCTCTGCTCAATGAATCATCTTCATCGCCTAATCATCAGCAACAATTAACTTCTTACCAATCAACTGGATGTTGTTCATTCATTTGTAAGGGAAGGGAAATTAGCGCCATTTTAAGAGAGCTCAGATTCATCACCAACCGGATGCGGAAAGAAGATGAAATTGAAGAGATTATCGGAGAATGGAAATTTGCAGCCATGGTCATGGATCGATTATGTTTAATTGTATTCTCATCATTTACTGCCATTTCCACTGCAGCCTGTTTAATCCCACCAGCTAATCTTCACTAATCCAATCCAAGAATCTCCTCTCTCCAAATGACCATCAGCTGATCATCATCTTCGTCTCCATCATCATCAACAACAACAATTAAATATAAACAAAGTTATAATCAAAATGTACATTAAACCTTATGTATAATCTAATTGTTACATAATCATATCGCTAACTATTATCAACTTCCATTTATTAAATAATTAAAAGTCATTGTAATATCATTGATGACAATTAGTTAATTATAAAACAAAGTTAACAACACTTAATTATTACATGTTGTCTTATTAACAACGATATTAAATAACTAATTTATGATTAAGAGCAATTAAAACAATAAATCATTTCAAAAAACATTGTCTTTCACTAATTGTTTGCTTAATTGTATCAAAATGACCAGTCAACAATCAGTGGTCAGTTTGGTGATGTTCAGGTAAATTGGTGATTCTTTTTGGTGAAAAAAAAACTCACCAATTGAAGGAAAAAAGTTTTTTTTTACTCATCGATATTTTTTCATGTGATGTTCATTTTCATGGTTGGCCTTTTTTTGTATCATGATTGTTTGGATAAAGGATAAATGACCAATACTGACCAATGGCCCGTGGAAATAAAATAACTTTGGACATTCTATTTTCGCTATAAATAATAATTTATTTGTATTATCACCTTACTCATATTATTTTTATCATTGGTTATTTATATTTTGATAACTGTTATAAATAAACGTGAGGTCAGTATTCAAGCATTGAGAATGGTCAGTAAATGATAAGTTAATGGTCATTATTGTTTATTGGAAAATTTTCAGAATCAACTGAGTCAAAAAAATTTTTTATTTTTCTGTTATTTGTATGAGTGTATGTTTGAATTTGGTCATTGTCATGATGATGAGGTTCATCATTGATGAAATAATGACATTATGATGAATGAGAATGATAAAAGATAATGATGACAAAAAGATAACGGTAAAAATTAATTCAACTTGAAAGGTTGACATGAAACACTTGATCTTCATCATCATCATCATCTTTATCCTCTTATCATTATCGATAGAATGACATCTTTTGATATCTTATTTATTCCTTTGATTCTACTCATCATGAAATCGCCATGAAATTAATTCTTTCATTACGACAGATAAAAATTGGGAATTGAGATTCTGGTGTGTGTGAGAGAGAGAGAGATGAAAAGTTTTCGAGATGATTTCAAAATGATTTCGAGAAAGTTTAGTGAAAGTTGTAAATCGTTTCGACCTGTGACCTCCTTATTTCAGGTGACTTTTCGTCAAGTTGGTTTATTAAATGAATGAATGAAAAGTGGGAGTGGAGAGAGATGATGATAAAATGGAGAGAGAAAGAGAGACTGTTTAAGAAAAAAAGTTCTGAAAGGAGTGAATTCTTATCCATGAAGAGCATGTTCCATAGGCTTGAATCGATCAGTTATACTTCAGGGAGTTGAACAGGGATGAGAATGAGTGAGATATTGAATCAAGTGAGAATAAAGAAATGATGGTAAATGATGATAAGGATGAAGATGAGAAGAAAAAGTGAGAGAGTGAAAGGGAGAGAGATAGAAGGAGGCAAGGTCGATGTTAATACAAAGGACGATAATAACAACAACAACAACAATACCTTTAGCTAAATATACACTCCATTAACCACGAAGACAGTTTGTAAACATAGAGTATCATCCTCATCCTCATCCTCATCATCTTCATCTTCATCTTCATCCTCATCACACTTTTACAGATTGTGTAGTTAAACTGATAACCGGTGTTGAAACTGTTACCCAATAACTTTAATCATCTTTTTACCTTAATTGTTACCGTTGATTAAATTCACCAACTTGAGTTTTACCCATCAAATTGATTAGGATTTTGAACTGTTTTTTTATTTGTCGTCGTTGTTTTTACAACAATCAACAAATTGTTCAACACTTACATAGACAATAATCAGCAAATCAAATTAAAAGGTGATAAACAATTTAAAACAACCAAACAATTTTTATTGTACACACAATCAGTTAATTGTTTAACTCATCATCAAACAGTCAACATCACCACAAGTTTAATTGTGTCTTGGTAATCAGTTAATTATATTTATTATTTTCGAGTTAATATTTTTTATTAATAACATTTTCCGTCTTGAAGTTAATTATTTTTCACTTAATTGTTGATTCTATAATCACCCTAATGATTAACGGTCAAGTTAATTATCTCAACATTTTCATTTATAATTTAATTCAATATTTTGTTATGATCAATTTACTTTCTCTAATCAAAGGTAAGTCACATGTAATTTATTAATTACTTCAGCTAATTGCTAGACCATTTTTTGCTAATTATATTACTTTTAATTGCTTATCTCGTGTGTTTGTGTGTGACAATTAAGTTGATTGTAGTCAAAATGAGAGGCGATTACTTCAAGATTTACTCAACAGTTACGATCCATTGGAAAGGCCGGTCAACAATGAGACCGACACATTGGTGGTCACTTTGGGCATTACCTATCAACAGATAATTAAATTAGTAAGTTGACAATTAAAGTTAATCAGTTGATTAATCTAACAGCCTTTACCTTAGTATTTATTGATTTTTAATTGTCTTCCAAGTCAAACGGGTTAATTTAATCAACGAGTTGAATATTTTTTGAAAACTTGTTAACAAAGTTGATTAGATAAATTTTCACCTTCAAATTAATTAACATATAAACTAATTAACAGAATTGATTAGTTTAAGCTTAATTATTATTACGTTGATTATGATAATTATCACAATCCATCAAATCAATTTAAATTGTCATGATTAAAAAAGGCAAGAGTAAATTGTAAAGACAATTAGAGTGACAATTAACTTGCTGAAATTTTGATCATCACTAATTGTTGATAAATTTAAATTGATTTCCAGCCATTTGATTGTTATTGATTAATCTTTAATTAACATTTGATTTGGTTAATTGGTTGTTTAATTAAATCTGATCACATTTAGGTATTGATTAGATTGAATTAAATTAATTATCGACTGTAGATTATAATTTTGATTAGTTATTAATCATTTATATAACAATTAATTTCAGATTAGTCAACATTATGATAATAATAATGTTGATGATTGAATTAATCCCGATAATAATTAATGATAATCAAGGAATTAAAAAAATTGTGTTAAATTATCTTACGATAAGATGATTAAGAAAAAAAGTTCCAACAATTAATTGTGGTTTTATCGGAATTAATTGTTAATCAGTTTTGTCTAATTAAAGTAAATAATAATTGCTTGAAATTTCATCAGATTAATTATAACAATTAATTAGTTGAGTTATTGATTGAATTTATTGTTTCATGTGAAAAGAAATTTAGTTAATTGTAATTAAATTAATAGAAAAGAACAAATTTTTCCGCTTAATTGTGATTAAGTTTCGATGAAAAATTAACATGGACTAGTAAAAAATTCATAAATCTCATTAGATGGAAAAGTTTTTTTTTCCACTCAACTGAATAATCGTGAACATTTTATATCCATGTTCAGGGATTTCAGAACTTTCATCTTTCACTAAATCATAATCATGATGATGATGATTCAAAGTTATTCATCATCAGATTAGTTAACTAATTACTACTGAGAAGGAAGAGAAAAAGTTTCCAAAAAATTGTGAACTTTTTCATCTTAAATTAACATGAATTCATGATGAATTTTATCAGCATCATGATGATAAAAACCTTCAGGTTACTAAATTACCTGAAGGTTACCTATGAATATACAAATGCTAATGATAATGTAACAATATCATCATCATCATCATCAAGTTCATGAGTTTTTTTTTCATATTTCATGATAATAAAAACATAAATGATTAAACCTAATTGAATGAATCTGAGTTACTATCATGATATATCAACTCTCTCGATGCTCTTGACATGAAATGTCAAGTACACAGGTTAAGATATTATTGTTGTATCATAAGTTTAGATGAAGAAGAAGCAAAAAAAATCACAATCAATGGTAACAATAGAAACTGAATCAAGAATACTGAACACATGATAATGATCATGTTGCTTAATAATAATAAGTATCATGATGATGATGATGATGAGATGATACTGTTGATCAAGTTCAGTTTAATTTGCCTTGAAATTTAAGATAAACAGGAAAATCTCATTTGCATCGTTTTTGTTTTCCCGCTTTGAACATTTTCCTCATGAAATTACATCATGATGAAAATAATGATGATATTAACCAGGTAAATAACATCGATAACATAAAAATTACCTAATGATTTTTCATCTTCATCATTAGGGATCACTAGGGTGAGAATTTAAATTGTTTTTACCACCACAATCACCCATCAGCTATTTAATCAAGATGAACAAAAAGAAAAAGGTAAATAACAATAACGGAATTGATCAGAATTCTCATCAAATTGATTAGATGGAAGCAAAAGAATTAAGTGAAAAAAAAGATGGAGAAGATAAATTTTCCACTTTCTTTTCTACTTGCAAAGTTCATCTTCATCTTCATCTTCATCCTCATCCTTTCATTGTATTTATAAGTTTTATCTTCATGATGAGGATTTCACTCTGATGGAACTACCAAAAGTAGTAAAAGGATTTAAACACCTAAATCCTTAATTCTGTTTCAATGATAATAATCAGGGTGATATTGATAAATAACAAATCCCACCTTTCACCCTGAAATCATTTCCAATCCAGAAGCACCATAGATAATAACAATTAAATTAATTTCCATCCAATTGCAATCAAATTAAAACCTTTTTTCCACTTTGCTTTTTGCTGTTCATTGAATTCGCAGCCAAAGATTCAATGGTTGATTTATTTTCGGTATCTTCTCTCTCTCTCTCTCTCTCTCTCTCTCTCTCTCTCTTCCATCATCATAATCATCCTACTATTATCTTCATAGTCTTCATTTGATCTTCTTCATCTTTCTTTTGTCTTCTCTGATCGATTCTATTTCCTTTTACTCTTTCAAATTTATCCTCATCTCTTTTTCTAAGTAAAATGAATGTCTTTCTACCTGTACAAAGTTAACCAACGATTTTACTATAGCCAAAAAATATTCTCATCCCTTTCTATCATCCCAACTCTTATCATCATCATGATAACCCACTGAATCCACAATCTGATTGATGAAGTTTTTATTATCATCTTAACTCCCAATGCCTTTCATATACTCTCAGCACATGTAATAATATATTGACAATTTACTAGTGAAAGTAAATAATATATTCATTCATTTCTCATATTTATCTTTCTCATCTTAACATCATCTCTACTTCCTCCCACCTCTCTATCTTCCTCTCTCCCATTCTTATCTTCATTACCATGATGATGGACATAATCATATCTTCCGGATAACTCAGAATGAGAAGGAGCAATTACTTGTCAGCAATATTTGGCTTCAAATGGTATCTATTCAATTGAATACTTAGAATATAATATCATGAACATGAGAAGAAGATGAAATAATTCATCCAAACATGATTATTCCATTGATCATGTTTTTCTAATTCTTTTATCTTTCTCGCCCATGCTAATCATCATTTTCGGACACTGGTCAGTCTTGGACTGATATCAATTTAACTTGGAACGCATCTAATTATGGTGGACTGACCAGTCTTCGGATACCTTCAAGTAAAATATGGAAACCTGACCTTCTACTATATAATAGGTAAACGACAATTCAATTATTACTCATGATTCTAATTCTGAATCGGATGAAGTAAAAATTACTCTCTAAATAATTCATATTGTTCAAATTGTTTCCAAAAATTGTGACAATTTATTTGATTTCATAATAATCGCCATCATCATATTACATTTTTTTCAACATTAGATTCATATTGAAAATGGTAAACACTAAAAGTTGACAATTTAATTTGATTGATTTGATTGTATTTTCTTTGAGATATTTGATAATTTAACTTTTTCATAACAATCAAATGTTTACTTTTTACAATGAAAATTTATCATTTCAATCAACAATTTCAATTGATAAATAACATGATAGTTACATTTATCATCATCATCATCATGATAACATTAATATTGTCACAATTGAAAAGTTGAATTGAGAAAAGTAAACAATTCAATTAACTTTTAAATTGTTCATTTCATAACAATTAACTTGAATTGATATTGTGAGTGATATTTCCTGTAACTACTTTACAATTAAAATGAAGCCACAATCAGGATAACCAATTAGTAACAATGTAAACACATTGATTGATATTATTTCAACTGTAAATGATTAACATTCAATCAACTGAAACAATCAAAATCTCAGTAAATATTTAATATTAATCATCAATCTAATACATAAAATGATAAAACCATTAGGAAAACAATGAGAGTACTGTTACATTTACTATAATCTAATTGTATTATTTTGATAATATTAATAGTAGTTAATCAAATCAACAGCATGATCAGTCTAAATAATGATGATTAAATTGAGTTTATCATCATCATCAACAGCATCATATTAATGCTCAACATCAATAACTGAACAAAATAAACACCAACATTGTAAAAAGTAATCAACCTTTCAATTCATCAATCAATTGTTATCAACACTAAATAATCAAGAGTAAATTTTGTCTTTCATCACTTGAACAATTAAATGATTGATCACAGTTAACACTATGATCGTGGTAACGCAACTAATATCATCATAATGAGAGAGCAGATGAGCGAGTGAGTGAGTGAATATGAAGGAGAGAGAGAAAGAGAGAGTTACAATAAGAAAAAAGTGGAATTCGAATAATTTTTTAGTCTCCTCATCAACGGAAATCCCTCGTTTATCAATTTTTCTGACATGAACAAGATCATCTTCATCATCTTCTCATCTTAGAATCACTCTTTTCTCTATCACCCTGTCATCATTTCACCTTCCATCACCCGCTCTGGTATAAAGGTTACATGATCACCTTTGGTTACCTTGATAATGAAATGAGGCGAAAAAATCAAGATCAATATCTATGTAAATGTAGGTTCTAAGTTGAACTTTTGGGAAATTGAGTTGATTAAAGATCATCAGTTATTCATGAGCTCAGCCATGTTATTCATTTGGTAATTACTGACTGATTGTCGTTTATAAATTGAACTTTAAGAAATGATAAACAAATAATCAACTTGATTTGATATGAATGTTTGAATGTCGAGTTTGTTTTATTTACTTTTCTTGGTTTAATTTTGTTTTTTCATGAACAAAAGTTCAGTTCGTTATCATGATGTGATTACAACTTTGATAAGAATGAATTTTAAATGATTTGAATACCATTTGATTATTTCCATTGATAAATATTATCATTCAGAATCTTTTTTTTCTTCTACATAATCATGAATCATTTGAACTCCAACTATAGAAACTCATCACCTTGAACTTTATTCCCATTCATAGTTAATTTCCCTTCAACTCTTATCGTTATTTTCATCATGATGATAAAAATAAAACCTCAGGTAAAGGAAAAAAAAGTTCAAGGGAAATGATTGTCATTCAATTGATATGATGAGTACCTTGGTCACGAAAGATGAGAGAGAGAGAGAGAGATGATGATGATGATGATGATTTTTCCTCTCTGAAAGTTCATTAATAACCATAAGAATCTCTGTCATTTGTATCATCAGCTGATTCACTTGATTTTCTATTGATTTCTATAGATCTAATCCTTTCTTAATCTTTTAATCCCAAAGCGCTGATCCACGTTTTGATAGCACTTATCCAACCAATGTTGTCGTCCAATCAAATGGGTCAACCTTTTATATGCCCCCAGGGGTTTTCACATCTACCTGTAAAATTGATATTACCTGGTTTCCATTTGATGATCAACTTTGTAAACTTAAATTTGGCTCTTGGTCTTATGATATGAGTCAAGTTGATCTTGATGTTATCGGTACTCAAGGTGATCTATCAACATACATTGAGAACGGTGAATGGATTTTATTAGGTAATTAACAACAATTAGCAACTAATAATAAATTATTTACAATCAACTGACAATCTTACACTTCAGGTATTCCTGGTCGTCGTAACGAAGTCCTTTACCGATGCTGTGCTGACCCATTTTCCGACGTAACTTACACCATTCATATAAGACGACGAACACTTTATTATGGAATTAACTTAATCATTCCCTGTTTAATTATCTCATCAATGACACTTCTTGGTTTCACTTTACCTCCCGATTCAGGTGAAAAACTGACCCTTGGAGTGACCATTTTACTCTCCATGACCGTATTCCTATTACAATTAACCGAAACTCTACCTGCAACCTCTGATACTGTTTCAGCAATCGGTGAGTAAATTTAAAACTGATACCATGTAGCAATTAGTTAATTCAATGTCATTGTAACTATTTAAATTTGGTTACATTGTACATTAATCATTGAGAAAAATTTATTCCCTTCATCCTCAACACCTCATTTAATTACATCTTCATCATCATGTAACATGAACAACAATCAACTGATCATTACCCATGCAACTCATGATGTTACATTTACATGTAAGATGATTAACCTTAATCATAATCTTAATCTTGTTAATCATGTTTCTTTCAGCAACTTATTTCGCAAGTATAATGTTAATGGTTGCCTTTTCTGTCGTAATGACTGTGGTTGTATTAAATTTTCATTATAAATCATCCGAAGCTCATGAACTTAATCCAATGGTAAGTAAATAATTTAATCAAGATAAACACATGGTTAATCTGGTTACAATCAGTCACAATCAAATGATTGGTGGAAAACTGTTGAAACAATTGGTTGATACTCTGAAATTCAATATTAGATATTAATGGTTAGTTCATTTTCGTTGGACAATTGGTCCTTTCCATGAACGGAAAGTGACCTTAGAATGAAGTTTTCTGGTGATTTTTATTGGAACTCTAGTTGATTTCAATATTTTATTTGTTTCTAACGTATTTATCTAGAATGTTAATCGATTAGTTGATGAGATTTGAACGGAGGTCAAATTGTTCATCTTAATTGAGGAGAAAAGGAAATTTGATCAGTTGTAAATTAAATCGTAATTTTTACGCTTGGAGTGTTTTAATTACTCTTTTTTTCATCGTGGATTCTTTCAGCTAATTGATTGATTACTTTTTATTCATCAACTAAGTGCCAAGCATCAGTTTTATCTGCTCGTAATAATTATTATGACAGTTGATTAGCAATTGAAATAAACAGGCAACAATATGATAGATGTTTCTGATTACAATCAATTTGATTGATCAGTCTTTTTATTTATATAGTTAATTAACGGTAGATTAGATTGCAGATCGGATGGCCGAGTGGTTAAGGCGTTGGACTGCTAATCCAATGGGTTTTACCCGCGTGGGTTCGAATCCCACTTCGATCGAAATTTTTTTATCGAATCTCATTAGAACTTTTATTCTTCTTTTCTTTGGACTGGAAATTTTACTATTTTGATCCATGCAAGTTAAATCATCGAAATATTAAAACAGCACGTTAACGCAAGCACTTGAATATCGATGTTTTTCCGAGATCAAAACCAAGAACATTTTATTAATAAAATAGAAAATAAAATTTCGATTTCGAAAGTTCGAATTTTTGATTTTTCGATTTCTTTTATCTGATATTTTGGCCTTTCCTTTCTGATTCTGTTAAATTAATTAAGGGTCGATCCGGTAGCTCGGTTTAATGTAGATTAATCCTTATTAATCTAGGTAAATTGATTAATGTTGATTAAAATCATTTAAATCCAATTTAATTGTCCTAAAGTATTGACATCTATTGGTTTTTATTAAAATTATAATTATCACAAATTATCAATTAAATAACTTAAAGATAAAAATTTGTGAATGAAATTATCAATTGAGTTGGATACGCATGACTTATTAAAAATCAATTGTTTATATCCACCGGACACCTAGTTGAATTAAACAACAAAAAACTAGTTTTCTTAATCAACTTTAAATCAGTTTGATTAGATTAAATCACATTAAACCGAGCTACCGGATCGACCCTAAATTGGTCCAATCAATGTATTTGTTTCATTTTCACAATCATTAATTTAGTTAATTTTTCTTACTTTTTATCAAATCAACTGTTAAATTAATCCAGTTAGTTAACCTCATAATCTAATCAATTGATTGTTTCTCTCAGGTGATTAACAATTAATCTTAACTTTCCAAATTAATCACTTGATCACTTGATCTCTTAATCTCAATGAAAAGTGAAACAGCAATCAAATTGATAGAAATCAATTAATCAACTATTATAAGTAACGTATAAAAACAATACAATCAACATTAATTATTAATCAGAATGACAATATAAATTGAGGGAAAATAAAGTTTTCCAATTGTATTAAATAAAATAAATTGTACAAACTAAATTAGTTTCAAATTATTAAACATCTAAAACAAAGTAAATCAAATTAACCATAACAATGAATAAACAACATGAAAATTTAATTATTAATTGTTATTGATGATTAATATTAAATCATTTCAACTAATATTTGAAACCTTTCAAAACAATCAAGTTGATGATAAAATAGATACGATAGATTTATAAATAAATTATACACTTGATTGTGATCAAAATCCATTATTATCTAATCATAAATTGTTGATTAAATTGATTTTTCTATTTTTTCCAAATTAAATTATAGTTGAAAAAACTCATCTTACATTGGTTAGCATTCATCTTGGGAGTGAAGAGACCGAGATCAGTTAAACAACCCAACACAACGTCAACCTCACCGCCGACCCACCGGTTCACCTCAAAGGTTTACTCAATCAACCGAGATGATTTACCAATTAATACAACATCATTATCATCCCCACCTTCACCTAATCATAATCATCACCATCATCATCATGTTAATCACAATCAACATCATCAACAATATTGCTCTGAATGTGGTTACCATCAAAACTTAATTACGGGTTTAAGTCCATTCTCATCATCAAATCATCCTAATCATCAGCTCAGCTCAGCTCATCAAATATTATCATCTAACAATGTTAACAATAGTTTACCTAATTTAATTAATCATCATCATAATCAAATGATGATGTGTATCTCTTGCCGTAAATCATTATTATCACATTCTGGTGGAGGAGGTGGTGGTGGGATTAATGGTGGTGTAGTTAATTGTGACGATGAAGATGATTGTATACGAGCAGAAAATGATGATAAACTATCTCATCTTCATCATCATTGTGATCATAATAATTATCATGGTTTCCATAATAATAATAATGATGAGGAAAATAATATCTTCCATCATCATCATCCTTCATCTTCATCACCCCCTCATATTTTACCTCCTCCTCCTCCACCACCACCTCTGAAAACTTCATCCCACTGTGCCTGTCATGGTAAACAATTGGATGATATTTTAAATGAGATTCAATTCATGACAAACCGGATCCGGAAAGAGGATCACGTAATTGAAATTCTCGATGATTGGAAATTTGCTGCAATTGTAATTGATAGACTTTGTTTTGTAATGTTTTCAACCTTTTCAATAATATCATCATCGATATGTTTCATGTCAGCTCCTCATTTGATTGTCTAATTACCTTAAATCAACACAATTAACTAATATAACAATCAATTTGAATAACAAGAGAAATCAAAACAAAGCATTAAACTCAAATTGAAACTATCGAAACTTTTTTTCCCTTTCATTTGTAATAATCAACGTTCAATCTTATGCAACAACAAATTTCAAGTGAATTAAAATGATGAAAATTCCCAGCAACAATTAACTTTATCATAACAATTAACAACAAGAATATAACAAAAAATAAAACAGTAAACAATAAACTCGTCCCATTAGGTTTTCAGGCAAAAAAAGGCACAAATGATAAGCTAATTGTGTCCAAATTGAAATTCATTGAGTTTACACAGTTTCATACAATTTACTTACATTATCATCCTCATCTTCATCATCATCCCTTTTAAGTTTATAAATCATGAATCAACAGGGAGTTGACAGGGAGTTAATAATAATTATCATGATAATAGCAATGATAATATAATAACACCAACGAATTGAAAACAATGATGATCAGCTAGAGTCAGACAAACACACACACACAATATAATGTTAACTGTGATAATACAACAATAATGAAAAGGCAAAAATTAACTACTTCAACAGCATCCTCATCACCACCAACAACAATAAGCCAACAATAAGGTTTGAACACATCATTAGGAGGAGACCTTATCCTTTGTCTGTTTTTTTTGCAATCTTTGTTTGTTTATTTGGTTAAGATACAAAAAACTGATAAACTTAAGTCAAAGTTACAGGCTCATCATCATCATCATCATCCTCATCCTCATCCTCATCTTACCCTCCTCTCATTATCATCAGCTTTGTTTGGGTCAAGGCAAGAAAAAAACGAGAGCTAAAAGGAGCCTAATTCAAGGCTCTCTCTCTCTCTATCTTTATCTTACTCTCTGCTGCGAGCAAGCATTTTGTGGTCACTTGTGGTCAGTTTACTTGCAAAGCTAATTATCATTTACTAGATATTATTATCATTATTATATTTTAGACAAAAAAACCGTTGCAACTGAAAAAGAGGAAAAAAAAACTAAATTTGGTCAAGTTATTTGGGGTGGGTTACTTTTTTTTTCTTGTGTCCATTGTCCCCTGATAAAAACTGGACTTGTGATGACCAATTGCATTCAAATCCATTGAAACGGATTCAAGGTTTGCAATTGGTTATAATTGATTATTATTATTATCATTATCATTGATATACCATTACAAGAATCAATTGTTGGACAAGTAATTGTCCTTGCAAAGATATTTTTATGGTCAATGCAATTGCATTGACCATTCAATTTACAAAGATATTCAGGTTATGTCCAAACAAGAAAGAAACGAAAGAAAGAAAGAAAGAAAGAGAGAGACCAAATTTCTTTTTCTCCCTAAAGTTTTCATCTCACTCACTCAGATTTTGTGTAAATTACTTGCAAGGTATGAAAATGTATAAATTGCTATTAGTGGACTTGAGGCTCGAGGGGGTGAGTGCGTTTAAATTGTGTACCAAAGTGCTAAAAGTTATTTTACTTTTAGCAACCAACCTTTCAACAGAGTAACAGCAAAAAACAAATGATGTTATAAGAGCTTAACTTATACTCAACACGCGCCAAAATTTTTTAAGCTTAACCGGTTTTGACTTTTTCTGCTTTTTCCTCATCATCTTCATCCTCATCCTCATCATCTTCTCGGGCATCAACTTGTTTTCAAGACTCTCTCTCTCTCTCTCTCTCCCCTTTGCAACGTTGCAATACTACACAGGCTTGGCTAGAGTTATTATTATCATTATTATAGTTTGACTTTTTGCTTCTTTAAGTTGGTCAAGCACAAACATTGCAACCTGAAAGCTTTAAACGTTTGCTGGTTTTTTTGTTGCTCCTGCAAAGTTAATTTGAAATCCTAAGTTGATGATGATAATGATAATGATGATGATTTTGCTTTCTCTTTGCTCTCCATCTCTCTCTCTCTCTCTCTGTCTTTCTCTCTCACTTTCCCTCTCCCTTTGCTGTTCAGGCTGATATTGCAATTGCAATTTAACTTTATTATTACTTATCATGAAAGTTTTGCTCTCGAGTTACTTTGGTCTCATTCAGTTTTTGCAACTTCTTGCAGTTTATTGCAATATATCAAATTCAATTAGTAATCATTAATGCATTCGGATGATATCATGATTAAACTGTTTCCAAATTTACAGTGTTAATTGTGCTGTTTAATTGTTAATCATGAGGAAAATTTAATTCTTGCAAAAGTGTTTGCATTTCGTTTGCAAAAAAAAACTTTGTTTTTGTTTTTCTTGCAAAATGAAAACAAAACTTTTGCTCAAAAGTTAAATTAACTTTTTATTTTCCTCGTTTTCTTTTATTATTAATAGTTAATTCAGTTGATAAAATAAATGCAATTTTCTAATTAAATTTCATCACTTTAAAAGTGTAATGATTGATGGGATAGAATCGCAATCAAGATTAACTGATTGTCAGGTTGATTTGTCAGTTATGAGATGAAAAAGAAACTGGATCAGTTAGATTTCCAAGTTTTTCTGCTCAACGGAAATTTCAATCTCAACTTATCTCGATTTTCGGTTCTAAACAGATCACATCCGTCCATTTGTATCGCCATTAGTACAATTGCAACTTTACCCGGTTTTCGATAATCAGATAAAATTATCTATGCAAATATCGATGGGATTCACTTACTGATTACCCTAAGGTATCACAAGCGGATTCTCAACTTTTACCTTCTCAGTTTCCTATTGAGAAAATTGATTAAAATCACCAATTAGTTAATCAAACGGTTGTTTGGGATGAAACTTTTTTCCATATTTATATTTATATTTAATTGGTGTTTCAATGGATTTTTGCAAAATCCTCTCGATTAACAACTTGGTACTTTGCAATAGCCAATTTTAATTTAATTGCTATTCGGTTATAAATATAAATGTAATTTATTTTTTTACATCCAATGGTTTAGTTCATTGAACTTTTTCATGATGTTAACGTTCAATTGCAATTTTAATTATATTGCTTTTCTTGACCAGGGTAACCCTGAAAATACACTTTCCATCCGAAATTCAGGTTTTCCTTTGCAAAAGTCGCTCATGTTTGTTGTTGTTCCAAGTCTATGAAAATATTTTGATGAAACGTTGAACTTTAGGGCGAAAAGCAAGAATAAAATTTCTGTTAAAATGGAAAAGATTAACTTGTTTCTTTTTTTTTTAGATAATCGAAAATAACAATTTTCATCTTCGTCTGTTTCGACGTTCATTTCGCTGGCGATGTAATCGACCTTTCAGTGATCTAATCGCTTTAACAGGTAAATCGTAAGATCGCAACCGATCTTCGGTTAGATTCATTCTTTGTAAATCTCTTTCTTCTTGTCTTCTTCTCTTACGGGAACTGAAACTTGCACCAGAATTAACGCTGTTTCGATTTGATTGTTGTTGTTGTTGTTCGTCTCCATCTTTATCTTCGCCTTCGCCTTCGCCTTCACCGCCAGCACCATCTTCATCTTCCTCTTTTGCAGCCTCAGGATCGTAAATACTTTTCAAAATTTTCTTCTTCAATGAAAAATCTTTCCCTTTTCGACCATAAACTTTAATATCATATTTTTCCTCTTCCATAGTTCGATGTTGCGAAGTTTTCTTAAGAGTAACCCAACGATTTAAATCTTTATCATCTGCAAACAAAAGCTCCTCCGGGGAAAGACCAAAATCATTTGCAGGAACTTGACGATATCGAAAACGCGTTGGAACTTCACCAGCAATCAAATCTTCATAAATTCCGATATTCTTCTTCTCAGCAGGTTCTTTGGTAACTTTTTTCTTTTCTTTCTTCTTTCTTTTTCCTTTCGAAGTGGATGGACCATCATCATCATCTTCTTCTTCTTCTTCTTCTTCAACCTCAACCTCAACTTCATCACCATAACCATCGTCATAAATATCCTATATCATGAAATGCGAAAAAAAAATAAGAAAAGCAAGAAAGAAAGAAAGAAAGATAACCAAAAAAGAAGAAGAGAAAAAAATACATTATATAGTGAAAACGAACATACAGAGAGCGAAGAGCGAGAGAGAGAGAGAGAGAGAGAGAGAGAGAAAGAAAATGAAAAGAAAGAGAGAAGGACAAGAGTAAAAGCCCGGGAAAGAAGGTCGAAAGGTGAAAACGAACTTGAGCCCGGGAGGATAACGTTAAGTATAATATACAATATATAATAAAAGATAAACAAGAGAAATAAGTTTACTGCGCATTGAGAAAGAAAGAGAGGAAAGAGGAGGACTAAACTTTCCCCGGTAAGTACTTTCTTTTTTCCACCCTGTATTACCCTCTCCCTCTCCGTCCTTTTTCTAGCACCTTGTTATCTGGATCTCTCTTAGATTTATATTTTTTTTTCTTCTTTCTACCAGCGATGCTGCAAGCAGAAAACCGAAAAAAAATAATATAAACTTCGCCCCATTCGTTGCGTTAGCTACTTTTTTTTTTCTTCTTCTTGTTTTGTTGTTACTGCTTTTTACTGGGCAAAACCAATGATTGATAATAATAATAATAATAATATAATAATAGTCGTAGTAATAATAATAATATTATTATATGTATAGAGAAATTATGAGAGCGGATAAGAGGCAATTTATCCTCTCTCTTTCTCTCTCTCTCTCTCTGGTTTCTTTTTCTTTTGCAAAACTTACCACCAGCTCATCGTCTTCATCTTCCTTGGTTCCTTCACCTTGGTCGATTGGGTTAAGATTGTCATCTACATCATCGATACCAGGAATAAAGTCAAATTTGGGTTTGCTTATTGCAATTTCATTCGGATTGGTTGAAACGTCATAGAATTGAACATCAAACAGTTTCGACATACACTGGTCATACTTTTCGGGATCGAAATTGGTTATATCGTCGACAATTGTATCGATGTCAATCTCCTTATCGGTTAATAGGCGATCGTTTCCACTGATTTCTTTTAGTTTAGCTAATTTCGCTTTAACTTCTTGACGACGTAAATCGCGAAATCTTTGTAATGCTTCTTGTTTTTCTTTCGCTTTTCGTTCCTTTGTTTCGCTTCGTTTTGCATTTCGAATTGTTGAACCAGTTAGATTACGAACACTTTCAACTTCTCGAGGATACCTTTTGATCACTTCGGGATCGGTCTCTTGGAAATGGTAGGTTGCAGATTTTTCCGTCATTTGGGATAATTTAGATGAGATTGGAATTGCATTTGCATTTTTCTTTTCTTCGTCGTCATCATCATCACTTTCATCTTCATCTTCATCTTCATCTTCATCTTGCATTTGAGTTTTTTCTTGCAAATGATTGAGATGCAAATTCACTTGTCGATGGCTGAACTTGTGATGATAACCTGCTACTTGTGATTCCATCATCTCTATCAGCTGGGTCTAAATATTTTTTCTCTAAAATATAATCTTTAAGAAATTTCTCTCGATCATCTAAATCCTTTTTATCCCAATAATTGGCCAAGAATCCGATCCGTTTATCGCTTTTGGATGCACCTCGAAGAACCTCCGATGGATCAGGTTTCCTTTCTCGAACAGGTACTTTCTTTACACCTTTAATCAAATCATCTCCATCTTCATCATCTTGAAGAATATTTTTAAACTCTTTCTTAATACTCTCCATCTCTTGTACATAACTCGCTTTGTCAGGTCCATTTTTCGGGTCAATTCCACTGGTACCAGTTTCCATTGCTCGATCTTCCTCTGTCATACCTTTTTGCGTTTTCACCAAATTCACATGATATTCTAATAGATTCATTCCTTTAGAAGATTTCACCTTTTTCGATGATTTTCCATCATCATCATCTTCATTGGAACCTGAATTTTCATCTTCCTCAAAGAATCGCACCTTCTCATCATAGATGTGAGGATCTCTCGCTTTCAGGGCTCCATAGACCGAAAGAAATTGCTGATCAAATATGGTCTCATCAACATCGGAAGAATCGTCACTTTCACTATCATCATCATCATCATCATCATCATCATCACCTGAGGCAACACTGTCCTCACTAAGAATATCTTCACCGTATTTATCCTTTAACCTTTGATATTCCTCTTTACGTCTCCATCTTTCATAAGCGGTGGCATAGCTTTCGTTTATGGTTAGTTTACTTTTATTGGAACCACCGAGGGAACCAGAAGCATCTTCATCGTCACTGTCAAGTAACAATTTAGGCATCACAAGTGAGAGAGAGAAAGTAAATTATATATAATCACCAAGCAGAGAGAAAGAGAAAAGAGAGAAGATAGAAAGAGAGAAAATACCAAACACCAGTGAAAAAGAAAAACATAAACACGTGAGGCTTAACAGAAAAGAAAAGAGAATAGAATTTAAACCAAGCCAAAAACAAGCCGAGATTGAGAGAGAGAGAGAGAGTAAGGTGTAGACACTTGTATTAGGTTATATGTTGTATTCAACTTTTATATTAGTCGTAGTATTATTATTGAAATATAAACACAAAAAAAATGTTTCAATGTACAAGAACAATGGATTTTTTTAAGATTGAAAAATGAATTAACAGTGTGTGTGTGTGTGTGAGAGAGAGAGAGAAAGAGAGAAAAATGGAAAGAGAAAATGGAAAATAGAAAGAGAGGGAGAGAGAAAAAGGGAAAAAGAGAGAAGAGGAAAAAGAAAATGTTGGAAAAAAAATCCTATGGAAAAAGATATAAACAGACATGTGAGAAGAGAGAAGACACTAGTTGCCATGTTGATTGGTAGACGGCGTTGGAACAATAATATATTTTGGCGCCAATTTAATTTAACTTTATATTTTTGTTCTTTTTTTTCTTTTTGCAAATTCTATCATCCCGTCTCCATACGTATTGTCCTTGCAAAGGTTTACCAGCATAGAAATCGAAATTCCATCTGGTTGAATCTTTCTTCCTTAATGATTCAAATTCTTGACTTAGAAAGGCTTCATCGTCTGATTCTTTACCAAAATTTAATGATCGACACACTGATGGGTGAATTGGTGGGTTAGGTGGCATTTCAGGCATGATCCTCATTTGTGACAGATGATGTGATGATGGATGCTGATGATGGGTGAGAGGATGATGAGGATGGTGAGGATGATGATGATGACAATGAGTGTAAAATATAAAACACACAGAAGAGATGAAAAAGAAAAAGAAAATCAACTCGAAAAACAATATCAAAATAGAATATATATTTTGCAAACAAGTTTATATATAAATTACTCCACTTGGCATACAAAACAATTACGAAGATTATTAATTCTAATGCAAAATTGTGTTAATATCAAATTTTGTTTTAGAAAGAAGAATAAAAAAAAAATAGATTACACAAGAGAGAGAAAGAGAGAAGAGACAATTAAAAAGAGAAGAGAAGGAAAAAAAATAAGAAAGAAAGAGAAAGAGAGAGAGAGAACTTGAGTTGTGATAAGTGAAGATGAGAGAAAATGAACTAACATGAAGATCGAGCAACACAGTGACTGCGCATGCGCAGTTAAGTCTGAAGAATATGAGCCAAGTGATTACTCCATCTAACGGATTAATTAAAGACCACCTGATACACTTGTTCTTTTTTGGGATAAATTGTCAAGTGAATCCAATTTTTGGTTGACTTTTTAATTCAATTACGATACAATTAAGTCGATGACTAATTAATCAATTTTTTGTATAGTCAATTGATGAGTTATTTTTGAGGAAACACAATTAATTTGGATAATATTTTGGGTATTTACTGAGTCGCCATCTGGTGGATAATTTGAAGTTTATCTCTTCCTGAATCCCGCTCATTTATTTGGTGTATAATGTTGTTGACTGATTAATTAATTGTTTTTACTGTTTTTAATATCTAATCTAATAAGTTTCATGAGATCCTCCTAAAAGTAAAGCTAAATTGTTTGAACAATTGCTTGGTTGATATGATAATTTCCAAACAAATGTATTGTAAATCAAAGTATCGAATGAGTTAATTGTTGTCTCAATAGGATCACAACCAGCTTGATAACAATCAGTTTTTGGTGTTAATTTGATCAAATTAGAGCCAACCAGTTGAATAAGAATACCAAGTTTGGTTGATTGTATGACATCAATCTAAATAAAAAGAATCAAAGTTAAAAGAAGAAAAACTTTTTAATCATTTGTTTCCATCATTCATCTAATCTAAATAATTGGCGGTAAAATTTTAATGGTTACAATTAACTTACCAGTTTCCAAGTTTTGGCGGTATAATTGTTACCAGAGATTATAATCCAATTAGAATGAGTTAATTCAATGAAACTTGGAATGAATTGTGGCCGTGAATACAACGATCTGATTGCTTTCTTTGAGATTGAGACACAATTTTCCCTAAAAGAAAAAGCGATCAATTAATAACAATTGTATTGAAAATAACAATAATCAAGTTACAATTAAGTGTAAATTAGTTATAATAAACTATCCAATTTGTTTATTACTTTTCTGTTGGCGAAATTTAGTCTTTTCTTTACAGAAAAAAAAACACCGAACAATGTTAGTAACAATCTAAGGATATTTTTCCAAATCTCTTATCTTAATCCAAATTGGAAAAGAACAAAATTTTAACGCTAATCCGAAAAACCGGGAAAAAGAATCCACAAGTAAATGTATTTAACAGATTAACTTACCAATGGGCAAACCAAGAAGTGGAAAGAGTTGATTGTTGTCTGAGTCGGTGGAAAAGTCGATTGGGTGAATTAACTTGAATATTTGAAGCAAATAAACAAACATAATCTTCATTGTCCAATTTTGAGTATACCTGTTAATTGTTAGAAAGTAGAAAGTAATAATAAAAATCAATTAGAAAAAGTAATTTTCTTATTCCAATGATAAGTGCAACGAATTGTTAATTGTTACAATAAACAAAATATCGTTAACATTTTGAGGACAGTCAATTAGATTATCCATTATGATTAAACAATAATAATAACCCGTTAATTGTGGTTGATCATATGCATTGATGTAAATGATTAGACTTTGATTAACTATTTGATTATATTGTAATACTTGAATTACAATTAAAATGAGAAACTTTATCAATCATCATCATCATCAGTATGAAAATAAAAGACACTGGAAAGATTGAATTTGGGCCATTGTCAAGGTCATAATACGAACTTAAATATTAAATTAACTGTAAAACCTGTTGAATATTTAAATGATGGTGATGATGTATTATTCAAATATTCAATTATTGCCTTGAGGGTAAACAGATGATCAATCAGGAAACAACAGGCAAATGAATCAATATTAACGCACTGCTTTTCCTAGTCACAAGTTTGGCAATTCGTTAGTGTCCATCATCAATATATCAATTGTTTGTAACGATAAGTTAAATTTGACCTTTGGAAAAGTTAATGTTTGACAAATAAGTAATTGTATTATAGCTTAAAGCAATTAGACCAAAATGTCGGATTTCCGTTTCCAATGATTGATAATGAGAAGAAGAAAATAATTGTAACCTTTTAACCACAAACAGGCTTGAGATGAAAATGATGTAGATCATGATGATAGTAATGGCGCTGGTGATGAAGATGAAGTTTCAGTTAAAGATGAAGATGAAGATGGTGATGAAGATGGTGATGGTGATAATTCTGGTTAGTCTGGTTCATTGCTGATAACCAAGTTAATCAAGGTAATCAATGGAAAAGCAAAAGAAGACGGATATTGACAACAATTTTTTTCTTCTCTCTCTCTCTCTCTCTCTCTCTCTCTCTCTCTCTCTCTCTCTCTCTCTCTCTCTCTCTCTCACCTTAGCCTTTTACCACAATCTAAAAATAATTAGAGATGAGGTTAAATTTTTGAATGTGAATTGGGTCATAGTAATTATGTAATAATATGTATGTTTGAGCACACAAACATACATATCATCATTATCAATTGAAATATGAAATCATTAAAAATCAATTGAGTTAAAATAATTATCTCAAATTAGTAGATTAAATTAAGATCAATTAAATTAGATTAGATGAAAATCAGCAATTCAAATGAAACCAACAAGAAGAAAATCAATGTTTTTTTTTCTAACCTTATCGGGCCACAATTAGAAAATGTAACTTGTTCTTTTCTCTTTCTCTCTCTAACACAATCAATCGAAGACATCGAGAAATTAAGGTTTCTGTGTTTGACATTCTTAAATCAAGTTGCTGGTTCCATTTGATTTCCATCTAAAGAATCTGAGAGAAGAGAAAAAAAAAGTATAACCTCTTATTAGTATAATTATATTGATTGAAATATCGCTAACAATGTGTAACCATTTTCTAGATTAAAACGTTAAAAAACTACACAAGATAAACATGAAAATGATGATAATACAATCAATTAACACATTGGCCTGAGGGATGAAGGTAAACATAAGCAACAGTAGCATGAAAAAAAAAGTAAAACAGTAAACACAAATTAACCATAACTAAAACACTAACAATATACAAAAACCATAATGACTTTTGATAACCATTACTTGTTGATACACAATTGTTGTTACTTTGTTGGTTTTATGTAAGATTAACATTATTATAGAGTAATTTATTATCATCACAATTTATTCTGTGAGTGTTCACCGATAATTAAACACCTTAATCATCTTTAAGAGAGCAAAGAAAAAAAAAGTAAGAGATTATAATTACAAACCTTGAAAAGAGAAAAGAAGAAGAAAAGAAACAAACCAAAATGGCGACCATAGAGAAAAAAGAACAAAATTAAAAAAAGAATCAAAATCGTCACAGAAAAAGAAAAGATTAATTGTTCTAAATTGAAGATTCTCCCAGTCAACCATAATTCTAATCAAGACAAATTAATTAGAAAATGAAAAAGAATCAACTAATTAACAATTTAAATTAATTCTCCAAACAATTGATTAACTTTCACTTGAAAAGAAAAAGATTCAATCAGATGTTCAATTGGATCCGATTACTTGAGATCAGATATTTGGATTAATTAGAAAAGAATTTTTTTTTTTTCTAATTGATTTGTTTTCTTTTCACAATTTGTTAATTGTTTAAGTGAAATTTCTTTTTCTTTTATTTGATTACCTTGATTATCTTCAACTGGTGATGGTGGAAATGGTGAAAGCTTTTCAGGTTAGTATCTTTGTTTTTTACTTCTATTCTTTCAATTTTGTTATGATTCTAAAATAATTCTTACCTTGCTGAGAATCTCAATTGGTGGTTGATGATTTGATAATATGGGCCAAGAATTAATAGGGTTACTACTATTAATATCGTAATTTGGTTTACTGGTTAAATTGTTATTGTTGTTTTTATGATTATCATTTGATGGTGTTAATGAAACAATAAATGGTATCCTGTTTAAAATATTATCTTCAATTATTTGGTCTCTGGAATGAGTTGATAAAGATAATCTTTTAATCTGGATTAAATCTTGACATGAGTAACATTGTAAAGGTAAACGGTTGATTGTTGATGAATATTTTTCACTCTGTTTAGACTCATCATCATGTTGTTGTTGTTGTTGTTGTTTAATTAAGATTAATGGTTGATTGTTGGTGTAAAGTAAACAGTGTTCCTGGTTTACATAAGACCAATCCCAAAAAAATTTAACCTTAAAGGTAAACAACAATAATAATAGAAAATGAAAAATAACATTTTGTCACATACTTATTTAGATACACAGACAATTAGCTTTTACATGGATTAATACAATTGTACAAGTCAAAATCAATAATAAGATCAATGATTTATTATCATTCTTGTATTTGTTGTTAACTGATTGTTGTAATAACTATTTTCTCACTTACCTTTAACAAGATGAGTCTAATTAGGTAAAAAGTAACATGAAATGATAAAATTAACCTTCCAATCACCAGAATGAAACATAAAATTGTGAACAATTTAATCAATCGGATTAACAATTTACTTTTCAATGCTGTTGGAATCCAATTTGGTAACAATTTGTTAACATTACAAATCCATAGATGATTTAAATTTGATTGTGTTGATTTTGTTTGTGATGATGGTGACAATTTACCACAATTAACTTGTTTCTGATTAACCATAATTTAATTTCTTCTTCTTGTCTTTTTTTTTCTAGGTTGGATTAAGTTAACTAAATCATAATTTAAATTGTAGATTCAATTGTTGCTCTTGGCCCAATTTTATTTCATTTTTCCTGGTGGTCACACAATTAAATCAAATTAGATTTTTTTTTTCTAAAGATGATCATCTTATTAGTTAAGTTGATTTCAATTTTACAATCAAGTTAACTGTAAGGTAGGTAAACTAATATGATAATTTAAATTGTTGCTTCTCATATATATTTAGCTATCTATTCCCACTGAGCATGAACTGAACAACAATTTAATAAATTAGCATCAATTTTAATCCAATCAGTTTCTATAACCATGAAAATTGATGATGAAAAAGTATAACAATCAAAATCTGTAAAAGATTTAACAATAACAATTAAATTGAAAGCACAATTTATTAATTCAATGCAAGAAAAAATTATAAGATGTAAAAGTTTACAGCAAATTCAATAGACTTAAAATTTTGTTTTTATATTTAAAAAAAAAGTTACAAAGACAATTAATCATTAACAATAATGATTAAGCATTTGATTGTTTAGATTGCAATAAATTAGCAGAAAATTTAAATTTTTGTTCATTTTTTGTTAAATTGTTGTTCAATTGATTAATTGACAATTGATTAGGATGAATGGATTTAAGCACGATGGTGACAATGATAATGAAAAAAAAATGATGATAATGATTAATGATGAAAATTTATATAAATGGTGACGATTATAAACTAATCCAGATAAGTTGCTGATATATAACTTAAATTAACGACAACAATTAACGAAGTAAATAAAAGTTATAATAATTGGATGGATTTGAAATTGGACTAATATTTTCCAATGATCCCGTTTTCAGATCACCTTTTGGTGTATAAACACAAACGGTGTAAATACCTGGCGAAGTTGGATCATCATTAGTTACCTGTGAGCACCCGACTTTCTTGGATCGACGCCAAATTAATTTCGCAAAAGGTTCAACCTTTTTTGGTACCAATCCTTTGGTAAAACTGTAAAAATGGACACCCTTGTACCATTGGGCGACAAGCGCCTTACACGAAGGCGATTTAGTACCGGGAATGTAGGACCAGTTGAGAGTGTAATTGGAATAAGGTGAATCATCACTAACTGTTTTACTCATTTCCAAAGCTTTGTTTCGAGCCAAATCAAGAGCCTAACAATTAACGATAAAATATAAGAGAATACAGTTAATCATATTTGATGGAAACAACTTTGAAAGTTATTATAACATAGAAAGCAAATGGAGGGAAATTCATTGAAGAGTATTGATTGAGATAATCAACTGATATCGAAGATTAATCGATCGAGTTGAAGTTGAATTTTTTTCAAGTTTCATCGTTTCTTATATAAGTGGGAATCTCGTTAATTGTACTGGATTAAGTGATTCTTACCTCTCGATCGTACGTTAATACTGGTACTCCGTGAAGTTTACGATAATGGTTATGTTGGTAAAGACAATCGCTTAAGAAAATTAAATCCGTTGTTTCCTTAATTTCACTAGACACTTCCAGTGGATTTAGAAAACAGCTGATGAAAAATATTAAGAAAACAGGTAACATTTTGTTTGATTCACAAATTAATTAATTGACCCTTGATGATGTTTTACTGTTTTCCAAATGTCCACTTTAATTGAATTGTAAGTATAACAAAAAGAAACACAATAATAATAACAGTGTGTTAATCTCTCGCTTGTTTGTTATTCACTTGGTTCCTTGGTAACGGTAAATGGACTAACGAATGATGTTGGTCAACAACGTTATCAGGTGAGTGTAAAATTAACAATCATCATAATTTTGGAGCTTTACTCGGCTTTCCTCTCTCTCTCTCCCATCATCATCATCATCATCTCTCTCTCTCTCTCTCTCTCTCTCTCTCTCTCTCTCTCTCTTCTCTTGAAATTGGTAACCGATAAAAGAGACTTGATTTTCCCGTTAATAATTTGCCTTGAGGCGATTACTGTACTTCCAAGGAGAAAGGGAGTCAAATTGGAATGAGAGAGAGAGAGATAGAGAGAGAGAAACACCTACTCACTAATATCATCTTTTCTCTCTTTCTCTCTTCTTTATACAGGGTATATCTACCTGCTGAGAGAATCCATGGTTGTTGATGAACAGATTGAGCCCTCATCAGGTCAATGATGACGATGACGATGACGATAATGATAATTAGTATTAGGATGAAGATGAAGATGAAGATGAAGACAGAGATCTCTCTCACTTTAGAAAATCATCTTCTTGATATTTTTAAAGTGAGTCGAGGGAGAAAGCGGTCAAATTCAAGGAGTGAGCCATTAGTCAGGAAGATGTGAACACATATGAAAGAGGAGGAAGCAGAAAACAAGGAGATGATGATGATGATGATGATGACGAGAAAGATGATAACCTTTTTTTTATTAATAATAATATTTATCATTCATCTTGATATTCATTTGCAATTATCATTACCGTTACTTTGATTTTGTATTTGAAACTTGAACTTGAAATAAATAGTTGATTAACCTTGAACCGGTTTCCGTACGATCAACAATTAACTACTAATACATTATTCCCAATTAATCCCTTTCACATCCTTCTGATTAAATTATTTAACTATTAACAGTTTAATTTCACTTTCAATCATCATCATTTTCTCAATGATAATAATCAATTAACTATTTTACATTATTGTTAATCATCATTGATTATTTCATTGAGATATCATTTAAATTGCTGTTGTTATTCAATATCAACCATACCCACAATTTAAGTTTTTCTGTATCAACAATTAACTGATAATTAACTTTGATAATCCATTGTAATACTTCATGATCACTTGATTATTAATCAACACAATCAATCAATTTAGTTTACTAATCAAAATGACAGTTAGTTTGTCAGTTATTAATAATAACAATCAATTTCAAGTATATTAACTGATTTGATCTTGAATTTATTGATTGTTGATTAAATTGTTAGTTGATATTAATATTTTAATGTAAACCTTACAATTTATTTAACATTTAAGATAAAATTACAAGTTAATTGATTGAGATTAATTTTTTTTTACTTTTCGCAATTTAATTTATACATTAAAACAATCCCAATTAATTGATAGATTGTAGTAATTAGTTAATTATAATCTGATCTCTTGTATTGATTGTTAATGATTTTATATCCTTGGCCTGGTAATTAAAATAAAAATTTGATTTCTGTCTGTTTTAAATAAAACTTGTGATTACAATCAATTAGTTAATTGTTTAATTACTAAAACAAGAACCAACAACAATTAACTAATTAACATTTACATTTACATTTAACCGGAAGATTAATTGTCTTGTGGTTACAAAGATTTTAAATATGTAACAATTTAAGATCAATGAACAATTAATTTAATCTCATTATAATGATTCTGTTTCTTTGGTTATTTGGTTAATTGATTTAATTGTAATCACAAGAACAATTTATTTCCCTTGACCCAATTAATTGATTTTCTTGTTGCTTTCGGCAATTTTAATCTTCGCGCCTTCAAAGTTAACCAAATGTTGTTGTTGTTTTTATTTATGCATTGATGTCAAGTTGAAAGATTTACTTTAAATTGTTACCAGTTAATTTGATTCCATTTTTTATGTTATTCATTTCTTAGTGTATTTAATAGCTTTAATTGTTACTCTCAACTATGCCATTAGTTGCTTATGACACAAGTGATGATGAAGATTCACCAGGAGATGAAAAGATTGAGTCGCCAGTAAAATCTGTTGTTTCTGTTACTGGAAAAGTTGATTATCCAGCTAATAGTCAATCGGTTGATGGTAAATTATTAGCGAATAACAATTCTGTTGGTATAGTAAATGGCTGTTCTATTCCTGATGATGATGATTATGATGATGATGATGATGATGATGGTGACATTGGTTATTCTGTTGGTACAAAAGGAAATGATTTGGTAGATGATCTTGAATCTTCTAGTAAATTATTGGGAAAATTACCTGGTATTGGAAAGAAATTACCTGCACCTTCAACTCTTTCAACTGGTTTGAGTGATATTGTGGTGGTTGATAAAAAATCTAAACGAATTAAGGTGGTTATTCCTTCAATCGATGAATTGGATTATGCTTCGGAAGAAGAGGAAGAGGAAGTTGGTCCAAAGAGGAAAATAATTCCAGCAGGAGGATGTTCCTTGTCCTCTTTTCTACCTAAACCCAAAAATGCTCCTCCAAGATACAATTGCAATAATTTATTCTCTACACCTTTAGCCGATAATTCATCACCTTCACCCTCATCATCTTCTTTCAATTCATCTGTAAAATCAGTTGCCTCTCTAGTTCCACACTCAGTTTCACGGCCGAAGACCAAAATACCACCAAAACGACCTCAAAATGTTTGTTTCTTTTTTTTTCCTTTCCAAATTATCAGATGATTTAGCCCTTTTGGCTTTTAAAAGAATATAATCTTGACATTAATCTAATTTGCAATCTTTTTCTCCCATCTCTCCATCTTCTACCAGGTACCCATCAAATCAGATGAAGATATTGAAGACTCAGGTTCTGTTGATTTCTTTTCACTTGGTGATGTTTCCCAATCAATCTCACAAAATGATAACCATTTGGACACCAATATAAACAAAATAATACCAATTGTAGTACCCAAACCTGAGACAGAATCTTCATTCAATGAAATGATGATGAACAAATTAGCAAATGAGACTAGTACTTCAAGTTATTACGCTTATCCACAAGCTCAAGCTACCACCTCATCCAAGAAATATCATCCATCAACAGCTGATATTAATGATCCTGATTACAAGAAATTTGTTGCTTCCAAATTTGGTGAAGAAACAGCTGATAAAATCAACATTGTTGAAGTAAATGTTGGCAATTATTTAGCCAATGATACGGAATTACTCAGATCAATTAGCATGGAAAGTGGATCAACATCGGTAAAAGGACCAGCACCAAGTCCACTAGCTAAGCGAAAAAATCAAATCACTTACCTTGCCTATCAAGCTAAACAACGGGAATTGGACCTTAAAAACGAAGCAGCAAACAATAGATTCACTAAATCTCAGACAAGAGCCAAATATGGTTTCTAAATTGTTACAAAATTAAAATTCCACCAACAATCAAACAAATGTAAGTTGAGAACAATTAAATCTTCCTCAAAATCATTCAACAACAATTAATCTATCCAAGAAATTCTAGACTCAAGCATATAAACAAACACAATCAATCAAATTGTTGCGGTGAAAATTTAATTTCATCTTAATTGTGCTTCTGTTTTTAGATTAATTATGGAGCCAGAGGCTCCTGGTAGAAATTAGAAAAGAGAGTTTTGTATAACTTTGCTTAACAATCATTTGAACAGCGATCGTATTTATATGTTACCTTGTTAAAGAAAGAAAACAGTTTGAATTAAATTGTTCAATTAATTAGATGATTAACAATTTTATTAATTTTTTCTTTTCTTTCAACTTTATTTATAAGTATTTTTGGAATCTAAATTTATGTTTATTTCCTCCAATAAGAAGCTTCAATTTGTATAAAAATTAATTTGATCTTTTGTTGTTTTTGTTGTTTTCACGGCTTAAGGACCTTGAATGTTGAACGCAGTTTGACCTTTAAATTGACCTAAGCCACTGGAATTGGAGGTGTTAACATCGGTAATTTAACTTTATGACTACTAATTACCGTTCGTTTGATTCCTTCATCCCAAAATTTACCACTTTCATCGTCAGTCATCACATAAAAGTATCTAAAATGAAGAAGAGATATTGTTTCGTTAATTAGATTAATTGTTGTTCTTGAACCGATTCCTTTAATTACCTGTAATATGTATCGAAAAGCTGATCATCTTTTTCTATTTTTAGCAGGAAATTATCGAGAATTTGAGGATTAACCTGATCCGATTGGAATAATTCTGTTGCTTTGTACATCGTCTTCCAATTTGGTTGATTTGAGAATTGATCTTCCGTCAAATTAAAATATTGTGTCTCATAATCAAGGATCACTCCTTGTTCATCCATTTGGTAAATTCTGTAACCTGGATTAGTCTGAGAATAAGATGTTAATGATGGAGCAATAAAAGCAAATCCAATTGGAATTGTTGAATTTTTCAATGAATAATATAAACGAAATTCATCTCGATGATCGTGTCCATAAAATTGAGCCTTAATTGTATTCTGATAACGTTCAATTATCCTAATAAAGTTATGAAGCCAAGCTTGGGTGCACTCACGATGATCGGGAGCAATATGACCAACAAGATGAACCGTGTCACCTTCCCGTTCAGCTGATGCCAATTCATGAGCCAAAATGCCAATATCTCACCAGGATCAACTGAATCATAAAGAACCCATGGATTGGTGCGAGCACAGTAATTACTATTGTACTGAATTATCCGGAAACCAGGGTGAACTTTGACAACATAATTACCACGTCTAACAATCAATGATAAGATGATGCAAAGTAATCATGAATCAAACAAATACTACTATTTTCACAGTACAATTAACTACCTTTTAAAATCTTCTGAATATTCCTCTGGAATCCATTTTGACCATCGATGAGCCAAACTTTGATAGAGCCAATCGTTAGTTATATCATCTCTACCACCGATCTCTTTGGACGACGGAGAGAAACTTTTACCGAAAACAGCGGAGAGAGAGAGAGAAAAAAAATAATCTCAAACAATTAACATTTACTTCAACTTCTACTTTCGTCAGTCGAGTGGATCGATTCTTACCTGTTGATTGGAATCGCCTCGTGATTTCCAATCGCTGAATAAACTGGAACTGGATCAACAATCTCATAAGCTTTATCCATAATATCCAATAATCCAAGAGTTGTCGCTCTACGATAATTCCAGATATCATGAGGAATCACATCGCCAGTGCTCAAGATGTAGTGTAATAGGTGTGAGCTTTCATTGAGTCTCTCCATTGTTTGGAAAACTGTTGAAATGGGAGTGTCACAGCCTCCGTTGTAAGCACCCCAAAGTCCAGCAACACCAACCAAATGGTCAGTGAAATCTTGATCTGGTCGACAACAAACCGGCTCATTACAACTCGCAATAGTACCGGGAACATACAAAGGATCCATATGAACATCGGTTATCTGAGCAATTGTATAAACTTTTCCACCCTCTTTTTTACCGTTATTCAATGAAAAACTTTCCACCTCATTTGATACAATTGTTTCCACTTCATCTGGAAGCGGAATTGTCCAATTAATTTTCTCGGTGGTGAAAAACACACAACCCAATCCAATTGAAACACCACACATTTCCTCTGATGTTAATTTAGTATTCAATCGTACATAATCAACAACATTCTGCAGAAAATAAGAGATAAAACAAACAATTAAATTTTCTTTCTCATTCTTGTTGACTGGTAAAATTAAATTCTCTTCAACAATTAACTAACTGTTACTTGGTCTATCATCTCTCGGCAAATGTGTTTCTTTTGCATCCCAAATGAGACACAAAGTGTTTCCATCATGTAAAGGTAAGAATAGGTACTCAGGTGATCGTTGGTGAAAAAGATGGCCAACAATCGGCAGGTCAAACAGGTCGTTGTCGAAGCGACTCCTTCACGAACTCGATAAATTATCTTGAAGAAAGAACGAAATTGAAGAGAAAACAATTTAAACACTAATCACAATCAAGGCGAACTTTTAATTACCTCATTAAACGAAATAACTTCCAATAGTCTTTGTAATACTCCATAAACATAAGAATTACCAACAGAACCGTAATTAGTTGGATAATTTGAGATTCTCGATGATTTAGTTGAATTTTGATTGAGAAATGATTCAACCTCATTAATTAATTGTTCCAATTGTTTAACTTTATTTGGTTCCTCTATCAATTGGTTACCAATTGTGAATGGTAATTGTTTGAAGGGAAATGTATTCGCATTTAAGTTGATACTTTGATTATCATCAATTATTTCACTTAAACTGTAACAATTAAAACTTAATTCGAGTACAATTAACTTGATTATTAGTTTAACTATTAAATTCATCTTCACAAACCGACTCAGATTAACTTTGATTTACTTTAATCAAATTGTTACCTCTTTTTATCTTGTTAATTTTGGTTACTTTGGTTTCAATTGTAAACAATTTAACCTCCTAATTATGATGATGATGCCCTTATATTGACTGTAAACTTAATTGATTTAATTGTAACAATTAAAATATGAGATTCTAATCAATATGGGCCAAGGTTAAACTTGATTGTCTAAAGAAAATTAATAAAAATTAACATGATCAACTTTCTCTCTGTGATCTAATTATTTTAATTGTTTGTATCAATCATTTGATTTAGTTAATCAAAATTAAACACAAGGTTAAGGTTATAATTTGGTTAATGCGATTCAGTTGAGATTAAAAAAGTTTGTCACTTTTTAAATTACTTTGATAATTAATTTATTATCACTTAACTTTAATTTACATATTAATATTTAATACTAATTGTTAATGATTAGGTAAAATTGGGCTAACATTTAAATAGTTGAAACAAAAAAATTAAATTTACAAATTAATAACTGTTGATACTTTGGAATGAGATTAATTGATATTTCTAATAATATCAATAAATGTTATTTTCTCAAATTAAGAATTGATTAAATTGTCAAGTGAACAATTAATAAAAACTTAATATCAATTGAAAATACAGTTGAGTGTTTCCACCATGATAATATGATTATGGGAGTTTTATAATCATGATAAATGAATCAAATTGATTTAAGATCATTATTAAGACTTTTCAGTTTCCAGAATCTCTTCCGGTTTAAAAAGTAGATTTCCATGTTTGGGTGATGATATTTTACATGCAATTTTGAACATTATATCGGGTGTAAAGATAACGGGTATCCTTGGATATAATTTGGAGACATCATTGGGCAATTGGAATCCGATTCTTTGTAATAATTCAACCATTGGCTTTGAATTGAGAGCTAATTCTTGTTTCTCATTGAAAGGTACAATTGGAACTGGTTGACCAAGAACTATAATCATGATATATTAAAAGAAAAGAGTTAATTAAGAAGAAATTTTTTCTTTCTAACTTGTAATTAAAACTTACGATTACTAAAATAAGCAATTGGCTCGAGAATCTGTGAATCTTGTTTGACACTTTTAACTTGACACATTTTCACATTAATAATATCTAACAGAATTGATCCAATCCAAGTGAGCTGATCACTGAAACCCATTTTGATTAACTTATCAATTAGACAATCAATTTCAGCTACTTCTTGAGCAGTTTCCTCCATCATCACTCTATCCTCATTTGAATCATGATTAATTGTTGAAATATTGTCAACTGATGATGAAGCTCTACTTTCATCTAAAACATTGTCACATTTAAATCCATTTAAACTGGTAACTCTTGATGTGTCCATTTGTTGTTGCTGATAAGATGAATCATGATGATGATTATCTTGACCAATGTCATTAATATTGTCATGAGACATTCTATCCTCATATTCATCATCTCGACCTCCATCGGTTTCTTCTTCGAGTTTTTTGATTGAACTTAATCCATAATCGTATTCCATAAATCGATTATATTCCTCTGAAGAGATTATCCCTTTCACCATTAATTGTGAAATTAATTCAGCTCGATCCATGGTGATTCCTTGCTCTTCCATGATAACTTCAAGAATACATGATATTGGATCATTGGTTTGCTCATATTGAAGATACAACCAATACAATTGATCATGATTAGTATCTAAGTTGGTTAAATCAATGGAAGATGATCCATCTGATCCATAAGATTTACTTGAACTACAAATTGTTGCACCGCGAGTTTGGTGGGTTGAAGTGGCAATCGAACCTAAATCACAAGGTTGTCTTTCACTATCAACACCTTCATCTTCACCCATTAAATGTGAACTAGGTGATATAATTGATCCAATAAGTCCGGTTGATGATGATAATGATGATGCCAAGAGAATTGGATTAATTGAAGGATCAATTTTTGATGTACTAGCAATCGGAGTTGTATCAGTCAATTTATTCAATCGATTAGCGTTTGAACGAGTAGCCGCTTTCACGAAACGATTCATAACATATTCCATCAAATCTTCCCATGAATCTGTCAATTCTATATCAGATTCCATGATAAGAGAAAATGTTTTCAAGATTATCGGCTGGAAAAGACATTCAGGATTCCTTAAATCACCGGCAACATGATGCATAATAGTAAAGACACAATTGTTAATTAATTCATTATTTGATTGGAAAGCTTCCAACACTCGACCATATTGTTCCATCACCTTGATTGTTGCAAATTGTTGAAGATGATCAACTAGATTACAATTACCTCGTTTAAAGGGTTCATCAAGAAGGAGCATTAAATGATGATGAGTAACAATTGAATCAACTAGAAATGATTTAGGATGAATGACTGGTGAATAACAACGAGTTACGAGAAGAAAAAATTGCCTCAGGGCAGTCATATTGGCTAATGATGTTCGTAAATTGTTTAATGATTGTTTCTCTGCCTCATCGGATGATGATTTACCAATATAACCTGAAACCGTGATGATCATTTCTTTAAGCGCAGTAATCAACAATTGAAGTTTACGGGTTAACTTTTTTATCAAATCATCATGAATCATGTTCACTTTAGCTTCAGATTGTTGATTATTTGAAGATGGAGATGAGGATGAAGATGCAAATGGACATTTGGATGATTTTGATTCTGTGGTCATAACTGTAACAGGTAATGATGATGATCGTGAACGAGGCGGTGATTCAGTGGTGGTTATTGGTGTAATTCCTACTGATCGGGTTGAAAGAGATTCAATTTCCTCATTAAGCATTAGTCCATTGTAGACAAGAAATCCAAACATATCAATTTGAAGTATTGGAGATAAATGGTTGTAATTAAGATCAATTGATGAAGATATTTTAAGAAAATAACTGATTAACCAGAGAAGGTGGGAAAGATCAAGTGAAGAAGTTGATGGTGAAAGAGGATGAGAATTAGATGAACATGAAGATGATAGAATAAGCTCTTTTGAAAGATCAAGAATTAAACATGAGAAAAAATTATGAACAAATTTCAGAGTAAATTCTTTGAGAAGTGAACAAATGTCATTATCACTTGGAGCAATTGATTCATTTCCAATTGACGAAGATTTAGATCCACAGGTTTTCTTCTTGTCCCAAGGGGCAATTGGTTTAACTTGAGTTTCAGAGTTAATTGTACTTTTCTGGGAATCATTAACAATTCTCGTTGAATTGATTCCTTTATCTGATTTGATTGAGTCTTTTGAACTTGTTGATTTAAGAGTTGACGATTGATCGTTAGTAGATTTACTTGGTGATCCTTTGGCTTGACTAGATTCTAAGCTTGATGCAGACACTGAGATCGCTGATAGAGCGGCCGCTATTGCGGTCTCCATGCAAATAGAGGGACAACAATTGGGTGACCTCGGGATTGGTGAACATATTTTAGTTTTTCGAGTAACATTTGGTGGATGATGGTGACATCGCATCACTTTTATAGCACCGTAATCCGAATCATCTGAATCATCTAAATCGGTTGGTTTGGTTGTTGATCGTTGGTGAGGTTTTTTCACTTTGTGCATTCGTCTATCGTCTTCTTCCGACGAACCGGAAAATCCTGAAGTTTGATTATCGTTGGCACAATCATCTTCTTCCATCCTCACGGATTCTTGTAGATTAGTTTCCGTTTTTGCATATTCTTTCTCTTCGTCATTGATTTGATTCGGACGATTTTTTTCTCTCTCGTTTTTACCATTACTTTCGGTACTTTCACCGTTTTCCATGGGTAAGTCGTCACACTCACGTGAAGTTACATTTTTATGCCAATTAGAGGTAGAATGGGTTGGTACCGATGTATCCATCTTTTCAGTAAGATCTGAATTGGTTGTCGATTGTTGATAATCATTTTGAGTAATATTCTTGTTATTTTCAAAACAAATTGATTCAGGACAATTTCGTTCAATTTCCGTTTGTTGGTAATAACCTGAATCATCTTTAGATTCAGATGATTGAGCTCCACACTCTTTTGATGACGATGAATCGGATAGAATAGATGTTGATGATGATCTTTGGGCTGAAAGTGTATGATCAGAATCAGCATCATCTTCAGAACAATCAGAAGTTGAGTCTTTAGTTGAAATACACTGAATTAACTTGGAAACAGGTTGATTCTTGTAAAGAAGTGTAATAAGCTGAACAATTTGACAGATCCAATTACGACGATATGGTGTTGACATGAGAAAGAGAAGAGTATTGTCTAAACCTTGAACCAAAAGATTCCAAATAATTCGTCGCTGAGAATCTTGCCAATCTTCCTTAGTTTTACCTCCACCACCCATTCCAACATTAATTGTTGCAGCAATTTCGGGTTCATATGGTTCAATTTTATCTGGAACATGGAGAAGATTACGAAAGAGGAGAAGACAATCACGAATAAGATTTTTATCAATAGTATCAATAATACCTTCAGTTGATTCATTGAATCCAGATGAAGGATGATCGGTGAAAATTGAATGAGAGTTGAGTAAATTAATATAATGATTAGAAGATGATGTTGTAGTTGTTGTTGTTGTTGTTGATGATGATGATCTGTTTACATTAAAAGTATCTGAAGAATTGGTTAATGGGACAAGTTTCATTGTAGCAATTAATGAAGATGTAACCTTATTTGATTTGATGAAAGCTTTTTTCGCATCCAGAAGCATTTTTTGTAACTGAACAACTCGGCAAGTTAATGATTCATTGGGTGGTTTGCATGGTGATGCACGTGAAGGATAATATGGTAATGAAACGGGTAGGATAACTTCAGATGGAAGAGTTAAATTGACCAAAAGTCTAACAGTTATCCTTATGATGGGTGGATTGTTGAATAAATCGGTAACCCCTAAGATACCAAGTAAATCTCGTTCAATAATGTGAGATAATCCAAGGCCAATACGGATATTTCTTGTGATTGAGCTTTCATTAATCAATTGTTGTTCTATTGAGATGAGAGTAGCCAAACAATGTGGGTTCATCTCATAGTGACCATTTTCATTAATCCAACCAATTGAGGAGCATAAAGCATGAAGGCTTGAACGATTGATCAGTAGGTACTCCATGGAGCGCCCGTTTGTCACTAGATTGGAATCATTTAACTGCGTTGAGATGATCGACAAAGTTTTCTGAGTAAAAATGGTGATTGAGATTGAAAAACAGTCGATGAAGAAGAGAAAAATCTAAATAAGTAAAAAGAAGAAGAAAGAAAATTGATTTTAGGTGATCCAAGGAAGAAGAATATAAATTAATGGGGTTGACATAAGAGAAAAAGAATAATATCTCTCAACTGAGTAAAGAATTGAAATTGTAAAACTGAGAAAATGATTTCAATTAATAAACATGAATATTAATTTTCTCAATTTAACTCGAAAGTAAAGAAAACAAATGAAAATCTGAGATGAGAAAACAGTTAAGTTCAAGGAGATGAACATAATCAAAGAAAAGAACAAGTGAGAGAGAGAGAAATGAAATTCAGGGAGAAAATGGAGTCACAAGAAAATAGGTAAATGCATGTGAGGAATTCTGATAGAAACCTTAAAGATGATAAACTGAGAGAGAGAAAGAAAGATGAAAGATGAAAGATGAAGATGGATAAAGATTAAGGAAAGTAAAAGGGAGGGAAAAGAAATGGTAAAACTTACATAGCCAATAAAGATGGAAACATTTTCCTGTTAGGGTTGGGAAAAAGTGAATTCACCATAATGGTTGAAACGAATGGTCAGTAAGGAGAGAAAAAAATAAATGGGAGGTTAAAGTGGTCAGTGAGAAGAAGATGAGGAAAAGTAACTCAAATATATTATGTTAATTGTTGTTCTCGATAATCAACACAAATCACCAAAAAAAGAATCAACAAGTAGCAAAGAGAAACAGAAAAGAGAATGAGTGACATTCACAAGGCACGTTTTCTTTTTCTCTTCAGCTGCAAGAGAAAAGAATAAAAAAAATTTCTATTCTCTTTCACGTGTTTTCTTCGTTAATCCTTTTTCTCTGCTCGTGTTAATACTTTTCGTTTCTTTTCTATTCATGTTTTCTCTCTCTCTCTCTCTCTCTCTTTCACCATCATCATCTCATATTCTATTCCATTTAAATTGTAATCACGTTTTCCAAGGATTTTTCGTTCAGTGTGTTAATCATAAAGACTCTCAGTTGCAAATTAGATTCTCTCTCAGATCCTATGTATGGATTATCTTCATTTTTAATTATTTTCTTTTGATTGTCATCGTTTTCCTGATTACATTTTTCAATGTTTACCTTTTTCTATCTCTTTCTATTCTCATCATCTATCTAGAGTAACAACTACATGTAATTAGTTGGATGCATGAGGTTTGGACGAAAACGGATGAAATTTTTACTATTTACAAATAGAATTGAAAAATCAACGTGATGCTTTCAATCCAATTAACTATTGAGTATTTCAAGTGATCATTTTACCTGATTAAGAATAGTAATTATATTCTCTCTCTCTCTCTTATCTAGATATTTACGTGATTATTTGGTTAAATTGACTTGATTTTCAACGTGAATCCATAAACTTTGTCTTATCCGTTTCAGTTTTACCTGCGATTCAATCAATTCAAACTGACCATTCCATCGGTTCATTTTTGTTTTCTCAACTGAATAGATTCTGTTGAATAGATGAACATGTTGATAGGATAATATTTTCCATGAAATGAGTTGATTCAATTACAATTCCCTTCAATCAGTTCATCTCATATTCAAAGGGAGGAAATTTGTTGCTATTTCAATTGATTATTGCTACAAATTGGCTTCTTATTGATTAATATGAACCATTTTTCTTACTGTAATTTGAAAATGAAACCGATTTGTGATAATTATCATTTCATCAACGATTGATTTTCCAATTTCTTACTAATCACTTTTGCTACTTCTAGTTAATCATCACCATTATAATTATTACTACATTATTAACGAAACAAGATTACAATCTTTCATAATTGGCCTTGTTGTAATCGCCGATGGCTTAGATCAATTATGAAAGCGAACTCGGTAAATGATCAACATGATTAATCTCATATTTATAAATTGATCAGTTATTAATAATCGCAATTCAATTTAACCAACATATTAATAGACTAAAAATATTACACTTTGTTTGTTTAATATTAGTTTAAATTAAAACGCAATTTAGGTTAATCAAAACGATGACAATTTCAAGTCAATACTCTGATTAGTAAATTTGCTTAACTTCATTTTCCCTTAATTAACAGCATCGTAATCAGATTGTAATATAATTATGTAACTGGTTAACTATCAATCAACAAATGGATCTAAATGATTAATACATTAAATCATTTAGTGTTTTCAACGTGTCGGAATATTTAATATTCCCAATGGTCACAATGGATTAATCCGTAGGATAAATTGACCGTTGGTCAGTTTGTTACAATTGATAAATTTGGTAAAGTTAATTTACCAAAATCCGATCAAATTGATTACCTTTTATGTCAACAATTAGTTTGCCATTTTCTTTCTTGGTAAATCATTTGATCCATTGGACAATTTTGATGAATTTAAAAGCCATTTAAAGTTACATCACAATTCAAATGGACTCACAATTGTAATAATAGTTAATTGTTAATTAAGTGGAAGGAGCAAATTTCTAATCATCATTAAGATGATTTTCCGTTGTTTCTTTATCAACAGTCCCTTAATTATAAATATCGTTTAATTGAAATTTTCATCTCTCTCTCTCTCTTATTTTATTTTCACTACTAATCAAGTTCCCTGTTATAATAATTTAATTGTTAAATTGTTAACCATGTCATGGAAAGATGGTTTAATTATCCAGATTAAGGATCAATCATCAATACTTTACAAGGACAATTACTTAACTATCATCCAAGATGCTTATCCTAAATCACGTTACCATTTTCTTGCTGTGGTTCTTGATCCTCAACTAAATACACTCAATGATTTAAACAGGTCTCACATTCAATTAATTAACCATTTATATCAACAATCAATCAATTGGACATCAAAGATTAACACTAAATATGGATTTAAATTTGGTTTCCATTCTGAGCCTTCAATGAACAGGCTTCATCTTCATCTCATCTCCATGGATCATGATTCAGTTCATTTAAAGAATCGTAAACATTACAATTCATTTAATTGTGATTTCTTTATCACTCCTGAAAGTGTTTTAACTCATTTAAATGAATTTGGAAAAGTTAAATTACCATCAAAAGGCGAGTTAATTAATCTTTTATCGCGACAATTAACTTGTCACTTTTGTGATCAATTGTTTAACAATAGAAATGCTTTTGCAGAGTTAAAGAAACACTTACAATCTCATTATAATGAAATCGATGAAATTGAATCGATTGACTAATTGTTACAATTTACTTAATTATCAACAAATTTAGTAATGATAATTGTGTAAACTTATTGATGAAAAAAAGGTTTAAATTTTATTACAAATTAATTTCATTAAATTTACAAAATGATTTTACATTTTGTAAATTTAATTATAATTTAAATGAATGAAATTATTATTCGGAAGAATTGAAAACAATTTAATTAATTAGGGCAACACGGAAGTGATTATATTCTTGTTGTAATAATTAATAAGCTTATTTGAAACAATTAACAATCACAATTTGTCCTTTCAAAATCTCAGTAAAATTTTCACTCAATTTGCATAATTATGACACATAAATTGTTTAGGATTTTACACTTGAATCCAAAATCGATAATCAATCAATTGCTATCAATCAATTAAACGAGAAAAAAATGACTTAAAGATGTAATTGATTCATTTCTGTTTACCAAAACAGTTTTTTTTTCACTTCTACTCTGTTGATCAGCTGATTTTCCTTTGATGTGTAATTGATCCTCATTTCTGTCAATTGTTGTTCACAATTTGTTTGTGTTAATTGTGATTTAAACGAGTGATTAACGATGAAAGGTTGCATTGTTTTGATAATTGGTCTTCCAGCCAGTGGTAAGTCAACATTTACAACAAGATTAGTTAATTATATTAACCGAAATCATGTTGACATGAAATGTTTGTATTTAGACTTTGATAAAGTGATTCCATTGGAGAAACAGAAGTTAATTGTTAATCAATTAGATTCGTCATCATCATCATCATGGAAAGAGAATAGAAAATATTTCATCTCTTCATGTGAAACTTATTTATCTCTTCTAATTAATTCACCAAATTCATCTCATGGATCAATTCCAATTAATGAAACAACCAAATATCTTGAGAAGATCATCCAACAAATTCCCTTGGAAAATATTGAACATTTTGATTATTTCTGTTTGATTGTAGAAGATAATTTCTATTATAAATCGATGAGAGAACAATTTTTCCGTTTATCAAGACAATTTAAACTTGGCCTTTCACTGATTACAATCAACACTCCAATCGATTCCTGTTTGAGACGAAATAAAATAAGGTCAAATTTTGTAGATGAAAAAATAATCATCCGAATGGCTGATCGCTTTGAGAGACCCAAAAAGGATGAATTTGGTGTTAACGTTGGTAACGAAATACAATTGATGGAGATTAGTTATGACGATGATGATGATGATCAATTGGAAGATGAAAATTATGATGTAACCATTAGATTAATACGAAAAGCTTGTGAAACTCCGATAGAGAATCAAATTCAAGATGATGATGATGCTCACAATCAACAGGAATCAAGAGAAATGTCCAGAAAGGTAACAGCAAATAATTTGGTTCACAGATTTGATAAATTATTAAGATTAAGTGTAAACAGGATGATGGTTAATCCAATGGTAGTTAATTGTAATCATGGTAATATTGGTAAACAGCTTTCATCAATACGAAAAGTATTGTTGAAAAAATTTCTTAATAATCAATTGGATCCTGATTTTGGTGAAGCCTTGATTAAGGAGGAAACGTTGAACCAAAGATTAATTGAAATGGTTTGCAATTTGATTGAATCACAATTGGAAGAGAGGAAAACACTGATTATTGGAGGAAGTGGTGGAAAAGGTGATTGCATTTAACACTCAATTGTGGATTTTGTTTTTGGATGTTAATAAATCTGTAAAATTTGATTATGTAAAGGGAATATATGTTTAAATGGATCTGATATCACAATAAATTTAAAGAAAAGGAGATAGAATATGGTTAGAGGGAAAATGTCAGAGGAGAGTTTAGATAGATAGAGAAAAGTGGGATAAAAGGGAGAGAGAGAGAGAGAGATTACAAGAGAATCTTCTATCGAAAATCTAATCCATAAGAGCTCAAGGAAAAAAAAGAACAACAAATTAGGATAATTTGAGTCCGTGTTTCTTTATATATCTTTGTCTAGCTGCTTCGATAAGGTTTTTTTTCCTGTCTTTAAATGATAACATCCTTTCGTTGGGTGATTTCCCGAAAACTTTGGCAGCAGTATTGAAGGAAGCCGGTACTCCGTTGGAGGTAATTATTTCATCGTCACCTTGTCTTCCATTATTAATTGATGAAGAAAATGATGATGATGTTTTAGAAGCAGCTGCTTGGGTTAACTTTGTAAGATCTACTGCTTCAGGTTGGAAAGATAGAACACCATCCAAAAGTCGAGCTATGGTCTCGTCGATATCCGTGGTTACCCTTAGGTCGGTTTGGATTGTTTTTAAAGGCACATGTGGAAGAATCTCCTTCACTCTAACTGCCATCTGATCGATTTCAATATCATTAGAAGAATTCATTTGGACTAATTTTGTTTGGAAAAAAACCAAAATGGAAATGGGAAAAGAAAAGAAAAGGAACCACCTAAAAAAAGGCTTAGAAGGAGAAAAAAAAAGGAGAGAAACAAGAACAAGTAGAAACAGTAGACAAAATTGTAACTGTAAAAAATTAAAAGAATCACAAAGTTATCAAGAAAAAATAGAATAAATCAGCGGTAAAATTTTCTAAAAAGAGAAATCAATTTTTTTCCAACACCAGAGAAAAAGGAAGAGAAAAAATAAAAGAGAAAGAAAATTCAACTAAGAAACAAAGTGAACACACAATTTAAAACGATCAATCACATAGAAAAGAATAACAAAGAAAACACTCAATTAATCCAATTAAATAGACATAATTTTCTCTCCTTATTAATCAATAATCAATTAATTAACTAGTTAATTAACAGAATGAAAAACAATCAAATTAACAAAAAATGTCAACATTTCAAATGTTACATTTAATTTGATTTAGAAAAGAAAACAAATTCAAGTTCAATCTCAGGCCAACAGATGGAGCAACGAATTCGGGACCATATTCAAAGTGAGAAAAGTTGAAACTTTCCAACGAAAATGTAAATTGTTAATTACAATTAAATTGTAAGAAATCAAGAAGAAAAAAGTTATCAACAAAATATATAAATTGTAAAATGATTCTTTTCTTTATTTGATGGATACAAATAATGAGAAAATTTTGCAATTGAAAACAAATCAAATAATTGAAGCAACTAAGAAACTCTAATGATAATATTAACTTAAATTACTAATTACTAATTGTAATTAAAGATTAGATGATTGACTAAAAGTGATCATTTTAATTGTTGGAAAAAAAGTGACAAGTTTAGGAGATTTAAATTTGATCATCTCAAGTGATTAGATGATTGGATGACCAGTGGTGATTAAGTTTCGTCGAGTTGATTTGGTTGGACGAAAGTTAATGGAAATTAATTATCGAAGGGTAATTAAAATTTATCTTCATAGGGATGAGTTAATTGTGACCTTAGGACGGCCTCGAGTCGATTCGAGATGGGCGATCTTGTGAACGGCTAAGGTGCGATTCTGACAAAATCCTTTACCACATTCATCGCATTTAAATGGCTTGTCCTTCAAGTGAATGTATCTGTTAATTGTGAGGTAGAAAACAAAAAGTAATTAATGATTATAATTTACGATGATGAATTAATTATGACAATTAAATCGACAGATTAATCTTTTAGGTACATATGTAGGTACCTTGGTACAAATTGTTAACCTTTAATTGTTAACTTTTCGTCAATGGATAAACACACAATTAGGTTTTCATTGAATGAGAGACAAATTTTAAACATTTCATGACATTGGATTGTTAATTGTTGATTTTACGTTAATTAATTGTCAATTAACATTATCATAAACATCAAGGTAAAGGAGATGTTTTAATTGTCTGAGTTTGATAACTTAATTTGATTGTCTTCTAGTTAATTGTGATGATAATTTTTTGATTCCCATTTTATTATATTTATTATTTTTCAATTAAAAGGTTAATGATTAACATGAAATGTATATTTAATTTAGATAATTAATCAACTAATTAACTAACTGTTGAAATTGGATGTTGATCAATTTTTCAAGATCATCATGAAAAAATTAAACCTTAATTATAATACTAAGTTTAATTATCCTTGATAATCATTAGATTGCCCTGAAGTCAGATGTTCACAATTATGAGTAATCAAATTAGTTAATTTAATTGTTACACAGAGAGAGAGGGCTTTTTCAATCAAAGATAATTAGTAATAAGAAGCAATTAAATTAGATTGCAATGAAACGAGTAACAAGTAATTAGTAATTAAATTAGATGAAGGAAAAGGTTATACTGTATGATTATGGAAATAGGATTTTGATTAATCGATTAGAGTTAATTGTTGTAATTAAACTGACCTGTGGTCTCTTAGATGGTCTTGTCGCCTGAAGGCTTTGTCGCAAATGTTACACTTGTAAGGCCGTTCATCGGTGTGAGTCCGTTCGTGGATCATTAAATTATATGATTTGGTGAAATGGCGATTACAATATTTACAGATAAATTGTTTCTTTGGCCTGGAATAGCAAGTCCGTTGATTAGTTGACCTTAGATTAGTCCCAGTTAACCAACCATTGACCAGAGCGGAGGTTAACGGATTAACTAATGGTGAACATTTAGTTTCAGATGAATTGAGTGTTGATGAAACGGAAGATGAAGATGACAAAGATGATGAAGAAACGAATCGCCTGGAAGAAATTAACTCATAATTAGTTGATTTAATCAATTCCTTTGATGAATTATCCTTTTCCTCGATGATTGATTGAGCAAGTCGACTATAATCTAATCGTTGGTGATTTAAACCAAATTGATTATGATTAGATGATGATGATAATGACGATGATGATGATGATGATGAAGTTAACGGAGAGGATGAAGATGATGATGATGATGATGAGCTAAAAAATGGACAATAAAAACAAGAGCATTTGGATGGATAATAAATCGTTAAGAAATCGGGCCAATTAACTGATTTTGATTGGAATTGCATCATGAATGAAACAATCAGGAAACAATTAGTAATCCAAATAATGACCCGAGATATTTAAGGCCAAGTAACTGGATTGACGTTAATGAATATTATCTAGATGATGAGGATGATGAGGAAGCCGAGGAGGAGGAGGATCAGCTTTAGATTGAATTTGAGCCAATGGCTTCTGCACAGAAGGCTTAATCTCTGTGTAGATTATCCTCCTATGGATTAAGATGTTTCCCTCTGTGTCTTTTTGGCATCATCATAATTATCTTCCTCATCATCTTCTTCATTATCATCATCATAAGGCTCATAATAATAATCTAAACCAAACCCTAAGTCACAAGTAAATAATTAACATAGGATTCAAGTCTATAGGTCGACTGGAAATGTTTTCCTATGTGAATTAAATGTATTTAGCTAATTGTGATTATCTCATTGTGATCATTTAATTTAGTCCGTTGTTGATTTAGTTTAATTGTTTACCTTTCAATTTGTTACCTTTGCTGTTACAAACTTTTAAATCTTGAAGTTAGTTTTCAATTGGTTTCACTTTTTTTTCAAGAGTTAACAATTAGTTGATTTAGTTGATTTTATCATTTTTTTGTTGTTGTTAATTGTTTGATTGATTAGTTCAGATGAAGGGATTGATTGTTATTAGATTACTGAGATTTGATCTAATGAAAAGGGATAAGGATTGGTTAATTTAATCTGTTACTCGGTCATTTAATTTGATGGTCAGTGATTAAATTGTGTGAAGATTAACACCTAATTAAGAATCAAAGTAATAAATGTTTAATTGTGTTGAGATTTTTTAAATTGTCACCAAAAAAAACTGGAAACATCAAAGTAAATTGATAATAACAATCAAGAGATGATGATTATGATGAGAGGTTAGTTAATTGCTACAAAGTGAATTTAAATTGTATAAAACAAACTTTATTTCAAATGAACCATTGATAGTTAATTGTTACAATTAAAGAGCAGAAAAAGTGGAAAAAAATGAAATCTCAAAGATGACAATCATCTTAATTGTAATGGAATTGAGTTAATTGTTGTCTCTTGTTGAGAAATCATAAAATCAACGATCCATAGACGAGCTTAAACATTTTGAGATTTCGCCGAAAATTAAAAATTAAAAAATACAACAAGTGGATTAACTTGCAACGAAAAGAAAATGGAAACAATTAGTAAATTGTTCACAGTTAATCAACAAGTTAAACAATTTGATTAATAAGAAATCACAACCAAACTGATTCGTCTAAATTTCAAATGGATTAACAACAATTACGCTTCTGAAATTGAACAGGTTATCGTTTACATTGGTAAATTGTTAGTTTGTTTAATTACGATCACAATTAAGTTTATTCTGTTGGATTATAATGTTAATTGGGATGTTAATAATGTACAGTAATTAGTAATTGAGATCGTTAATTGTGATTATTATTGTTAACAAGGACTGAGGGTGAAAGGCTTTGTCGTGAGTCTATTTACTTACCAAAGTAATTTAATATTATCACAATATGAATGTGAATCAAAAGGGATGATGATGATAGAGAGATGAAAATGATGATAAAGATGATAATGTATTTCTGGAATCTCCATTGAATTTTATTCATCAAAATGAGAGTTAAGATTATTTATAGACAGAATTGTGGATTATTGAGAGATTAAGAGAAAACCAAAATGAGAATGAGAAAGATGATGAGGAAGAGAAGTTTTATTTTTCTTTATTTTCATCTTCTCTCTCTCTCTCTCTCTCTCAATCTCTTTCTCTATCATGAATACGAATGATTGTTTTCCAAGGTTAACTCTTGCTGACCATTCATCTTACTTGCTTGACCTTTGGTCAAATGAAAGACACTTTTGTTTTCATCTCTTTTTCACTTTTCCGTTGGGTCATCGATTGTCGTTATTACACCGACAATGGTCAAGCTATTGCTGACCAAGAGATCGTGTGGACATAGAGAGAGAGAGAGAGAGAGAGAGAAATAGAAAGAGAGTAAGAGTGAGAGAAAGATGTACAAGGATGACGAGAGAGTGAGAAAGGAAAAGGAAAATTAGAAGATAAATGAGAAGGAAGTAGAATTGTTAAAACACAATTAGAATCACAATTAACTTTTTAATATAATCAAGGAAACTGACATCATGTTGAAAAGTTAATTGTAACCTCGAGATGAACAAAATTGAAAACATTGAGAAAAATTCAATTTGATTGTTTAACATAAATGAATCTTAATCCAAGTGATAATCAATAATCAAATTGTTCACAATTGATTAATCCAAATCGAAACAAAAAAATTCGTAAACAACATCAATCGATTTTTAATCCTTTCGTCAGCCATGTTAGATGATTAAGAGACAATATGGAAATTAAAGAAAATGGATGATCAAAGATGGTACAGTTTATGAATTAAACATCAAATTGTGATCACCAATTAAATGGTATGTTGATTGTTGGCCAAAAATAGGGTTAGATTAACAGAAAGGATAACACCTCTTGTTAATCAGATAATCGGTTCCTTTGGGAATTTGCATAAAACAAGGGGAAATGTTGATCTCTTTCAACGATCTTTCCAGATTATTAACCAGTGGATTAAGTTAATACATAAAAGAATACAAGATGATGATAGATTATCATCAACTCGAATCTCGAAAGGTCCTTCACTTGACTCTTTAGTCTCATCACTCATCGGATTAATCAAGATTAACGGCAATTCTTAAGCTTCCATAGGTTGATTTTAAAAATTCTCATCTTTAATTTAGTTGAACAAAAGTTAAGGTAATTTCGAATTTTTTTCTTCTTTTCTGATGCTACTTGATATTTTCTCTGATGAAAATCAACCCTAATCATCGTCCTCATCCTCATCTTCTATTTATCCTTTCCAAGTTCATCATCTTCTTATATTACCTCTCTCTCTCTCTCTCTTCAACTACAATTAACTTGCCAAAAACTTTGAACAATTTAATAAACTTTGATTGTTTGATTTTCATCAGAATTAACAATGAGATGGTAAAATTATCATAATAATATGGAAAATGATATCAGTTAATTATCAACAATTTAGTAGCCAATTTGATTGTATTATTTTCACAACAACATGTAAACCACATAATGAGACCTTTAATAGTTATAATCTGCAACAATTAACTGGAAATAATTAAAGTATAGTTCCGGTCATCTTTACATAATCATGATAAAGTTAATTGTTGTTTATTTGTTTGTGCAATTACATAAATAGTTATATTGATTAACGATCAATGATTAATTGATGGGAGATACATTGATGCTAATCAGTTGAAACAAATTGATTTAATTGATGACCATTCAAATGTTAATTAATGACAAATTCTTGATTCTCATAATTAACTAATCATACCCTAACCTATACAAATCAATGTGAATATATTTCAATCAATTTAAATGTGAAGAGAAAATTTTTCAATCAAATTTAGGAGAAAATTTTTTTTTCTCCCCTGTAAACTTTAATTATCATGGTAATCGAATTGATTAAGTTTAATTTTATTCTTTTTCTGTTAACCTTAATTGTGATCATTTGTGTTCCTCTGGTTAGAGGTCAATTTAGAGGTTTATTTGCTGATCTAACGGTACCTGATTGTTTACAATCAAATGGTCGCCGAGGTAAATGTTACCTTTACAGTGAATGTGGTCAGTTTTATAAGAAGACAAGTAACTTTGACGTTTGTGAATTCTCACTTGACCAGCGATTCTTGACCGTTTGTTGTGACGAACTACCATCGACAAGATATAACATTTATCGAGCTGAAGACAATTGGGTCTCTAGTAGTGGTTTGGTTTCGTCTTCTGGACCAATGGTCATCGATTTCGAGTGCGGTGTCCGAATCGCTAATAAGGACATTCTGGAAGTTGTTTCTAGTACCGAAGGTGATTCCAATGACCAGGGTCAGTTGTTTCTCCAGGCATTGACTTACCTTGCAGCGAGAGACGGTACTCATCCTTGGATGGCCTCGATTTGGTACAAAAATAGTCCCATTTGTGGTGCATCGATAATCAATCGACGAGCTCTTCTAACGTCAGCTCATTGTTTCAAATTTTCCAGGTAAAAGTTAAATGTCAATCGATTGTGATATCGTGAAGATCAGTTAATCCAGTTCAAATTCACAAATTTCATCAAGTGAATATACGAAACGATTAGACTGTTTGATTAAAGTTCAACTAATTAAGGTTAATATTAATTGTCTTTTGATTAATTGTTATGTTCATTTTGTATGTGATCACCAACAATTGAAAACTGGACATTAAAGGGAACCAGTTGATTATACAATTACCATGGGGTCAATTTATCTTAGTCAAGGTCGTAGGTTTCAGGTCAAACGATTAATTGTTCACCCAGGTTATCGTCCACCAGCGGTCAACAATGATATCGCTTTAATTATATTGGACAATCAATTACGATTTGATTGGAGGGTAAATCCAGTTTGTTTGGGTTCCAAATTCATTGGCGATTCACAATTAAAGGCACAAAAAGCAACAGTAATTGGCTTTGGTAATGACAAATCTAATCGTAAGTAAAGATAATCAAATTTAATCATTTAACTAAATTGTTTTACTTTAACAGTAGAAATTGAAATGAGTCAATCAAAAGTATTATTATAAGAAATTAAACTTGATTGTTTTGTATTTTGTTTTCTATCACTTTGTTTAAGTTGCTCGTACATTACAGGAAATTAACGTTCCACTAATTAGTTCAGTTGATTGTTCAACTATTTATTCAAAGTTCCGTAATCATTTTCCCTTTGGACTCAATGGTGAATTCATTTGTGCTGGTTACCCTCAGGGTGGTAAAGACGCTTGTTTAGTGAGTACAGATTTCTTGATTTCTTGATTATCTCTAAATTCATGAAATGATCATCAATTCATTTCAATTCCATTCAGGGTGATTCGGGTGGCCCCATGACAATTAAACACTATTCCAAAGTGGTCCAAATCGGAATCGTAACTTATGGCTACGGGTGCGCTTTACCTGATTATCCAGGAGTTTACACCAGTGTCGCTTATCATTATCGATGGATCCAAGAAAACAGTTAATTTCTAATCATCTTTAAATCATCATCATCATCATAATCCAACCATCTTAATCCTAATCTGAATCATGTATCACCTTTAATATAATCAAACTTAAATTACACTTTAAATCATCAATGAAACTCATTCGTTTGTGTTTTCTCATTGAATTGATCGATTTGATTGGAAAATGTTCAATAACTATTAATGAAACAATTAGAGTATAAGAGGAGAGAAAGAGCAATACAGTTATTGTAACAATTAAAGAAAAGAAACAACAATCAAGGGAACAATTAACAGAAGAGACTCGATTATTAATCTCACCTTGAAATGAAAGACGAAGAAGAAAAAAAAACACCAAGAGTGACATTGATTTTTTTAGAACAATTAACAATTTAAGAGTAACGAATAGTAAGAAGCTCATCAAGTTAATTAAATGGAATACAATTAAACTGAAGGATCTAACAATTAAATCTTATTTCACTAAGATGCCGGAGATATCCTCAGGTGATCCTAATTGTGTTACAGGTAAACAAAAATTCCCATAATAGATTAGCAATGTTGAGAGAGAGAGAGAGTGAAAATGTTACATTACAATTGATGTGAATTAAATGATTCATTGTTAAATTATCTTGTTGCACTATTAATTAACTACCATGGGCATCATCGTAATTGACAATACAATAAGAAAAAGAGTTACAATCGAGATAAATTTGATTGTGAAATTAAATCTCTACCAAAAAGTTTATTGTATCTTTGTTTTCTTCCTCCTCTTAATCCTCACCTCTTTTTTTTTCATCCACTCCTTATTTATCACTTTCTCTCTCACTCACACACTTCATCATTTCCATCACAACAATTAAATTGAATTCACTCTCTCATATTCTGATTATTATGAATTTCCCTTTTTTCATCACCGAGTAAAAGATTGAAGTGATTTCATGGTTCGAAGACAAAGATAACCTTGAATCTGATTACTTTCTACTCTTTCCTTTTCATTTTCTCTCTAATTTCTAGGACTCACTCATCATCATCATCAGTTCTCTCTCTCTCTCTCTCTCTCTCTCTCTCACCCCCAAGAAAGAAAACAAACCATGTAAGAGAATCAGATGGACATCGAAAATAGAATTGAGAAAATATCTACTTACCTTAACATCACTTTCTCACTTTGATATTTTCGCAAAAATGAAACGCAACAAACCAACAACTTTGATCACAATTAACTTATCATTAACTTTAATTGTAATCATAATATTCTGTTTATCAACAACAAATTGTCAACTATCAGCTCCATATGAATTAACACTGGGCCATCCACTGGTGAGTCTGTTGATTGAAACTTTTTCTAATATTTTTATAATATTTGAATTTGTTTTTTCTTCAATTCTAATTTAGGCTTTACCAGTTATCGCCAATAACTTATCATCCTCATCAACAACTACATCATCATTATCTTCATCAAGTACTGACTTTAATTCACCAGATTATCTGGGTCTTGGTATTGCAAAGTTCAAAAGAGATTCATCTTTATCCTCAGCATCTCCATGTGGATCAGAAATAAATCGTTCAGAGGGATGGATACAATCACCTAATTATCCATCTAATTATCCTGATTCCGTTTATTGTGTTTACACAATTAACCGATATAATCACGATGTTTGTCGAGTTGAGGTTCGACTCAATGATTTTGATCTTGAAGATACTCGACCTTATTGTGATGCCGATTATCTTGACATTGGATCGGGTTCAAGGATGTGTGGGTCATTAATTCCCGATGCTAAATGTAAGTCAATTCCTAACAATTAAAATGTAACAATAAGCAGAACCAAAATTAATTCTTTCTCAACAAAAATCTTTAATTGTTTCATTGAACTTATCAGTTATCACTTATTTCAATATCGGCGAGTACAAGTTGGATATTATTTTTCGAAGTGACCATCAACGGACTCGAAAGGGATTCTTGGCACATATCAAGCAAATTCCCAATTCTTGTGGGGTTCTTGATGACCTACTAGGTGGTTCAGTGATTCCATCGAGGAAAGTGACATTCGGTGACGATGTAACAATCGGTGGTAACAATCGAGTCGGCCGACAGTTCAATACACCTTTAACTCCACCCGAGACAACGTGCGACACAACCATCAGCTCTTACAATGGTTATATAAGGTCACCTTTATGGCCGACCGATTACCCGCCTAACATGCATTGTGTTTATAGTTTACGTCGACCAGCAATTAACGTTTGTCAGGTCGAATTGGAAATGGTTTCATTTTCAATCGCTTCCGATGGTTACACTTCAACCGATAATGGACACGAGTGTTCATCCGATTTCCTCGAATTTCCCGATCGAAGTCGACTTTGTGGTTATCGAAAAGATAAACGGACCTACACTTATCCCTCGAATTCTGATTCAATTAGTCTCATCTTTAAAAGCGATTCCAAAGGTTCAGCATCGGGTTTCAATATCCATGTGAGACAAATACCATATTCATGTGACATTTATCGGGCACCAAAAGGTAAATTAAGTTAATCAGTTTGTTAATTGTTTACATTGTTTCAATTATATTTTACATTTTCATTTACAATATTACAAAATTTTTGATTACGTTTTGTCATCAATTGAGTATAAACAACAAAATCTTACAATAAATGAGATTTTCTTACAATTATGAGCAAACAATTAACCTTAATTGTTTGACTCTGAGTGTAAGAAACAAAAAAAAAGTTATACAGTGGACAGAAAAAGGCAATTGTTAGCAATTTAAATACAGAACAATAATTAACAAGATTATCACCATTGTCTATTATCAATCAATCTTGTTGATTGTTTGAGAAGAAAATTAAATCATTAAGTTTAATCCTTATTAAATGCTATCAACGAATTTGGTTTTGAGGCTTTCAATTGTTTACTTCAATTGAGAGAAAAGTTAATTGTTCATTTTGTGACCATTTACAAAGTTGCATTTCTCCAACAATTAACTGATTAACTTTTTCTCTCTTCCTTTTTGTTTTGCTTCTGTTTCTTTGTCTTTTATTTGGTTCCAATAATCGATTGATTTTTTGATTGACTAGCAAACAAATGTGATCAAACAATTAACTCAAGTCGATTTCGTCTTCGATCCCCTGGATACCCTGGTTTCCATGGTTCGAGGGAAAATTGTATCTACACCATAGAAAAGGCTTCAACGGGAATCTGTGGTTTCGTCATGGATTTTATTCATTTCTCATTGGAACCCGGTAGAGATAAAAATGGCCTTTGTAATAAGGATTATCTTCACCTTCCGGACGGTGATAGACTTTGCGGAAATGTGACCGGAAGAAGTAAGTTGACCTTTCATCTAGTGGTCACTTGTTTTATACTTATAAATATCACAGAGTTTGAGGATAGGAAGAAAACACCAAGAGAATCAAGTTAATTGCTCATTGATTAGAATCAAATGTAGATGGTGAAAGAAGAAAATTTCTCTTGATTGTTGATTGTTTTTCCATCTTAATTGTGGTTGTTTTTTCTCTCTCTCTCTCTCTCTTTTACTCAATTAGAGAGCTTTGTCTTTCCACAAACAATTAACAGCTCGATGCAAATGTTTTTCTCGAGTGATGGTTATAGAGAAAATTCTGGCTTCGATATTTTAATCACTCAAATCGATTGTGCTTCGACGACTTCATCCTCGATTGTACCTGATCCATATTTACCAAGACGAGGGTTACTACGACCTCCTCCGTCTTCACAATCATTGAACCCAAGACAACAATCGTCGACACCACCTTCGGAACCACAACTGTGTAATAAACTGTCCAACTCTCCGTTAGATGTGATTACAAGTCCACATTATCCAGCTGATTATCCTCCGTATTCAAGGTGTTCCTATGTTATCCATCGGTCATCGCCAGATATTTGTCAGGTCAAGTTACAATTTCTTAACCTCGATTTGGAAAAAACTTTAGACTGCCGAGCAGATTATTTACAAATTGAATCGACAAATGAAAAATTCTGTGGCCGTCAATGGTTCCTACCAGATAAAAGTAAGCAATTAATTGATTGTTGATCCAATCGGTTGTGTTTTCCATGAGCAATTGAATGAAGTCTGAGGATAGAAAAATACAAACAAAACGATTAGAGTTTGAATGTAATTAAATCACCGAATGTGGGTGAAAGTTAATCAATTTGACTGATTATTCAAACGACAAAAATGATGAATTTTGATGATGATGATGATGAGAAATTGATTCAATTGAAATGATTAAAATCTAATTTCTTTCTCTTTCTCTCTCTTTTTCTACTTATGTAATAGTTATACGATTCCCTTATAATTCTGACAATTTAAGACTCAATTTTATTTCCGATGGACAAATCAATCGACCAGGTTTCGAAATTAGAACAACTCAGATTAGAAATTCATGTTTCCGACCGGTCAACGAAGAAGAATCAAGTGGCCTGACCACAGATAACAACAATGTTTGCGATTCATCAAATCTAATTAAAAGTGTTTTCCGAAGTGCTAATTATCCAGCTCCATATCCAGCGAATGTCAATTGTATCTATCGAATTGAAAAATACTCTCGAAATGTTTGTCGGGTCAGTTTAATGTTTTCCGATTTTTCCGTGGGCACATGGGAACGACAGCGAATCTGTGTCAACGATTTTCTCTCCATTAACGGTAAACGTTACTGTGGCTATCGACGGGGAGAAGTTCTAACATTGGACTTTCCCCTGGACCAGTCGTACATTGATATTCACTTTAAAACCGATTCGGTTGACCATTATGGTGGATTTAGAATTGACTATAAACAGGAAACAGCTGATTGCGAATTCGGGTCTTCTTCTCAATCGCCTCTTCCCCCGCCACTTAATCGTCGTCTCATCTCAACCGGGTCTTCGTGTACAGGTCAGATATTTTATCGAACATCGTTCACCATCTCGACACCGGGAATCGATTCGGGCTCATATCAGGAAAATCTTGATTGCGGTTATTTGGTTCGCAAGGCTTCATATGATGTTTGCGCACTCGAAGTGATTTTCAACTTGTTTGATTTAGAAGAATCAACTAATTGTGTTAAAGATCATTTAGAAATTGATGGAATTAAAATTTGTGGCAAGTTACCATCAAATTCAGTTCGTAAGTACAATCAAAAAGCTTTTCAATAATCATATCTAAAAGTTAATCGTAATTTAAATCAATCAGATAAAATTGATTGTCCTCACAATGAGAATGACCTGGTTAATTGTTTAGTCTTTTAATTGTAAACAACTAATCAGTTTTCCTTGTTGATTTAATTGTTTGAGATGAATTTTTTTCATCCCAATTGCTTCAACACTTTCAAGGCAATTGAAATGTTTTCAAACAATTTAATTTAATTTAGCTTAGCTCTTAGTGATTATTAATTATTGACTCTTACTGATCATCAGCTCATCTTAATTGCTGTTGAGTTTAAGCTTATTGATTATCTGAATTGTTGTTGTTTTTTTATCGCAACAAATATCTTACATAATCAAAATCAATTCTTTGATTGTCAATTGTTCAAGGTTGAGCTTGTTTAATCATAACCTTGAAAATCAGTTAATCATTAAATCTTAGCTTAACATTTAACCGTTTCTAACAATTTATATTTTATCAACAAAGAAACAATAGATTCTAATCAATAATAATTATAATCAGTAATCAAGAAAATAATTATAAAGGATTAATAATTAGCTAACCAGTTAATTAAATAATAACCATTTAAGATAATCATTCATTTGCTGGTAGGTAATCAAGGTAAATCAACGATAAGTTTAATCAATTGTTCACTGATGACAATTGAACTTGTAATCAAGACACGAATCTAACAATTAACTAATAATATCAAAATTTGGGACAATTAATGTTAATCACGTTAAAGAGTAAAAAGAAAGATGGATGAAAGTTAATGTTACTTTCATTTGATCATCATTGAAGTTTAACCGATGCAGTTAATCATTTGCAAAAGATAATTAAGAAAATTAAAAGATAACAATTAACAAATTGTATTTTCTAATAAACAACAAAGTAAGATTAAGAGATAGAAAGTGAATGGAAAAAAAAAGAGAAATAAAAACAAAACTTACAGTTGATGGTAATTTATTTCGATAGATCGATTTGAGGGTGTTTTGTTTCAGTGAATTAAGTTAATTGTTTGTGTGTGTAATCAACTAATTAAGGAGCAAGTTAATCCGAGGATGAAGAAAGTGTCAACAATTCGAAGAAAATAGAGAGAGAGAGAGAGAATAAAGAAAAGAAAGAAAATAGTCCAAAGTTGTGATGAGTGAAATGTTTTGATAGCAAACACGTTGGACCATAATGAGAATTGAAGATCGCTAATCAGTTGCAATCAAATTTAAAGAGGTTATTCAATTAACCAAATTGGTTGTTAAGCTCCGTAAACATCATCATCAATTGAATTTGATTAGTATTTTTTTATATACAAACAAATATATAATAAAGATCATTAGTTGATGATGATGATGATGATGATGGGAAAACATAAACAAAACGGTTAATTGTTGGTTGATTGTTGTTGGCATTAACGGTGAAGCTAAAGGAGGAAAAAGGTTGCATTTTGTTAAGAAAGTTTTTCTTTTTATATTATTTATGGAAACAAAATAATCAATTAAATCATCATCATGATTAATATAAAATCTAATTTTTTTTGCTTTTTCTTTCAACTCTTTCTCTTTAGGAACCTATGAGTTTAAAGACAATGAATTGTTGATCAAATTTCACAGTGATTCCAATGGAACCGGAGCTGGACTTCTGTTGACTTTAAAGCAAATCAAATGTTGATTGGGATTTGATTGTTTTTTTCTTAATAATCTTTTTGTTTTGATTGGTAACAAAAAAATTAACGCAAATGTGAAACCGAAGGCGCCGAAATTGGAAGCTTACTTGGATTTGAGTCTTTTCAATTATCTAATTAAGAGAATTGTTGTTAATCAAAAAATATTTTCACTGTGTTAACTCATGATCATCATCAATAATCATCATTTAAATACTCTGTAAATGAGTGTAATCTTTTTGTGTGTTTGTTTACAGCGTTTGCCGTTGAATAACCAGCCAAATAAAAAACATTTTCATGTTTCTTTTTATACGTTGAAGTTGTGTCAGAATTTGAATATTTGATGAACACCTTTTGTATGTTTTGTATTGTCTTCGATGTTGTTGATTAACTTTTAGATGAAGTTAATTCCAGTGATAGACAAAACTTTGGACTTTTAAATGTAATATTTGTCTAAATTTTATATCAACAAAATATGAATAAATCTCTTTTGTGTTATTGGTTACATCCTCAGTTTGTTGACTGGGCCTGAGGCTGTAATGGTTGTTGGCTTGTCGTTGTTGTTGATACTGCTGCTGATGTTGTTGTTGTTGTTGTTGTTGCTGCTGCTGAAGATGATGAGGCTTGTTGAGAGGATGAAGATTGGGCGGTTGATGGTGCATGCGATTGAGAAGATTGAGATGATTGCTGGTGAGGAATTGATGATGATTGGGATGCCTGTTGTTGCATCTGTTGGTGTTGCTTTCGACGTCTTTGTTTGGACCACATTTCATGGCAATCTTGATGTTGTGGTAAACTATTTGAAGGAAGACAAAAAACATTTCAATTTATTGACATAAGAAAAAAATGAGAGACATCATGATAATCAATCAATGAGCTTATGATGTAATACTGATAGTCTATTGCAAATTGATCAAAAAGGGTAAATCGACACTTACGATGGTGGAGACATCGAACTGGCGTGTAACCATTCGGATTTTAAAGCTTCTTCAGCGGTTATCCTTTTAGCTGGATCAAGGCAAAGCATAGCATCTAACAATTCTAAAGCTCCTTTTGGTACACTATGAGTCGAAAGAGTAAATTAGATTAATGAGAGAGAAGAAATAAAATGAATTATGATGAATCAACTTACAAATTGAATTCTTCTCTTAATCTACGTTTGTACTGTTTCTTAGGCTTATAAGTATTCCACAATGGAAGGTAAATAACCTGGAAAATAATAATAATAAATATGAAAAAGAGACACAAGAGTTAAATTACTTGAAAGAAAATTAAGATAAACATAATTAAAATAAGTAATATTAGATTAACTTACAGAAGGCCATGATTGAGTAGTTGGTGTACCACACAATCTAGATATGCTTTCTAGTTGAACTTGTTCATTACTAGCTTGAAAAATTGGTCTTTTAGTAAAAAGTTCACCTAAAATACAGCTGAAGAAACAAAAAGAAATCATGATTATTAGAAATTAACTCGTATTAACAATTAAAGAAACAGAGAAAATGGTTATTGATTATTTTTCCAGTGGAAACACTTACCCACAACTCCAAACATCAATGGCTGGTCCATATCTTTCTTCACCTAACAACAGTTCAGGAGGTCGATACCAAAGAGTTATCACTTTATTTGTATAAGGCCTTAATTTATCTTCAGCACTAAAAAGTCGAGCCAAACCAAAATCAGCTAATTTAATTTGACCTCTAAATAGTTTGGAAAAATACAAAGCAATTGAAATTAGAGTGTTTTAAAAAAAAGATCATAATTCAAATTAACTAACCTGTTATTCATCAAAATATTTGAACATTTGATATCTCTATGAAGAAAATTATTTTTATGACAATAGTGAAGACCATCAATCAGCTGTCTCATTGTATGAGCAATATTGGCTTCATTAAAATTAACTAAACCACTTTCCAATAGTCCCATTAAATCATGATCCATATATTCAAAAACAAGATAGAAGGCACCTTTTCGTTTCGAGAGAAATTAAGTTAATTGTTAGAATGAGGATTAACAGTAATAGTTAAGGAACCTACAATTACCTTTATCTTTTCTAAAATCTAAAACATTTTGTTTATCTGTAACGATCTCTTTTAAATTGACAATATTTTCATGGTTTAATTGTCTTAAAATTTTTATCTCTCGAACCTGATGAATAAAAGGAACAAAAAAAGGAAAGAATTAATCAAATTAATTGTTCAAATTAATCAATTGTAACTGTTTTTCTCTTACCGCTGTAATTGGGAATCCTTCCTTTTCATTTTCTAAACGCACTTTCTTCAGTGCTACAATAGATCTGAAATTGAGAGAGGAAATTGAAAAATGAAAATGTTAATTAAAGAAGCGAAAATGATTAATTACTCTTGAAGGAAAATATAGAGAAAAAAATCCACTGGATTATGACAACTTACTTGTTAATCTTATCCTGAGCTTTATAAACTTGACCGTAAGTACCTTCACCTATTTGTGAGATTATGTCGAAAACGTCAACACAACGTGGATTTTGATCTTGATAAGGTGGATATGTTTTATTAAGAATTCGAGGACGTTTACGTATTCTATCTGGTCGATTTTGGTCATCTTCATCTGGATCAATTGATTCACCAGATGCTGCTGGCAATGGTAATTGAGTTAAACGTGAGTTTACTGAGTGATGAGACGAACCAGTTTGATTGGTTCGTTGAGATAATTTTGAGCCCACAACGGGTAATGGTAGTGAAGGTAATGTTGTCGCTCTCATATGTTCAAAACCATTATGTTGTTGAACTTGTTGGGATTGTAATTGTTGCTGTAATTGGTGAAGATGATGTGGATGATGTTGATCTGACATTATGGTTCCAGGATGAAGCATGTTTGAATTCATGGGTTGTTGGTGTGAAAGTTGTTGCGTATGTAGAGATGAAATTGGAAGCTGTTGAGGAGGCATAGGTGGCATGGGTGGTATCTCATTCATTGAAGTCAAATCACTTGGTTTCTTATTCTTAAATTTAGCTTGTTTCATCAATTCAGCTCCCAGGCTGCTGGATGCATATCTATTTTCCAAGGAGAGACCTTGATTGCGAGAACGAACATCATCATAGTTATCTCGATTTCGGTGAGGTGAACGAGGTGAGGGTGACCTTGATCCAGGTTTAGAGGACCGACCAGGTCTAGATGAATGTGGTGACCTTCCTGGAGACCTGATAGTACGGCCAGCGCGTGGAGATAAAAGAGGTGAAAGAGGAGCTCTTCTAGAACGAGGAGAGATTGGAGTCCGTCGGTATCTTGGTGATCCAGGTGATCTTGGTCTAAGTGGGGAACCAGATCGATCCCTGAATTTAAATTCAAAACAGAAAACAGATTAATATCAATAGACAAAACAAAAAACAATAGGCATTAGCAAGCTAATTTAAATAAGCTACTTAGATAAGATAGGATTTAAAGGAAAGCTTAAGAATATAATCAGATAGAATTTGGCAAAAAAACATGGCGATGAATAATTACCTTTCATAAAGATTTCTTTTGGAACTAGAGTTAGGGGGAGATTTATGGCGAGATCTGTCCTTAGATTTCTCATAAGGTGACCTGTCTCTGGTTCGTTCATGGGATCTTTCCCTTGATCTATCGAAAGGTGAACGGTCCCTTGGATGATCAAAAGGTGAGCGATCTCTGGTTCTTTCGTAAGGCGAAACATCTTTAACTCGTTCATGAGGTGATCTTTCCCGTGATCTGCCTCTTCCATTTGATGAATACTTGCTACCCCGTCCTTGATCTCTAGATGACCTATTTGAATGACTTTTGTTACTCCTTGAAGCAGGATCAGCTCTTCTGTTGGGAGATGATTTATCTCGACTTCTAGGAGTGGGAGATATTTCTCTACCGGAGTATCTTTTATCCCTGATTGGTGATCTATTGTATGATGTTGGTTTACGGGAGGAAGTTGATGATGAAGATGTTGGCGGATATTTAGCTCGATGTGGTGATTTTTCCCTTTCAGTGAATTCCTTTGAACGATCACGATCTTTACCTCTATTACCACTGTCAACATGTCTTGGTGGACTTGGTGATCTGTCCCGGCGACGTTTAGAACTGGCAATATCACCAGGTGGCGGTGGACTTTTACTCCAAGAGGTTCGTCTGAATGATGTTGACGAAGAGGGTAAAGGTGGTGGCGGCGGAGGTGGAGGTGACCATGAAGGTTTACTAGAATGAGGGCTAGGAGATCTTCTCCTTCTAACATCACTATGAGGAGGTGTACGAGATTTTGATTCTCGATGATTTTTATTACGTTTTTCAGTTTTATCATAATCAACTGAAGGTAATTCAGGTGGTGTTCTGGATCGAAGAAGAGGTGGCGGTGGAGGCGGAGGTAGTTGTCTTTTGGATGATTTCTTTTTCCTTATTTCAGAATCTTCTATTCTTGGTTCATCCATATCACCAATATGAATAGGAGAAAGATGGTCTGTTGATTTTTTAGGCTTATCTATGAAAGAAGAAGGTGATTTTTCTGGTCTCAATTTAACTGAAGGTGAGGCTTCTTCTATCCTAGATTTTGATGGTCGAGGACTTTGAGGAAGAGTTGTTTCTTTTTCCAGCTCTTTAGTTAGAACTGGCGATGAAATTTGACTGATTTCTTCTTCACCCAATGGCGGACTTTGACTACTAATACGTGATAAAGGTGAGTCTGGATAGTCCTCCCTTTTATTAGATACTTTAACTGAGCTAGTTGATTCTTTACCAGCTTCACATTCTACTTCACCTTCTTCGGCATCATCCTGGTAAAGGAAAGTTAAGAATAAGAGAGAGAGAGAGAGAGAGAGAGAGAGAGGAAAAAAATTAGACAAAAAATATAAAAAAATAGACAAAATTTTCTGGGTGAAAAGAGTGAAAAATATTTACATTTCTTTGGTCATCAAAAGATTGAGATTGAATGTCATCTGTATCCGAGATATCGTCATATTCAGGTACAAGAGGCTTTGAGCTCAGAATCCTAGGCTTTGGGTCATATTGATCGTCATTAGGTTCTTCTATATCATCACCAGTCTCATTACGACGGCTCCTGTGCCGATCCTTTTTATGACGCCTATGTTTACTTGTAGAAGATGATGAAACATCACTACGATCCATAACACCAGAAGTATGTGGACGATGTTTATGTTTCCGGTGTTTCTTTTTCTCATGTTTATGGTGTCTATGTTTTGAGGAATGTTTTCTCTTCGCAGCAGAAGAATCATGTTCAAGGTGACGGTTTGATTCCAAATCTTGACCAATATCGCAGTCATCATCAGAGGATAATGGTGAATATAGACTATTGGATGACATGTTACTAAAAGAGAAGAGAAATAAAAAAAATTATGAAGGAAAAAGACGAATATATAGAGAAGAGAGAATAGAGAAAGAGAAAGAGAGAAAAAAAGAAAAAAGCGAGAGGAGAGAAAGCAAAAAGACGAAATAAGGAGCCAACACAAAGACAGAAGAAAGAAAAACGAACCATCAGCAAATGGAATAAAAAACTGTACCTAAGACACAGAGATTAAATTGAAGAATAGAACAAAAAAAAACAGAAATCAAAATATTAAGAAGAATGTGTAAAAATCATCAAGAAGTGAAGATAGAAGACAAACCAACCATTGCTGGTTTTTTTTCAACACACAAACATATAGCGAGAGAGATAGAGAGAGAGAGAGTAAATAGCAATAGAGAAAAATATAAGGGGTGAGAAAAAGAGAGAAGAGAAAAAGTGGAAAAGTGAATAGGCAGCAAAGTCGCTGTTTAGAAAATGGTCAACATGCAAGCGACCAAATGACCATTTTAACTTACCTGATTTACAACCGAAAACAAGGATAATAATTAATTAAACAGCTAAACGATAGATTAATTAATTAATTTACAGAAATTTAATGAAAAAAAAAACTAACTCATTTTCTCATCTCACTTATATTTTTTGTTCCCTTGGCAACGGAGTCTAACAGTCCGAAGGGACCGATTCCTAATTTAGAAAAGAAAATTTTTAATTTTCTTCTCTAAAAAATAGTTAATTGTTTCGATTTTAATTCTAATTGAAGTTTGGAGAATTTATTTTATTTATATTATGTATATTGTGGATTTTGATTTTGATTTTGATTTTGAAGAATTGGGTTGGAAAAGGTTAGTCAGTTTGAGTGGATTTTGATTGTGACTTTAAAGTTGACTAATTGTTGTTTTAATTGTTGTTGTTGATTTAAAATCAATTAACTCATTCAACTTTGATCTTCATTGATTAAGGTTCAACTGTTGATTATCAGTTTTAACTTTGAGGCTTCATTATGGTTGTAAAAAAATCAACGGATGTTAATATTTCCTGTTGTTGTTGGTTAACAATCAATGAACAATTAATTTCCTTTTAAACCATAATTATGATTGTTATGAGATGAAAACAATTTAACTTGATGATTAGTATGACAAACATCAATTTATTGCTCGTAATGTTTTTAAATTAAAGAAAATATCAGAATAGTCTTGAAACTAAATTAAATCAATATGATTGATGTGAAATGTTCATCAACTAATACCAAGTTAAATTGTGACGCTAATTGTGAAATTTATAATGAATGGACATCGATTTACAATCAACCCGAGATTGAAGTGATCATTTTAATTCCAAATGGTTTAATAACAACATTAACAGTCACAAGTGAGACTAAATTGTTTGAAATTAAAGAGGTAATCAACTTTGTAATACTCGAAGGTCAATTTTCCGTTCCACTAATTGTTTACTCTAATTGTTAGGAAGTTTTTGATTTAGCCGGTGATCTGCCAATGTACGGGGCCCTTTACGATAGACAGGGTTACATATTTACCTGTGTTAATTTCACCACCGGTGAACAGGAGGAAATCGATGAGACGAGAACAATTAACGATGTGAAACCTTTCATGAAGATACTTCGATTGCTTGAACGAAAGGGTAACATCGCCTCGAAACAATTAAACGCTCAAATTGGTCCATTGATTGGAAAAGGTACATTAGAACATTTAAAAAAATTCGAACTTTTTTTGTTCTTCTTCTTTTCTGAATAATTCATTTTCTTTTTCATATCTTAGGATTACATGAATTCGATGCTTTGAAAAATTCTGAAATCAATGACTTCCGTTGGAGAGTTAGGTTAAGATGTGAAGAGATTGCTGACCAACGGTCAAACGGTTCGTGGATCGATAAAGTTAAATACAAATATCCAGTTCGAATTGAACCAATGAAAGAGATTCCTTTATATTTGAAAGATCATTTATCAAGTGGAACAATTAAAATTCAAACACGAATTAAATTAAAAGATCCAATTGAAATGACAGTTAATTATATGAGTAAAACTGTTGATTTGATTAAATTAGCTTTCCAACAATATCAATTGGATTACGATGAAAATAATTACACTTTCAAGATATTTGGTCAAGAAGAGTATCTTCTTGATTGTCAACAATTAATTAATTACAAGGTTTGTCTCCATAGTCTCAATAGTTAATTGTTTAGAATTTTTTTTTCTTCATTCTAATTATCTTTTAATTGTCATTGCAACAGTATGTTCGGGAATCATTGGCTGATTACCAAGTACCATCGTTCATAATTGTCGCTAATTCAGACATTGAAAGTGAGTGATTAACTTTATTGTTGAATTAGTTAACTAATTGTAATCTTATATCTTGACAGTCGCTGAGAATTACATAGTAAATCAATCGGATGATTTTCGTCAACGAAGTGCATCAATCGCTTATTCAACAATGGCCGGAACTAGTCGTCGAAAGGCCAAACCGAAATCATCGTTTGCAATCAAGGATAAATTTTCGATCACAATTAACAATTGTATTAAAATTAACCATTCGGACGATGTGAAAATAGCTCTTTCAGTTGGTCTCTTTCACGGCGGTTCCATGTTAGCCCATCAATTGACCACAAGTGAAGTTGAAAGTACCGAAGGTTCAGCGACTTGGGACGAAACTTTGACCTTCGACATTTCTATTTGTGACCTTCCTCGAATGACTCGACTTTGTCTCGTTTTAAACGAGATTATGGTTCGATCTCGAAAAGGATCTCGAACCGTTTTCTTTAGTTCAAAAATCTCTTGTGACATAACAACAAATCAATTACGTTGGGTTAACACTCCACTTTTTGATTATCGTGGACAATTAAAAACGGGTAGTTACACTTTTCCAATGTGGCCTTATCCCGAATCGATTGATGATCTGACTGAGAATTATTTTAATCCACTCGGAACCGTTTTACCAAATCCATTCTGTTTAGAATCGACTTGCTTAACAATCACTTTTCCCAAACACTCATCAATCAAATCTAATCAAGAATCGGCCATTTATTACCCGACCCTGGACACGATATTGACCCTTTCGACGACAACGATCCCGAAAGAATCCCGAGGATCAGGTGACCATTCACCATCATCTCGATATTTGGAACAGTTAAAATCGATTTGTACTCGAGATCCATTAACCGAAATGGCCGCTAAAGATCGCGAACTACTTTGGTACTTTCGTGAAGATCTAATTCTTTACCTTCCAACAGCATTACCTTATTTACTTAATTGTGTCAATTGGTCAAATCATCTGTCGGTTTGTTCAATGTTACGTTTACTTGACCGCTGGCCGAAACTGGAACCTGAGCTTGCCCTTCAACTGCTTGATTATGCCTACGCTGACTGTACCGTTAGGTCATATGCCGTTTCTTGTTTAAGATCAATGTCCGATGACGATTTATCCCTTTACCTGTTACAATTAGTTCAAGCACTTAAATACGAGTCTTACCTTTATTGTGACCTGGCCTTGTTTTTACTTGAACGAGGATTAGTTAATCGTCGATTAGGTCACCAACTATTTTGGTTACTTCGATCTGAAATGTCCGAACCAAGTGTCTCAACTTATTTTGGACTTTTACTTGAAGCTTATTGTCGAGGATCAATTGATCATATGAAAGATTTATTCAGACAAATGGAAGCCATTAATAAGCTTAAACATATGAACGAAATAGTTAAACGTGAATCAATCAAACGGAAGGAATCAAAGGAACGAACTTTGACCGTGGTTATGCACGATATTCTAGAACAGTCCTACTATAAGGAGTCACTTCGACAGATCACTAATCCTCTTGATCCAAGGATTAAATTGTCAACCATCAAGGTGGACAAATGTAAACTAATGGACAGTAAAATGAAACCTCTTTGGTTGGTCTTCAATAATTCAGATCAAGGTTCCGATGAAGTGTCAATTATATTTAAAAACGGCGACGGTAAGTGAATTGATACTTGCGACAATTAGTTGGGACTAAATTTTCGATTTTTGTTTTGACCTTTAAGACTTGCGACAGGACATGTTGACCCTTCAAATGTTTCGTATTATGGATAAACTGTGGAAAGATGAAGGACTTGACCTTCGATTAACACCTTATCGGGTTATCGCCACGGAGAAAAGTGTTGGACTCATTCAAGTTGTACCTTCGACTCAAACACTGGCCAAGATACAGAAAAGTAACTCAATGAAAGCGACCTCAGCATTCAACAAAGCCTCACTTCTTAATTGGCTCAAATCTCACAATACAACGGAATCAACACTAACTCAGGCCATTCAACAGTTTACCCTTTCGTGTGCCAGTTACTCGGTGGCCACTTATGTACTCGGTATTGCCGATCGACATTCAGATAATATTCTGGTCAAATCAAACGGTCAAATTTTACACATTGACTTTGGTCATATTCTTGGTAAATTTAAGGAAAAATTTGGCATCCGTCGTGAGCGAGTTCCCTTCGTATTAACCAATGATTTCGTCTATGTAATCACCGCCGGTGGTACTCGAAGAGCGGACTTTAACACCTTCCAATCAACCTGTGAACAAGCATTTATCATCTTATGGAAAAAAGGTCACTTTATATTATCACTTTTCGCAATGATGCTCTCAACGGGAATTCCCGAATTATCGTCAATCCGTGACCTGGACTATCTTCGGGAAACTCTTGTCCTCGATTACACCCAAGAAGAAGCCTTAGCCCATTTCAGGTCAAAATTTGACGAAGCCTTGAAAAATAGTTGGAAAACAAACATCAATTGGTTAGCTCACAATATCGCCAAGGATAACAATTAACACAACAATTGATTATCAACAAAAATCATTTTTTTCTTTTTATTTAAATTGTTCACAAAATGGGGCGAAATTTATAATTTAAAGAATAACAATTAAAAATTCCATTTAAATTGTTTCCAATTGAATTTGATGTTACCTTAGTGTTGCCCAACTGTAATAGCTGACCTTTCGTTTCTTGACCAATTGATCGGGCACATCATTTGTTGGGACATTAACTAAACTGGACGTTGAATATTCAGCTAATGAAGGTGGAATTGAATCATCATTGTGACGATTGTGTCTCTCAATTGGATTGTTAATCGATTCACCATTAATGTAATCACGTGAATCGGATTCGGAAAATAGGAAAGATATTAAATTAGAAACAATTATGATACCAATTAGTGTAAATAGTGAAGAGATTACAATAATTAACCAAATTGCTAGAACCATGTTAATTGAAGGAAAATTGAAAACAAATGAAAAGAGAATCAAATTAATCTCGACAGTTAAAAGTGAAAAATAATTAACCCATTAAGAATCGAATTGATCAACGAGCTTGAAGAATTGTGAACAAAAATCAAAGAGAAAAAAACGAAAAATCGAAAAATCGAATCGATGTATCGAAAAGACGAAGATAAAAAACCGGCGACAATTAAATTAATTTTAATTATTCTATGAGAATTAAAGAACAATTAAAGAGAAATTATCTGATTGGAGGTGGAAAAAAGTTCTCATTGTAAATAGATAAAAACAAAGCCGAACAAGAGTGAGAGAAACGATGAGATTTCAAGAGAAAAAGAAAAAAAATTTGTTCGAGCAAAAAATCATTGGAGATGCCGGGGATCGAACCCGGGGCCTTTCACATGCAAAGCGAACGCTCTACCACTGAGCCACATCCCCAACACGAAGTAAATTGCTGATATTTTTCATCTAATCACTGATTTCATTTTTTCTCTTTTTCCACTTTTTCGGCTCATCTTTTCACTTTTTCAATTTCTTTTCATTTAATTTTCCTTCAACACTCAACTCACCATCTCAAATAAAAAAACCTTCTCTCTCTCTCAACAAATTCTCCTCTTGGTTACATGGAAAATCTCTCCAAATATTCCGACAAAATTGCTCGAACAGGAAAAGTCAACAAATCACATGAGATAAATAAAAAGAAACAAAATTTAGATAGAAATGTAAACAAAAGTGTCAATTGCTTTTCTTTTAACTTGCGCATGCGCAAAAGAATTCGAATTTCACTCACCAGGTGGAGATTATTTTGATTCTTTTCTCTCATCTTCAATTGGAAATTATTTTATTATGTTGTTGTCACCGAATTTGTAGTGATTTGTATTTATTTTGTTTCTCTTGTCGTCATCAATCTAATTGTGAATATAAAAGAAGAAAATAGTTCACTCAACGCCATTAGAAGGCCTTTTAAGTCTTCGAAAATCTTAAATTTCCAATGGCCTCACCAAGAAATCATCGTTTCTCTCCAACAACATTATCATCTCATTTACCATTTTCATCTTCTCCCAAAAACTCTGATGCTCCATCAGTTAAATGTGGTCAAATATTTTCACTTAACATTAGTAGTTATGAATTTGATAGAGGCTGGGAAGGTATTCCTGCTAATTTAATAATTAATTCGATTATTTTTGCGGTAAGAATATAGAAAAAAATGTTCCTTTTTTACACCTTCTCTTATCTCTGTTTTAAATCCAATTTTACCTGTTCTCTAACTCTAACCAGAGAGATAATGGTTTTCCTTTCTCTCTCTCTCTCTTCTCTCTAAACAAATACTAACACAATACACACATAATAGGAACACCTTTTTCTCTAACAAGCGAAATCTTTAATTCTTTTTCTCTATTCTCTTTTTTCTTTACAGTCTATGATAGTATTATTTTCTGCTATCCGTAACAATGCATGGAATCGTAAATCTAGTCAATTGACAAGAACCCACAAAGGGTAGGTTGTGTTTTCTTTTTCAATTCATTATTGATTATATTCACTTACATAACATGGAATCAAAGAGTCAAACAAAAAACAAGATTAATTGAGTTGAAAATGTGCAAAGCTGATTAGAGGTTGCAAATCTCTTTCTTTTTCTCTTTCTCATTTTCATGATGATGATGATGTTTAATATATGTAATAGAAACATCAACTCTCCATAGTCTCATTTAAATGTTTAATTGTCTATGGTGTTATACTTTTGTCTTTCTGATGATTATCATTACATGCTGACCTTGATTCTCATGAAATCTCATATTGCATTTAATATACGCTTTGATTGTCAAAAAAAGTTATCTGATTGATTCACTTATGTTTTTTTATTCTTTTCTTTTCTCCCTTTTGTCTATTTATTTCTATCTCTCTCTCTCTCTCTCTCTCTCTTTATCTTCTCCATCTTTTTTAGTTGGATTCAATTTATTTATGGTGATAGAGAGAATCGTCGTGAACCAAGGAGAGCAGCAATTTACACTGATCACCATGATCATGATCATCAAAAATTTAGCCATCTTCTATTACCACCCACAGCAGCTGATATGTCAATTAGACAGGAAATGAATAATATTGAGACAAGTGTAGATATTCAATGTGATGGTGAATTAGAAAATGAAACTCATCTATCAGTTCAAACTCGCCGTAGTATCCCTGGTTCATCATCTAATTCAATTAAAACTGACACTAGCGGAAGTAATGGTAATAGTAATGGAAACTATCGACCAACTAGTGAACAAGTTAACTGCGATATCGGAATGAGCGGTGGAGATAATACCAATCATGAAACAACCACAAGAAGAACCAGATCAATTTTTGATCGGTCTATGGTAAGAAATTCAATCAGAGAACAAGAAACTTAGAAAATCCCTCTAAATGATATCAAGACTCTAAGGATAATTAATTAAGTTACAACGAGAGTGAAAAATCAATAATCTTTCATGATGATGATTCCATGAACAAACCGATGGTAATTTATTAGATATTCAAGGAGTATCTCCTTTTTTTACATCTATGGAAATGCTACATCATTGTTGACCTTGTGGAATATTGAAAACCAGTAACATCTTCATTTTAATTTAGTATTTACATAGAATCACTTAGGTTAATTCTTCAAATGTTTTACAGCTTCTTCTTCTTGTGATAATTGTCATTTAATTTTGATTAGTTAATCCTGAACATGATGATTATGTGATTTCCATTCCAATTGACATTTTCCTTTTTCTTTATCATCTTTCTCTCTGATTGTAAACTATTTCTCTTTTCGTGTTTTCAAATTCTCTTGATTAGTTTTCTTTTCACTTAATAGTAAAAGTCGATAGGATTTTCCCTTCACTCTCTCTCTCTCTTTTTACGCATCTAATTATCATCAAGTCGATTGTTAATCACAATCGTTGGTCTGACAAAATGCAACGATAACCTTGTTCAACTTATTTAATCGGGTAACCATGGACTCAAATAAATCGCCATCTTGTTTTCTTAAAGTTTCGTTTATTGAAGTAAGATTAGCCGATTCTCTGAAGCCAAATGCCCCAGGATATGTGATTCCAAGAAGACCAGTCTTGACCAGAGGAATAATAACTAATCAGATCCATAATAATTAAGAGAGAGAGAGACAGAGATAGAAAATGACAACAATTAACAGTTAGTTTCTTTTTAATCAGGTTAAATTGTAATTATTTCTGAACAGTTAAGTCTATCACAGATTTTGATTAATAATTGACTTAAAAAGTTAATTCTAATTATCATTGATTCGATAATATTTTCTGTTAACACTGTCAAATTAATTGGTCTTCCTTGTGAATTAATTAATTGATTGCTTATACTTGGTACTCGAGGAGCTAAAGTTTCAGAATAATAAATTCCCAAGAAACCAGCCCATACTAACGGAATAGTAACTGAATGAATACAAAGAAAAATTTACTGATTACTTTGATTTCACATTTATTATTGAGTTAATTGTTCTTGCAATTATAATTATATTATATCATTAATCTCATTTTCTAATTTAGTTGTAGGTTAAATTGGAGAAATGAAATTGAAAAATGATATTAGAAATTAACTCCTTCTAAACATAATAAGTATCATCATCACTATTTTATTATTATTACAATTAACTGATCATCTTATCACTTTCTCACATTCACATAAAATCCTTAATTGTTACACGATTATGATAATATAATAACATTATTATTGTTATGATTAATACTTAATCATTTACAGCTTTACAAGTATATAATAGGATTAACCTGAAACCAAACTGCACTTAATTATTAATACTCATTGATTAAGTGTGTTGACAATTGTGTTAATCCTTTTCATTTGCTATCTTCTATTTATGATTAAATGTTAACAAATGATTATCATTAATTGTAACAATTAGTTGATTACCTTAACAACTAACTCAAGATAAGATTGATTATCATTATTATTATTATTATTTTTCTCATCACATGAATTATCATTTATGATTATATTTGTAACTATTGATTGACAATCATGATTGACATTTGACAATTTAATTTTTCACCATTATAATGATGTTTACATACATTCAACCTTTCAACCAATATAAACAAATATAATTACAACAATTAATTCGATAATTAAAATAATGATAATAACTCACCAAGAACATTGAATATAAAAAGACAAATCAACCCAATGGTATTGAGAATTGAAATATATTCACCCGAAACTTGATTATCTTTTTCAATGGCACTTTTACCAATCCACGAAGGTAGAACACTAAATCTTGGTTTTCGTTTAGTCGACATGATTAAGAAGAACAATTAACAATTAACTTTAATGATGAATTTCCTTTAATTTCCTTTGATTTCCTTTTCCAAAATGTTTTTCGTTCAAAAATAGATCTATGATTTTCTTTGTTTCTCTTGTAACTTTGAACTTGAGAAAACAAACTCCAACCCAAATAATGGTCCTAATGGTCAATACTAATAATGTTTTTCCTTTCTCCTAATAGTCAACCACCGAGATTGGTTACTGGTTATGTGATATTTTGTGTATTAAGGATCGAGATATATTAGCAAAGAAAGGGAGTGATGCTGTCCAATACCTGATCTTTCAACGTTATATCATTTACTTTCTAACACTGTTGACTTTCATCTGTATGTTTATCATATTGCCCATCAATCTTCAAGGGAACACAGGTAAATATCATATGACATAAACAAGAAACAAACAATCAACTATAAACAAGATTTGTTATTCATTTAGATTATGTTTTCCACGAATATTATAACAACACTAACAACAACAGAAAAGAAAGAGAAATGTTTAAATATCTTTTTCTTCTTGGAATAATATAATGATGACGATTTAAACTCTTTTTTTCTTTGTTTGAAGAAATTAATTGTTGATTGTTAATTAATCTGCTTTTTTTTTGTATATAATTTCTACTTTAGAGCCTTGGAATAAACCCTTTGGCCGAACAACCGTTTCCAATATTGGCGGAGATGAGAATCTCTTATGGGCTCATGTAATTATCTCAATACTCTTATTACCTGTTGGAATTGCGTTTATGTGTCACTTTTCAAAGCGTATAAAAGCGGACGAGTTGCGAATTGTAAAGAGGACACTTTATATTCGTCGAATACCTAAATCAAAACGATCCAAGGATGGATTGGCAGCTCATCTTAATCAATTGTTTCCCGATGTTATCATTGAGGGAATTCAATTTGTTTATAATACTCGAATACTGAAAACCCTTCATCTTGAATATAATAATGTTGCCAATGCTAAATACTATTGTGAAGAGTATCTTAATGAGTATCACAAAAGGTGTGATGTTTATCCCTATTTTCTTGGTCACTTAGGACCATATAGCTGTTGTGGCTGTGATAAAGTCGATGGTATCTCTTATTATGAAGGTCGAGAGCAAGAATTGGAAAGAGAAATTGAAAAGGAGTTTCGAACATGCATCTCAGATCCATCAGGTTCAGCATTTATCACTTTCCAGAATGAAAAAATGGCTCAAAAGTAAGAAAATCATGATAATCAACTATTTATCAATTTCTATCAAAATTTCAATCAGAATCATAAACAACCATTAACACCTACTTCCAATAACAATTATCATTATTTTTTCTAATTGTCAATCACAATGGTTTCCAATATAATAATTGGGGATCATCCTGTCCCTTTAAATATATATCTAATTACTCTGTAGATTAATAATAGTAGAGCAATTTTCCTGTTTCCTATTTCCTTTTTACTCTCTCGTCATCATCTCTCCCTCTCCCTCTCTCTCTCTCTTGTTTACATTTATTTTTGCACTTTAATCATATTTTTGTAATATCATTTCTCTTTTCATGTTATTATATCAACAGAGTTTATCGAGCCTTACGAAAAAATCAAGAGGAATCATGTACACTTTTCCCATGTAATTGCTGCTTTCGACTTGGAACTGCAATCAGGAAATTATTTCACCAAGGTTCTGATGAATTTGAAACAACTCGATGGCTGGTCAGTTATGCACCTTATCCAGATGATATCAATTGGTGAGACAATTAGACAAATAATGTCACTTGCACTTAGAATTACAATGGATCGATTATTATTATTATAAATACTTTCATAATATCTAATCATTAATCTTTGATTTATCTACTCTTTTTATTTTCTCACCCAGGGATGATATCGCTGTTGATTATAAGCTAATCTGGATGCGTCGGATTATTGTTCATCTTTGTTTATTTGTTTTATTTTTCTTCCTATCAACACCATTAATCGTTTTATCTTATCTGTCAGTTCTTAAAATCCAGGAAACCCTTGAAACTGGTCTAACTGCAGTGGTAATTATATTATATATAAATCTAATTCTTATCCAGATAATATTTTTCAAAAGAAATGATATCATTTCCAATGTTAATCAAATGTCATTATTAATTAAACTCTTTTCTCTCTCTCTCTCTCTAATTACAGACTCCATTTGCTGCTGAATATCTTGCACCTCTTTTAATGGTTATCGCTGCTATCATATTACCTTCATTTGTTATATTAGCCTCCCAATATTTGCCTTACAAGACAATGTCAGATTTAAATCACTCAATCATGTGGAAAGTTTATTTATTTTTAATTATGATGGTCATTATTTTACCTTCTTTAGGTTTAACTAGGTTAGTTACCGAGAACTAATTGTTTACCTCCATTTGAATTTGAATTTGTCTCCCTTGTACAATTAACTAATAATTATTATTATTTCTCTCTCTCTCTCTCTCTCTCTCTCTCTCTTAATTATATTAGTGCTTCTGCTTTACTTGAATCATTGGCAACCAAAAATTTTAAAAAATTCAACTGGGAATGTTTATTTCCAGTGGATAATGGAGCCTTCTTTGTAAATTATGTTCTACAATCAACTTTACTAGGAAATGCTATGGAGTTATTACGTTTTCCTGAATTATTTCTTTACTTCTTTTATTATACTTTCTCCTCGAAAACACCGGCCGAATATGAGAATGCTCGACAACAAGTTATCTTCGATTTTCAATTCGGTATTCGTTATCCTCGATTCCTTCTCATCTTTTGTATGGTTGTAACCTACAGTCTTTCTTGTCCATTGATTGCTCCATGTGGTAAGTTAATTGTTACAATTTAACGTTAGTTTATTTGGTACTTCTTTTCTTTACAGTTGATTTACATTTAAAACTTCAATCAATCAATCAATAAGATAGAAAGCAAAACAATCAATCCTACAAAACCTCAAGTCAATTTTATATATACACATTATTATTTTGATTGTTATCATAATAGTAAAGTATTTATATAAAAATAGTAATCACTTAATTCATTGAAAGACCATATTCATTACAATGGTAATGATAATTTACTAATAATATCAACTATTAATTATCTTTGATTACTTGGATATATTATATTTCTGTTGCCGGAAAAGGAAAGAGCAACAAACTTTTTACTCTTCTCGTGTTAATAATCATCATCATTTCAATAATCAGTCAATAATTGACTGGGAGATTATTGATTGACAATTAAGTTTCTTTTTCACTTTATTTTTTTTCCTGGTTTACAATCAGTATAAATAATTAGTTACTTAGAGATTGAACAAAATCAACTAACTTACCTTTTTCCCTATTGATTGTTGATTGTTGTGGTTTATTGTTTAATTTAACTTGAACCATATTGATTACAATTTAAATCGTTTCTTTAATAATCATGATGATGATGAGAAATTATTTTATAACTGTGATATTGTTATTGATGTAAATTGTAGCAGTTTAATGATAATTTAAATGGGCAATTAACACAATTAAAACCAAATTAAACTAAATCATTATCAATGGATATGATTTAAAGTCATTATTTTAGTTTTTTTTATGCTTTGAACTTGTTTATTGTCACAAAATTAACAATGGTTATAACTAATTGAGTTTTAATCTGTTAACGTCGATGAACAAAATAATTAACTTAATAAGCTACATTAACTTAATGATTAATGATTATAACTAATTCATTAGTTACCAATCGATACAATCTATTAATGTATTATCAGATTTTTAGATTTGATTTCACTCAACAACTTAATTGATTTTGATTCTCTCTCAACACAATCGAAACTAAATTATAAATAAGTTACTAATTATTTACTTTCTTTCTTAATCATTAGGTTTACTCTACATGGTGGTTAAACACATTGTCGATCGATACAATATTTACTACGTTTATACGCCAAGTAAAATCAATGGACGAATTCATTCAACGGCTATAACCTTTTTCCACATCGCGATACTCATGATGATTTTTCAAATATTCACCTTTTGCTTTCTTCGAACTGGACAAAGTAGTTTAACGAAAGTTTGTCTAGTGTTGGTCATCATTGCAACAATCATTTTCTCCGGTCATTGTTTTTTCCATTGTTTCTGGAATATCAATCATTTAACTTACAATGTAAGCTGATCCAAACACCATGATGATGATGATGATGATGATTATATTTCAACTCTAATTGTTTAACATTTCTTATTATTAACTATGCACAGTAATCATGATAACTATTGTTTATTGTTATACTTTTTTTTCCTATGTGTGTGCGTGTCTGATTATTTAATCAGTTATCTGGTTGTTAATGTTAATTGAATAATTAGTTTTTCTTTCTGTTACATGAAAACCATGAGTAGTAAATTGAATTTAGGTTTTTATCATCATCATCATCGTGATTGTGTGTGTGAACTTTATCATTCATTCTCGTTATTAATTGATTGTTTCTTTTTCTTTTCTAGTCTACTACTCGACGTGCATCAAAACGAACCAATTTAAAGGAGTTCTGTGCATGTTCGTATTTACCTCCTGTGCTTTTTGATCTTAATGTTAACGGTATCGTCCCTCCAGAATCTCAGACAACTCGTAATTATGGATCTCTAACACCGACACCGACGAGTGTACCTATGACCTCAAGTGAATCGAGCACGCGTTTGAATATCTCTTCATTAACAACATGATATTGAGAGATAATTGTTAGCACTTAATTAGAATTTAAATGAAGAACCAAACAGCTGATCTTAAGAATGGTGCTGTTCTCATACAAAGCACATCAATTTATCGGGAAGGAGAAAAGATCAGATTTTAATAACAGTGATAATTGAATCAAATCAATTACTTAATCATGATTGAAATTAACACCAACATCTATTCACTACTAAAACAACAACGATGAATTAGCAAGAGAAAATGGAACAATTTCTCAGAATTTTTTTCAAATTCTTCATCGAATCTTCATGGAACCATTTTTCTCTCTTCCTATTTAATCTCTCTCTCTCTCTCTCTCTCTCTCTCTCTCTCTCTCTCTCTCTTCTCCTTTCTTTCTCTCATCTAATATCACTCACTCATTTCTCTCTCAAAAAATCTCTCCCTTTCCCTCTCTTTCTAAATATTGATTTCTCATTGATGAGAAATCTTTTCAGAAACTCAACCTTTTTTAATCCAAACCTTAAATTAATTAACAAAACTAAAACTGTTATTTAGATTTTTAGATGAAACAGATTAAGATACTAGTCAACAACAACAACAAATCAACTTAAACAATTAACGATGATGATTAAGTCTTTTTTTCTGTATATCACAAATCAAACAATCAAAAGTTGAATGGACAACAAGAGAGATTGAAAGTAAATAAGGAAGCAGAACTGCTGATGATTAGAATCATAATCAAACTATTTTAATCACAGGGAAAAGGATACAAATTGATTACGATGATATTATGAAAAAAAAACTTAATCATGGAGCTAATCAATTCGAATGACATTAACTATTTCATCGAGATTCCCTTTTTTTTGAGTTAATTAACCTTAACATCAATATACAAATCGAAAAACCTTTCAACTAAATCAAATCGTAATCAATTTTACAATTACGAGAGGAAAACAAGAAGCGAAAACCTAATTAATTAACTTTTTAGATGCATAATACACTCACAATTATTTAAATACATAAATTAATTATTTTGGTTAACAAGTTGTATCATCAAGAAACACAAACTCGGATTTCAAACAGTTAAAACATTGTAATCAATTGTATCTCTTGCCTTTTTTTTGATTGTAATTATAACTGGAAAATAGTTAATTGTAATAATAATGAGAATTGCGATTGTATCAAATGAAATTATCCTAATCTAAATTGTTCTGTTTTGTATTAATTGTAAATCACCAACAACAACACCAAGAAATGAAATGAAGCGAATTGTCAAGTTTTCATTGATAAACTAAATCAAATTGGATAATTAAAGAAGAGCAATCAATCAATGTTGATACAAACAACAGTTAATTAATAATCAATGTTATTAACAGTTGAAAAACAAATCAGTTCAATGAATATAAACATAATTGTTTTAATTGTTAAAATAAATCGTCTTTCATTTACTTGATTATCCTTAACAAACTTTTTCGTATTCAAAGATAAGGATAAAAAGGACATTTCGTATTGGAGCAAATTGTTTCGAGCAATTTAGTAATTGTATTAATCCGAAGGACCATCGCCTCGATTATATTTCGTTGATCGGCTTCCAGAGGACTGAAAGTTCCGAGTTCGTCGATCAAAAGATCAGTTTTACTATTTGAACTTCCGAATTCGTAAAAGGTTGATAATAATCCCGACCAGATGAAAGGTAAAATCACTAGAAATCAAGAGAGAGAGAGAGATATGATTAGTTAATTGTTGACAGTTAATCGATTACCTTACCTATTGATTGGTAGATGAATAATAAAACTAATCCGATCACGTTGAAAACGCCAAAGTGACCATCGGCCTCATCTAAATCTTGAGTTAAAATCGCTAATTTTTCTCGGGCTTTTTTTTTCTTGTGATGTTTGTACGGGTTAATTGTTGACCTTTCCACTAATTCACTTGGTCTAACAGTTATCTTAATTGGCTTACGAATTTCCCGTTTTAATTTCATGGCAGTTTAATTGTTACACTTTAAATTCAGTCAAACTTTGGGTTTCACCATGAAGAAAATATTTCCAATTGTCTCTCATTCGGATATCTAAACATATTAAATTGTTGTGATTTGTTAAGGATGATTATTGGAGTTGGAAGATTGTTTAATTGTTTGTTAGTTGATTTAATCAATCGGAGAAATTGTTGTTTATTCATTTGATTGATCTATTGGAGAGTAGTTGATTTACAGAATTTTTTCTTGTCAATGGTCAATTTTATTCTGTTTGGATTTAATTAGTTGATTGTTTTGTTTTGGGTAATTTTAAATTGTGAAATAAATTGGATAATTGTTACGATGTAATTGTGAAAAAGATTTTGCTTTTAATTTAATTTCTTCTTCGACCTAAATAGTAATTTTTTTTCCAGATATTTGTTGATACAATCAATGATTTTTTTTGGCTTTAAATGTGAATTGATGAATTGATTTTTTTTTGTTGATTGTTAACGTTGTTAAGTTAATTTGCTGGGAGGTTTGTCGATTGAAGGGGAAAAAGATTGATCCATGAAGAGCTAGAATTGTTTCCAATTTGTCCTGAGATTGATAAACAGCAGGTTTAATGAGAAAATGGGTGAATTGAGTGGAGTAATTTTCTAATAAGAGTATCTTTTGCTGTATCTATTGTTACGGCCTCTGTTTCCTCCGCGAAAACCTCCACCGCCACCACCTCCCATTCCACGACCTCGTCCACGATTATTTTGATATCCTCCACGGAAATTGTGGCTAAATTTACCACTTGGAGGAGCGTAAAGTTGCCTTTGTGTTTTCTTTGGACTTGAATCTTCTGGGGCTGTGATTGGTTTCCTCTTTGGATTAGTAGGATTAGTTGTGGTCTCCTCGGTTTTTGTTGTCGCAGTGGTTTGCCCATTGTTTGGATCAAGGTTAGAATTAGATCGCTTGATGGCTGCGGCTTTTGTTTTTATCGGTTTCCAGCTTAAACTGACACTACTTTTGCTTGCGGGCTTGGGATGGAAAAGCTCTTTAACCAGAGTGTTGATGTTGGTTGCAGTTCGCAGGGTCATTGCGTTGGCTCGAGTCTCATCGCTCTCTGGTATTGTTTTTTTGTCACTAGAAGTGGCATCTCGTGCTTTCTTAATGTAACCTTGAATCAATCGAGCCAAATATTGAAGTCGTAACTTGTAATCTTTCATTCTTTCCTCTTCTACTTTTGAGTTGAACTCTGGATTGTGGATGCTCAAAGTGTAAAGTGTGTACATTAGAGACTCAAGAGGAAATAATTGAAGACTTGGTTCTTCTGACTTTTCCTCGGTTTCTATTGAAAGAGAGGGCGATGGCATGTAGTCAAACAGTTTACTGAATACCAATTCTTGACATTCGTCCAGGTTGATCGGGAGATTCGTGTTGGTTGGTTGAATGAAAGTAGACAGTTCAGCTAATTGTTGGAGACATTCCACTTCCGTGTCGGCCATTTCACCAGTTACAGAGGCAACCATTTCGTTCATGCAAGGAATAATTTGAGTACAAATGTATTGAACGAAAAGATTTGATGGTACAAAGGGTGAAAAGTGCGGGATCGCTGCTTTAACACACATACAAAACTTTTCAATCATTTCAGGTTCCGCTGGGTTGAAGGGACTATCTAATTCAGCATGTTCAGTAATCATATCAATTAGAACTTGTTGAGCGGTGATTGTTTTGGATATCTTGAGACTGGATAAAACATTCATGAGACACATGAAATCTTCCTTTGTACAAGTTTCTAATAAAGCCTTTAAAGAAAGAGAGAAAGAAAAAATTAGAATAAATATTCTAACAAAATGTTCAAGAATATTTGATGATAATATTAGACTTACTTTACGACTCTCTTGGAGAATAAATTCTTCATCTTCTTTTGTCCATGTGTCCTCAGGAAGAGTTTTCATCTTGGTAGATAAGAATTTAAGAACGCGCTCCTTGGTCATATCTTCTCCACTTTCGATTTGTAAGAAAATACCTCCTAGAAAACCTCTCGGGTCTAATTTACAAACGGCAATCAACGAATTGTTAACTATTTGTAATTCGGTGGTATCTTCGGCCAAAAGTAATTGGGCAAGAATGTCAGTGATCCGAGGAACATATTCCTTACAATCCTTACAAATGGAAGGTAAATCTTTTATAGCTTGTTTTCTGTTAAAAAAATAAAGAAACAATAAGATGAAAAGTCAAACGATAAGCAAGACAAACAATCAAAAACTATTGACACTTACCTTATGTTGATATCATCATCTTCACAAAGATCAAGTAATGCATCAATTGCAGCATTGAAATGTGTAGGGAAATGTTTAAAAAATTTGATGATAAATTGAGAAGCAAGTCTCTTCTCGTTAGCAGAACCTTTGACAGAGCTAAGAATCTCCAGGTATTTATCTTCATGCTGCTTAAAAATAACAGAAAAAAGAAACAAATAGAGAAAAAAACGTTGAATTAATACAAATGGTAAAAGAGAAGAATAAAAAAAAGCTCAATATAGAAGCTGAAAGATGGACGATTTCAAGAGAAGAAAAAAAGAATCAACCATTTTTAAGATAACATTTATTCACAGTGAATGATCCATATTATCAGTTAAACGCAAACCTAACAAACAGTAACAATCAATCTTTTAAAAGTTTCAACAATTAATCTAAATCAAATCTAATTAGAAAAGAAAATTTAAAAGAAAAATCAAAATTCTTACCTCGGTTATTTTATCCCCTGCATCCACAAGGATGTTGTAGTTGTCATACATTTTATCAATAGCAGTCATTGTGGTGATGGTTGAATTACAAAAGCATCAAATGAGGTGAAAAAGGTAAAGGTAAAAAACAGGTAAATGACAATAGGTAACTAATTAAAGGGTCACAATCAATTAAATGAATTAAAAATCAATAAACAACAACCTAATAAACCAGAAAAGTGAAATTTTTTTACTGAGGCGGAGTTTCGGTTCCTAAACAGATTAGGAGACATTCCCTGGGCGTAACCATGGAAACCGATTCGCCGAATTTGTTTCCCTTTCTTTTTCTCTTTCTTTTCCCAGGGAAAGTTTACTAATTTTCATTTATTCCGAGCGTCAAGTTAATCAATTTAACTTTTAATTGTAAACCTTTTAAACCGACAATTAAAACGATTATCAATTAACTAGTTTAAACCTTCCTAATTTTTAAATTCTCATGAAAAGAGAGTTGAAAAGATTTATGGTCAATCATATTGGAGATTGGGAATAAAGAATAAAAGTAAATCCAATTGTGTGACAATCTCTCATCTCTTTGTCTCCTTGAGGCAAAGAGATGAGACAATTTCAATCTCACGGATGTCGGAACAGGGGAGAGTTTGAGATCGAAATCACGAAGTTCCAATGGAATTCCAACATCTCCTGGTGATTGTCCAATCTGGAACTTTGATGGATCATCGACAGGTAACAATCTAACCTTTTCCCTCTTGTTAATTTCTTCACATTTTCCATTTGTGTTCTTGCCAAAATTCTAGACTCATTTTCCTTTGTTTTCCTTTGTTTCCTCTTCTTTCATTATCATATGACTTTATCTTGTTCTCTCTCTTTCTCTCTCTCTCGAATCACCTGTAATATTTATTCTTCTTGATTCGAATCTTAAGGTCAAGCTGAAACTTCTGCATCTGATGTTCTTTTGGTTCCTGTGACTCTTTACAAAGATCCTTTTCTCCGAGGTGATCATATGTTGGTTCTTTGTGAATGTTTGAATTTACAAGCAACAATCTGCTAAAGGAAATTGCCGAAATTCTTGTGCCCAATCAATGGCCAAAGTCGCGAAAGACGAACCATGGTTTACCTTTGATAATAAAAACTGATCTTGGATGGCCAGAATTGAACTCTATTGATGATTAAGTTTAATTAGAAAGAAAACTTTTTTTTTGGATGTTTTCATCATTTTCGTCTTTCTATTAAGTAATAATTGGCAAGCATTTTGAGCGATTACCTTGTTAATTGTTGCATGAGTTAATTTAAATTTATCCACAGAATAGGATAGAGTAATTAACAATTACGATAATAAGGAAAACTAAGTAAAAGGGCGAGAAAAACATTGCTATTATTTGGCAGTTTTTCAAGGGCATTAAAGAGATACTTAAACATGTGAGAATTACAAAATATTGTCATCATTAAAAGAGAGATTTTCTTCCTAAACTAAATTGTAAACAATTAACGTCACAATAGACTAGATTTAAAGTTAGATACCCTTGACATACCAGAAATTGTGTAAAATTTTCAAATTATTGAAATGAAAATTGTTTTGTTTTCGTGTTTGAAGATGAACTATTATTATGTGTGTATGAGGGATGTCAGGAGATTTGAATTAGTTTTTTTTACACTGATAAGTAATTAACAGACAATTAATTCCGTGATTGTGGGATCATATTGGTCCTTGGTTTTGAAGCTCGATCCAGGAGAATACGATAAGGGTAAAAGTGAATAGGAAGTTTAGATGGTGTTGCTACTCCTTGGAATCTGTATAAATTTTCAATATCGCTGTCTAATTTGTGGACACAGGCAACGGAGACTCGACCAATGTGACTAGGATCGGGTATCATTGGACCAACACTAAAATCAATATGATCAGATAAACGGTAAAGTGAAATTTTACCCTCTGAACCAATTTCTTTTTCAATATCATCTACTTGTTGAGATTTAAATTTGTTATCTTTGAAAATTTCTTTCGCCACTGAAGGTTTAACATCAAGCCTTTCAAAATGACCTTTTGTTGAGGCATTTAATTTCCAAAACATGCCAGTTAAACTACGAATCTCCTCTTTATCAGGTTTCCAATCATGTAAAGTAGGTAATTGAACATCATAAATAAAGCAACCAGATTTAATTGAGGGTTTGGGCCATGAATGTAAGTAAACAGGTATATCGCTTTTGAATGCTCGCTGCACAATCTGTATGATAAGAATAACAAAATTCGAAAATGGAGAAGAGAAGCAAAAATAAAATTTTGAGAATTTTTCGTTTGAAAGGACAAAATTAAGGAAGAAAAAAAAAGAGATGGAGATTAGAAGAGAAATTAACAAGCAAAGACTTACCATTCCTAAGAGAAACGAACAGCTCCTCCAAAAGGCTCTATTAACCTCTGTTGGATCTTCATCTTTAAAATGTCTAAATTGTAGGTTACAATCGTTGGTTAAAGGTCGATGCATATCCCATAAGTGTTTACCATCGATAGCGGCAATTATTGACCTTTCAGTGATTAACTGAGAAAAATGTTGAGCACAATGATAAGGTGTAGATAGATGTTTATTCATGATAAGAGTTGCATCTTCGTAAGGTTTAACATTGGTAACATTTACTTGAATTTTTTCAACCCTAGGAATCAATTGTGATTGACGTTTCTTTTCATCATCGAAAATCTCATTTCTCAATCTATTTGATTCACTTCTATCTAAAATATAATCATAATTAGATGCTGGTAAACTTGATTGTAATCGTTTACCCAAAAAACGATCAAATATTTTACCCAAAGGAAAAACAATACTAGAAGAAGATGAAGAGCAAGAACCAAGAGTAGTCAATCTTAAAGAAATTTGAAACATTCTGACAAAAGAACACAAGTCAAACAAAGAGAGAAAAAGAGTAAATCAATTAAATGGTAAAAAAAACAATTAAACATTAACCGAACACATAACTAATTAGATAATTAAGAAAAATAATTTTCTAAATCAAAAGAAAACTAAACTCAACATGTTCACTTATTTTCACAGCAAAAGAACAAAAATTTCAAAGGTCAGCTATTCCTCGAGCGGCGCGATTTTCAAATCTCCAAGTTTTTCGAAAAATTTTTCATCTCAAAATTTATCGATTCGAAATGTCCAAAGCCTTCGACCTGAACTGAACCTAACCTGACTGACTTAAAACTCGATCAGTTCCCACTAATGGCCAACAGTAATTCTTTTCTCTGACTTTAATTAGTTCAATTGTTTCTTTTTCCGTTGACCAAATCAATTGATTGTTCTTGTAATTGTGTTGGAATCATTTTCGATACCACAACTCCAATGATCGATTACAATGATTAATTTTCTTCTAAATTGTCAGCAATTAGTTAATTACATTCCAACTAATATATTGGCCTTTTGAATGTTTTGCTTTTGCTACAGAAAATGTTATCGTAATAATTGTAATCATAATCAAGAAAATTAAGTTTATCTTTGATTGAAATTATTGAATTGTCTTAATGTTCATGTTGTATTAATATTTTATATGCATTTTACAATTTATTAATTAGTTAATTAGTTAGGCTTTTATTTTGTTAGCGAGATGAGCAATAAGATTGTTTAATGGAATAACAATTAAATTAAATTTTGTTCCATTTTGTTTTTCTTTAATCTTTTTCATTTGAAAAGTTAACTTTGTCTTGTGTTGATTGATTAAGTAATAGAAATTTATATTAACAATTAATTAATTGATCTTAATTGCTAAAATTTAAGGCGAATCATCATCAAAGGATCACTTCCATCTTGGCAGTTTTACGAATAATCTTGGCTGGGCCAGAACCTTCGGGACTTGAGCACCTAAATAATACCAGAATATTTTCCTTACCAAAATTTGCTTCGAACCTAAAAAATGGTCACAATCACGATACGAACGAGAAGTAAAAAGTTCAAACAATTAATTTTAATTTCTCTTAATTTTCCTTCCTTAATTTACTTACTCTTTAGCTATTTGAACTTCTGGTTGTTTGGCTGTAGCATTTTGAATTACGAGAAACAACTTGGTAACTATTTCGATAACATGACCAGATTCGAGGATAAAAGCTCCACGACGTTTAGTTGCTTCCGACTAATTGGACAGAACGATCGAGGAGAAGAGTTAATTAGACAAATTGGTCTCTCAAACAATTAACTATAATTTCGAAACTGATGAAACTTACACAACGAACATGAATGATAACAATATCATCTGAATATGGACTTAATGAGACTCTAAATATATCTGAGATTGGAATTCGATATTTAATTTGTAACGTTCGTTGGTCCATAACAATCATCGAACAGGTACTTAGAACAAGTAACTTTTGGACACACTGTAAACATTTTGATAAAAGAGAATTTGGATTAATTTATTTTCCAATCAAAGTTATTCTAAATATTATATACTCACTTTTCCACTACTTCGAGTTATCTTATTAACGATATCGGCAAAGACGACATATTGATCACCAGTTTCACCGGCGATTCGTTTCCATTTTAAGTTCTGACGAAGTCTCAAATAATCCCCTCGAAAGGGATGGGAAACACTCTTCAAATATGACAATTTTTTAGCCTTAAAAATCAAACTTGCGGTCACTTTTTCCCTCATCCGATTTCGAGCCGTTTGGTCAAATTTTTGTCGATACTTGAAACACTATCAACACAAAGAAATTGGTAACAATTATAACGATCTATTTATAATTCAAGTTGTACACTAATATTTACCCTCCATCGATGATAATATTTCCGGAGATAACTACTTGATTCCCTAAGTGAATCTGGACACGGAGGCCAATCACGGCAAGTTGGCGATGTCGAAGGTAAATTTCTCGATAACCACAATAAGTATCTTCGTCTCTGAAAAAGTGAAAAAATAAAACGAAAATCAATCAACTAATAATAAGAAAATTTAATAACAACTAACCTTCCAAAGGCGATAATTATGAGCAATTATAACTTGACTTCGCCGTAGAGAAGTAAACTTTTTCCTACAAATCCATGATCGCCAAAGTTTCTGAAGCATTGTAACTAATTCATCGAGTTTTTCTGATCGTAATTCTTCAAGTTCAATAACCTTGAAAGTAAAATCGAAATCGAAAAGTAAAAATTGAATTTTCATCGGTTAACAAAATTTTCTTACAAAGATAAAACTTACAGTTCGATAATGTTTAACGAAAATTTTGGTTCTACCAAAAGCATATTGAGGCATGTAAACAGGTAAATCTTTGAGCAAAAGAGTGACCCCTTCCAGGGCCGATAGTCCAGGCCAAATGGGCCATGTAACGGAAGATAACATCTTATATCGTTTAAGGAATGAGATGTAATCGTTTTTGTAAAAATATCCGGCTCGTTGTAGTTTGGCTGTTTCAAGAAGGAGAGTTGATCTGACCTGGTGGGAAATAAGATCGGCCTGAAAGATTCCTGGTTGACAAAGATCATTGGGCTTCAGACATTTAACAAAATTGAGCTGTTTACAGTTAATATTTTTCATCAGAGCTTCCATTGAGATCTTAAATTGAACCGTTACCGATGTAGGTCGTTTTAAATTGGTTCGTTTCGGGTTACCCTCAGGGAAAAGAGTCTTCATCAAGGGAAGATCAGAGGAAAACATGGCCAACGACAAATCTCTGGAGAGATGATCTTTATTTTTCTCGATAAAACCAGAGACAGAATAAGTTACCTGTAAGAGAAAATGAAGGTTAAGTCAAGGGTCGAGATTCAATAGGAAATGTTATAAATAACATTTGGTCTCTTTTTCTTTGGGACTGGTCAATGAATTTTTTTTCGTCTATCGGACCAACGATTATCATGATAATCGGTTAAAATAATAAGATAATAAAACACTTACCGGTCCAGCAAAATGTCTCAATCGGAAACAGGAAAAAGGAAGTGTATTGAGTAGTAGGAGGTTAGAGTGTCCAGTTGATGTTGAATGTAATTCAGTTGAACAATGATGAGGAATATAAAAACTTTTACATCCATGACTTTCTTGAGATTCAAAGTAAGCATTTTCTTGGAAAGTATTACTTATCCTATGGAGAAAAGTTTCATCAGATATTGGATTAGATCTTGAACATTCTTCATCCAAAATCCATAGAATTCCCTGATTATTCTGGAAGAAATAAACAAATTCAATGAATTATATTTACGTTTCTCTCTCCCTCTCATCAAACTAAAGTTAATCATTGATTGATTTACATATTATGAGAATGAGAATGAGAAAACAAAACAATCATTTAACTAATCACAATTTGATTTAACCTAAAATCTACTATTAATATGTTTCTTACTCGAAACTTTTTCACAATCAATGTAAAAGTTATCCAACTAATTTAATCTAATCTTTAATCACTAACAATTATAATATGAAGATGCAAGAAAAACTAGTAGTCGTACAGACATGGAAAAATATTAGCAGAAAGAAGCTAAAATGAACTACAATCAAGCTGATTGCTATTAGATTTTCGATATTAATCAACGATTGATAAGTAAATCATGTAACCATAACAATTATTAATTTGGTATCTTTAATCATCTCTATGAAAAACTGATAATCTCAATTGTTGAAATCATTTATATTCATATTAATTATTAAATCTCCTTTGATACTAATCAGATTACAACAATAAATTTTGATTAATATCGTTGTTTTATCATTGGTCACTAATTGTACGTAATTTTGATCATTTTCATAATAATCATCACTAAGAATTATTAGAGATTATTGGTTTTATTGGAGATTTAATAATTAATATGAATATAAATGATTTCAACAATTGAGATTATCAGTTTTCAAATTAATAATTGTTATGGTTACATGATTTACTTATCAATCGTTGATTAATATCGAAAATCTAATAGCAATCAGCTTGATTGTAGTTCATTTTAGCTTCACAATCAGTGTGAGTATTCATGATAAACAGAGAGAGAGAGAGATGAAAACATGACTATTTCTCATCGCCATGAAAGACTCATTAAATTCTGGGTGAAAATGGAATTGAAAATCAAGTCTGTAAACTTGTCTAATTTGATTTTCTTTCCATTTTTTTTCAACCATTTTGATTCTCGAATTAGTTATCCTTTTATATTTCGTGTTTATTGTTGATTCTGAAAGGTAATCAACGGAAATGCTTCATTAGTTAGATAAATAATAGATATTGAATACAAGGTTAGAACCTTTGATTAAGATAAACCGGAAAAACAGATTCACTTCCGATTAACTTGATGAAAACTGACCCAACCCTTTAATTGGCTGGACATATTGATTAGGATACTGGATCAGAATCAATGATTAACTAACACTCATTATCAGTATAAATTGTAAACAATCAGAAGAAGGAAAATAAAATGATTACCTTTTCAATCAGATCACAAACAATTGAATTGTTAAAAAATTCAATCTTTTTCCATTGAAGTGCCTTGATAATTAGAAAGGTAAACAACATTGATTAACAATTAAGTCTCACAATTAAGAGCACAATTTACCTCTCGGATATATTCATCTTGTTCCTCTTTTAAAATCATATCAACATAAATTTGGTGTAACTTTTCATTACAATAATTAATGAGAAATTGATCAAAACCATTAGTCTAAATATATATAAGAAAAGAGAAAATTTAGAAAACAATTAAATTAATTAACACGAATTAACTTGGAACAGTCCAAACAAATCGAACCTCGAAAACTTCGAATCCATAAATATCTAATATCCCAATTGACCTTCGTTTACCAATCCTTTTAGCCTTTAAACAATTAAGACAAAAGAGGAAAAAAGATTAGCAATCAAAAGTTGAATTTCTGTTAATCTTAATCCATGAGATTAACTTACTTTCAAAGCTTCATTAATCCGATTAACTAACCAGGTAAAAAGACGGTTATAAATGGCTTTGCATAAGGCATCTCGAGCATTACTAGCCTGTAATCAAGAAGTAAACAACAATTAAACAAAAAAAGTTCACAATTAACACTAACTATCAATGGGAACAATTAAATTACCTCAGTGGCTGAAAGATCAGTAACAATTACTTCATGTCGAGTCTCAATCGTTTGCTGAGTTAAGGCAGACTCAACGAGATTAACATCCAATAACAATAATTCACAAATATCATAAAGTTCTGGGGGGAAAAATGGGCAAGTAACAATTAGCAATTAATTTAATTCCAATTAGAAAACTGTCAACAATTAACTCACCATATTCATTTAGTAATGAGCAACCCTCAGTTCCATCCATATTAGATCGAGGTAGAAATTGTAAATTACCTAATTTAAGTATCGATGAAACTACACAAAGAATACATAATATCTCCTCTGGTGTAAATCCAATAATCTCCATAGATCTCTGTTAATTGTTATGTAAAGAAAAGGAGAGAGAGAGAGGAAAATACAATCACAATTAATCAATTGAAATAAACAACCAACGACAATCAACAACAATTAGCTTGTAAGTCTTTGAGTTGAATCAAATTGACAACAGAGAAAGTGATTAATTTTAATTATATTCTTGAGAGATTTGATATTATATTTGAAAGATAATTATCAAAATGTAATCATTATAATGATAATTTAATTATAGAATGAAAAACTTGTTAAAATCTTAAAACAATTAATATATTCAGTTATATAATTAATGTAATAATAACATCATCATAATGATGATCATCATCAATATATTACAAAGGATTTTGTATATTATCAGAGTTTCAGGGTAAAAAAATTGATGTCTCAAGATGATAATGATGAAAGGAAGATGAATTGATGAATATTGTTATCATCTTCATGGTGATGATGATGATGGAGAAGAGGAAGATGAAAAAAAAATGATCAATAAACTATCAAATAATGTACAATTTATCGTTCTTGAATGATGAGAAAGTTGAAATTTCTTCATCTTGATCCTCATGAAATATTTATTCATGAATTAAATCGTTTCGAGAATCTTAATCTAATATTATATTTCCCTTTATACTTTCAGATGAAAGTGTTTCAATCAACGAAATAATAACAACAATAACAACAGTTTCACCACCACCACTAGGAACCTGAATAGTAACATGAAATTGAAATGACTCCAAGTGATGTCGATAACAAAACAGAAAATCATAATATTCAAGATGAAAATGATGATCGAGAGAATAGATTTTTTTTAAAAGAAGAATGAGAAAATCTCTTATTCTTTGTATAGTAAATATATATGAATCCTGAAAGAAGATGTGAGTGAGTGAGTGAGAGAGAGAAAAGTTCTGAATAATCTGACAGATAAAAGATGTCGACAGTCAATGTAATGGATAACAGGGTAACCGAGAGTTAGAAATCATGATGAATGTAACAGTTTGAATGAATTCACAATGAATTAGGGGAGAAAATCATTTACTGAACATGAATATATAACAGGGGATAGAGAGAGAGAGACATGGGACTGTACATGGGATATTTATTATGAATTATGACAAGAAAACCAAGGAAATCAGTTGACAAGCATTTTCTCAGCTATCATCTGATGAGATATTGTCGATGATAAAATGACTGATTATATGAAATAAACAAGGTACATTATAAATGTATAATATCACATCGGAACAGAATTTATTGTTTCAATGTGAAAACAATCAAGTGAAAATTGTTAACATGATATTTTCATGGTTCCATAAACTATTCAACGTTTGATTCATTGACATGTAAATTGAACTAAAGAAACTCCTCAATATGTAATAGTATTACTCTGAGAATCTCATTCCCTGTGAGATGATGACAGGTAGAAATTAATTACTGTTGAGAAAATAGTGTAAAATTAGCTCAATGGGATAAGATAAATGAAAAACTTTCTCCATTGAGTAAAGTTAATTTTCTTGAGTTAATCCAACACATCTAACAAATTAAACTTGTTACCTTTGATATTTGCTAATTGTTGATGAGTTTTTCCATGTATTCAGTTTACGTTAATTGGTTGATTAATTCAAATTATTATGATAGCAATTAAATTCTTACCTTTGTTTGAAAAAATTGATCCTTATCATCAAAAAATTGCATCAATTCTGGTTGAGATGTTTTGATTATCTCATACATTTCAATGTTTCGCTGTAATTTTAACGTTTCTAAATCAAATTAGAGAGAAACAATTAGTTTAATTACATTACCAAATGATAATAATAGAAACTTACTGAGCAAATTAACATCAGCTCCTTTGATTAGTTGATAAAAGATATGAAAATTACGTTCACCAATTGATTGTTTAACAGTACGAGACTAATTTGTTGGTTAATTGTGAAAAGAAAATGTTTATTACATTAAATTGTGAAATAGATTGTGAGGTAAACAATTAAAACTATCAACTTAGCAATGCATATATACACAATATTAATCATCTTTGATTACAGTTCAAGGTTCAGAATTGTTGATCATTAAATCATCATGAAAGTAATTGTAATTGTGTATCAATAATAATAAATCTGATTGTTCATCTACAAGTTCATTGTTATTACTTTTCTTCATCAGAATCAACATCATCTTAATGTTCAGTATCATGATAAGTTCTGTAATTTTAGCTTATTCAGGTGAAAATTATCTCGATCGATTCTCGAATTTATCTTCCTCAGAATCTTCATCTTCCATGATGATAAGGAAACAACAATAATTTACACACATGCACATGAGAGAGTAAAATTAACTCCATGAAAAAATCAATCGAAACTCTGATTACAACTTTTTTCCTCCAATTCTGATTATCCTGAACATCTTATTCTCATCTCATCTCATCCATTAATTAACTAATCATTTACTATTATCTAATCATCATAATCTGTCATCTTAATCAACACTCAAAGACAATTTAAAATTGTACAAATAAAGTAATTAAAACAATCACTTACCTTTTCCAATAGATCTGATTATTTGATTGACCATTGTCCATAATTAACGAATTGTTAAACAATTGGAAAAGCAAAGAAAAAGTTAGAAACAATTAGTTAATCACTTTCATTCAATGTAACATGATTATTTTAATAATAAGTGAATCTGGTTAACTTGATTAAATTGTTGTAAAGTTAATAAATATGAGAGCATGTAAATCAAGTTAATTAAATTTCTAGATTGTAGATCAGTTTTCCTAGTAAATTGATTAGTAGTCTAAATTGTTAAACCTCTCGACTATTAATATGTTGATGGTTATATTGATTTTTAATTCAACTCATCAAGTAAATATAAATTGTTTAGGATGTTGATTAAAGTAACGGTAAATTTTTTTTCCTAAACTTCATCAAAATAGTTGACAGGTAATACAAGTTAATACAAATAATAGTAACAAAATGATTACTTGATTGTCAATAACAAAGATGAAAATTGTATATTGAAAGTTATGAGAAAATTTCATTAGGGAGGAAAAAAACTAATAACTTTTGTTAGAATCAAAGAATAAGGTCAATTCTGAATTCTAATAGTTGTGAATCAGAATTGTTGTTATTGTTGGCGAGAAAAAAAAACTTCAGATTCAAGGATATTCAACTGAACTGAATTGACTAGTTGGATCGATAGAGATGGAAAAGTTTTCTATTGAGATTTCTGTGTGAATGTGAATCTTTATTGACCATTGGTCAAGAAGGGAAGATGATGAGGAAGAGGAAAAAAAAATCAAATGAACAGATAACAAACTTTTTCATTCATCTATTGGATGATTGGTAATAAATTCAATCGATTGTAAAAGTTACATGGACAATATCATGTTAACCGATTATCAGAAAATTGTGAAGCTTGGAAATTATTATTTTCCATGGATCATGTTAATTCATTTTCCATTCTCATTAATAAATTTCATCTGATTCACGATTTTCGGGTGATAAAATTTAACCAACAGAAAAAGTTCAAGTTGAACTTTTCTGTTCAATTTAACCCATCGAATGATATTGAATTGATATTAAAATTGATACACAATCAAGGGTTGGAACTGTTTCTTTTTTCCATGCCTCCGGTTTCTTCCCATGAGATTTCAATGGAATAAATTCTCAGGCAATTGGATTCGATTCTAGTCTCGAGAAATTTATTGTAACAATATTAATCAAAGAATATTATAAGTTCATTGATGATTTAAACGGTAGAAAATGTTTCTGAGAAGAAGGAGAAAAGAAAAGTTTTCCCTCTCGAACTTGAGATTTTGAACTTTTTCTTGTACATGAATTTATCATGGAGAATTCTGAGTAATAGACCAGTTTATAAAAGAGAAATTCAATTGTTCTATTAAAAGAATTTTTTTTGTTCTTTTTCATAAAAGTAAACAATGATTATCATGTTGATGATAAACTAAATTATTGACACAATCAATCACTTAATCTTTATGAAAAAGAAATGGATTAAGAATAACAATCTATTTAATCAATTCTAATTTGAGTGATATTTCCATGAGATTCAGTTATCGTTAAGAATTCAATTGCTATCGTTTGTCACCATGAAAAGTGAACCTTAAACTATTACTGAGAAAAAAATCTCCATGAGGATGAATCAGAATTATTCAGAATCGCGTGTAACAGTTTCCCTCATCATCATTTACATTTTCCAGTCTTTTTTCATGGGGAAGATAAAGAGAGAGAGAGATCATCATGAACATTCATCAGAATTCAGAATTTAAAGTTAATTCAAAACAAAACCATGGAAATTTTATCAATACAAAATCCTCTACTCCTCCCAGGTTTCATCATCATCATCACCATGCTTTTCCTCATCTTCCACCTCTGATTCGCCTCCTCTGCTCATCTTATTCATGTGAATAAAAAAATCAACTGAACAACAATAACACCCAAACGTCAACAAAAGGTACAGAGTTAAAATCTTATTCCAATAACGGTTTTCCAACTTCATCCATCTTCCCATTCCCATTATCATTCACAAAGTTTCCACTTCGAATAATAATAACATCAGGGTATCATCTTTGTCTTCCTCCTCCTCCTCCTCCTCCTCATCATCATCATCATCATTTTGAAGAGATGGAGAGAAAGAAAAAAAAATGAATACAATTTACACGGAACCAGAAATTTGGTTTCTTTTCATGAATTCATCTTCCAACTTTTTCCACTCTTCCTCCTGAATCATCATCTCATTATCATGTTCACAATGAAATAATCTCAAGGAAATTAACTTGAAAAAGTGGCAACAATTAAGATGAAAGTCAATTTTAATCCGTATATCGTTTAATAATCAACAACTTAATCCTAATCATGAAAAAATTTCTTCCATCTCTTGACATAATCCAACAAGAAGATTCAATTCAAATTATTGATAAATCGATCATCTCTTAATCAATAACACAATTGTTACTCTGCTACTTTAATCATCATCATCTAAATTTTAAGCATTTGATCAGAAAAACAATCATTCAAAACAACAATTAATTACTTTAATTACTTACAATTAGTTATGCTTCCACCCACAAGGTAACCAGTGAAGTCAAATTCGAGCTCTAAAAATTTGCCCTAAAATTTAAATTGTAACAATCAAATTTAATCGATAATCAAACAAAGTAACAATTTTGACATAAGCGAAAAAGGTTAACAATTAAATTGTTAATCCAGTTGAAGAAAAAATTAATTAATCGATTAATTAACTTACCGATCGGGTTGAATTGTCATTGTGAAGGGTTTTAGCATTTCCAAAAGCTAATTGTGTGAAATTAAAGGGAACCAAATTAGTAAATTGCTCATGTGATTAGTAATTAATTATTATCAACAATTAACACTAACATTTTGTTGGAAGGATAAAACTTTTATTTCTGTTGACTTTATTAAAATAAATCACAATCAACAACTGAAAGTCATTAATCAACAATTAACAGTTGACAATTAGTAAAAATTTACTCGTTAACTTAATCAATCTCCTAATTGAAAGGTAAGATTGTTGTTTACAATTAACTAAATGATAAGTTTTAATCATGATTACAAAATTACATGGAATTGGTCATTAAACTGTTTTCCTATTAAATTAATTGCAGATCTTTTGATTTCTGTGCCATAAACAATTAATTAATCAACTGACAATTAATTACTAGTTGTAAGTTGTAGTTTAAAAAAACTAACATGTTGTTACAACCAAATGATTAATTGTGATTAAAGATAATAAACAATTAATCAAATGGCTCATTATTGTTTATTTTATAGTTTACATTTTAATTTAAGAGTGAAAATTAAAAACACTATTACAATTAGTTAATTGTTACCCAGGTCAGAGTGATTGTCATGTTAAGGAGTTTTTTTTTATCATTGAGACAAAAATTTTGATAGTAAATTGTTGTAATAATAATGATAATGTTCATGAAAAAGGATCACAATCAAAATTGATCTGGTTCAGGGTACGAAACTATTACTTAAATTGTTCAGAATAATTTGTTGAAAAATTGATTTTCATACATTTACCATGAAGGAAATGAAGATTTGGTTGAGAGTGGGAGTGAATTTCATTGAATCTGATTGAATTTAATGTTAATGAATCAATAGTTATATGGTTACCATATTTCATGATGATTCTGAAAAGTTACTATGGATTTTAAAAGGAACCAGAATTTTAACTATTACATTTTTTTCATTTCCATTCATCAATACTCGATATTCATGATAGAAAGAAGATAAAGATTATGAAAAAGAAAATTTCTCTCTCGTTATCAGCTGATTCATCTTCTAATCCAATTGATGATCATTTTCTCTGACGTCATTACTTTTACTACGATTTCTTTGGACCCTTTTACTAGAAGTTCATCTCTTTCTCTCTATCGATATCATTCTGAGTATCATCATGATCATGACTATCAGAATGATGACCTTGAAAATGGTTGAAGACAGAGAAAAATTCTGAAGAGAGAAGAGAGAGAAAATAATAGACAGAGTTATCATCTTTTAGTTAATATTTTGTATTCTAGTTGATAGTCGAGTGGGAGAAACAAGATTCGTCTTGATTTTCATTGAGATAATGATGATGATGAAAAATCTCTAACACATAAGTTGTTACATCATCATTCTCATCTTTTACTCATCCGTCCACCTCTTACTCCCCATGTCTATCCTCCCATCAATAACATCCTCATCATAAATGATAACAATAACTGGTAATCATGATGACGATGATAATGTTAATGATGGCAACATGTGACATTCAGGAGATAATAAATTTCATTGAAACCATTTACTATATTACTATGTTCATTCATCAAAGGATTAATGGACCATCAGATGAATTTTACATGAAACCGGAAGTAGTCACCATGTTTCCTTTCTCTCTTTTTTTCTCCTTCTCTTCATTTTCAATTTTATTTCTCATCTTCCTAAATGAACCAACAATACCATTAATATCATATTATAACTTGGAACATGATATTTAATAGAATCATGGAAATCATCAAAATAATATCATCATCATCGTTACCTGAGAATTGACCAAAGGGACTTTGATCATCACCTTTTATCATATAAAAGAGAGAGAGATATATATATACATTATTGAACAAATGATTATTACGATTCTTACTAAATTATTCAATTTCTCATGAAAACCAGGTAAAATTCAACACTGAACATTTCAACAGAATTTGAATCATGAATCTGTTTCATTTTCCACGAAACATCTCACTCATAAGCTTTAATAAAGTTCCAACCAGAATATGAACATAATACTAGAGTAAAAATGAATTTTCTCTCTCTCTTTTCTAATCCTAGAATATACCTTTAACCACTCTATCAACAATATCCATCATCCTTATCATCCATCTCCTCCTTCCACCATCATGATTCTCAGTTTCAGCTGATTCAGTTGAAATTCATTCCCATAGTAAAAGTAAATTGAAATGTGAACTATTGTATAAAAAAAATACTAACAGCAAATATCAAAAAATTTTCAGTTACCAGCAGAAAAAAAATTCATGCGTTGAGGTGATGAGGATGAAGATGAAGATGAAGATAACGATGATGTAGATATTTGTAAAAACAACTGAATAAAAGGATAGAGAGAGAGAGAGAGAGAGAGAGAGAGAGAGAGAGAGAGATTCCAATATCAAAGTTGTTTTTTGTTCCCTCATCCCAAATAACCTTGAGACATGACCTACTATCGTGGATGATGATCATGGTTACCATGTAATGTGATCTTATTTATCGATTGAACTTAGAGCTTCTATTATTTATTGATGAAAAAATTATTGTCATCTAAGTTTCTCCACCCTGATTACCCACCCTGTTACTTGAGCCACTTTTGTTACAGCAAGAAAAAAAGTTATCAAACTTGTGGTGGGTTAAAGTGATAACTTTTTTTTTCACATCCAATCCTCTTCCTGTTTCCCTCACCAAAATTAATGGTTACTCATCATTATTGTAATAATAACAGTATCACCATGATGATCAATGATTGTTTTTTTTTTCATTCAGTCACAATTTTTAATTGGTTAATTGTTGATTTATTTATTTATTATTTTTGTTTCACAGGGTTGACTTACCTTCTAGAATCGGACAAACTGCTAGGACTTGATCACGAAGTGAATCTGAATCACAGCCTGTTGACCTTTCACCCTTAACCAGATATTGTAATGCAACTTTTGCAGCCTCTAAAGTATTGCAATGGAACAGTTAATAATTAATTTAATAGTTATAATTAAGTTAATTGAAATGAAACAAAGTGAAAATTAAACACTCACCAGTTTTACCGGATCCGCTTTCACCGGTAAAGATGATACATTGATCCTGATTACGTTCATTCATTGATTGAAACGCAAACTCAGTCAAAGCGTAACTATCAACACCAGAATTGATGATAAAATTGTTAAGAAAATTGTATGAAAAAAATTGAATAAAATAATAGAAAATTAAAGGAAATTAAATTAATATTCATAAAAAAATCTATTAACCAGAAAGTGTTCAACTCAATAAGAAACATCTTATTCGTATCAATTTGATTTAAATTTTCTGGTTAATCGGGTTAACCATAGTAACCCAATGTTAATTGTGTTAAATTAACATTGAAACAATTAACTTACATGTGAGAAGGTAATTCCAACATATTATGATGTTGATAGGCAGCAATCACCTCTTTTGAATAGATACCAAGATTTTTGTAAGGATTTATTGAGATTACCATGGTTCCAATATAAGTCTAGAATGGGAAATGAACAGAGAAATGATTGATTACTATGGTAAATCATGATAATCAGCAGGCGAAATAGGGAAAAGTGAAATAAAATCTGAACCCGAATCTCGGTTCTGTTGAGGGAGAAATTGTATTATCACAGAGATAAAATATTCTGAATAACAATTAACTAGATATTGATAATCAACTTACATAAATTTGGTCCCTTTTGAATCTCTGATATAAATTTGAGATGAAATTTTCCTCTGTTAAAGGTTCCAAGTAAATCGCATCACGAGCACCAATTTCATCCTCAAGTCGGAGGAAACCTCGTCGAGAGATCATCCTAATAACGGGTCACGATTTAATTCAGGTGATTAAATAATAATCAACAAAAAAGGGATAACAGTTAACTGGAAACAAATTGTATTGTAAATCCACAGGTAAATCAGATTATCGCAACTGAACTTGAGATGAAGTTTATCTTGTTATTGTTTTAATAACAGTTTTCAATTGAATTTATGATGAACGATTTCACTTAATTATATGTAACAATTTAACTGATTATTAATCTAACAATTGAATCGGATTAAATCAACTAATACTATTTGATATTCAAATAATAAATATCCAGATTATCAGCTAATGTCAGGGAGTGAATTCTGGATAAGACAAATGAGAATGAGAGAAAAAAAAATGAATCAATTAACTAATTGAATCAACAGTTGATAAGTTTTTCGGCATTTTCGATCAGTTAATTGTTTATAATTATCATTTGCTAATTAGTAAATTGTTCTTACCTGAAGTAAATTAAAGTTGATTAAAGATATTGAAGATAATAATAATAAAAGAAAAATGGAAAATTAAGAAAACCCAAAGAAAATGTTGATTGTTAATTAATTTAATTTACTCTCTGTTGTTAATCCATAATTAGAATGAGCTTTTCAATTGAAACATAATCAAGATTAATTTAAATCTTAATCATAATTTGCCAATTAAATAAACACTGTTGATGATAAAATTGGTTTTCCAATGATAAATTTATATCCATTTGGGTTTTAATTGTTGATTGACAGTTAATTTGATTAAGTTTGATGTATTAATTTGTTAATTGTTGTAACAAGGCAGCAGGTAAGTCAAAATGTTTAAGTATAATGGTGAAGGCAAATTGGATTGATGATTAGAAACAATTTACAAATTGGCAGTTAAATCATCATCATAATAATGATACACACAGAGACACAATTAACAATTATAAGGTGAAATTAGTTGGTTAATCAACATGATTAATCAATAGAGCAATCAGTAAATGCTCTTGTTTATGTGATTAAAGATGATTAGGTTGATGATGAATGAAAATTAATATATACACATACAGTTATCATGTAAAGGAACACGAATATATAATAATAATAATAATGGAAACTGAGATACTGACGATGAAGATGATGGAGGATGAAAAAAATAGGAGGAGGTGGAGGAAGTTGGTGGTGGTGGTGGTGATGGTGGGTAAGAAGAAGAAGAAGTTACAATGGAAGAGAAAAAACAATTTTCTCTTCCAGGTAAACAAAGGAAGAAAAAAAAATAGAATAGAATAGAATAAAACTAAAACATGAATTGGTGTCAATTTTAGAGATTCACAATCAGAATCTGATGTAGAAGTGAAAATTTATCATATTGGTTATCATAAAACACTGTTCACCATTTCAACGATTTTCAGGATGATGAGAATGATGATGATACAAACACTTTCTTTCTATTTCTCTCTCTCTCTCTCTCTCTATCTTCTTACTTTCATCTTTCTCTTATCATCTTCATCTTCTTTCTTTCTCTCTCTCTCTCTCTTCCTGTTATACTTTTCGTTTTTTTCTTCTTCTTCTTTCTTATTATTATTATTTTAACACACACAGAATTGGATCTAAGTAGTAGTCGACCAATTGTCCTCCCTGATAGGTTAAAATGGAGTCCAAATTGTTCTGTGCTCATGAGCAGCTATCGTATTTTACTCTATCACTTTCACAACTCACAAGGAAAAGAATCTTCATCTCCATCCTCATCTTCATCCGCATCTTCCTCTTTCTCCTCCTCCTCCTCTTGCTTTTGGTTAATAATCATTTGCTTTTCATTCAATCTTCTTTTCTCTCTTTTTTTCGTTCACCGAGAATTCTGAAAGAGAGAAAGAGAGAAAATCGATAATTCTCTTCTCCATCCTTTATCAATTCTCTCTCTCTCTCTCTCTATTCTCCTTTTCTTCCTCTTTCTCTTTTTATTTCTGCTTTGACTCAACATCTTCATGTTTATCTCCATCAACCTACGAAAGAAAAAGTTTCACCAATTTCTTGGTTTGTTGTTTTGTTTTTGTTTTCCATCACTTTCTTCATCATCATCATCATCATCATCCTCTCTCTTTCTTTCCTCAATTTCTTCATCTTCATTCAACCAGTTTCATCCTTTTGTTTACATGTTATTATAAAATAATACTAAATGGATAAGAATCATTTTATCAGGGAAACTCAAACATATCAATGAAAATCACTTAGGGATTATCTCATTGGATTTGTAGTTAATAATCTTGTAATCCTTTTCCACCCCACCATCAATCTCATCTTACTAATCATCAATTCTAATCCCTATCTGTGGTTTAATCTCAATAAATACATTGAGAAAAATTAATGGCAAATCAAATTTCAAATAAATGAAAACTAAACAAAACTTTAGATATATAAAATTAAATTATTACATTTAAACAATTTCAATCCACTTATCAGATTGATCGTCCACACACAAATTTAATTCAATTTTGAACCAAAACAAACCTTTCAACTGACATCTTATTGATATTCAATCAAAATCTTTATCAAAAAGTTTAAAAAACTAAAAAAATATCAACTATTAAATGTTAAGGGAAAATATCTGTTCGCTAGCGACACCTAGGGTAGCATTTTCTAACTAATCTGGTAACATTTGACTTTCTAACGGTTTGAACAATTAAATTGTACGAGATCATGTTTATTAACCTTCTTTACAATTAACTAATCATTCACAAATCTATATTAATAGATTAATAATATTTTAAAGACTAAGAAAAATTTTTTGGAATAAATTTTGATACTAAAATTGTTGTTGTTGTGATTTCTGTTTAATTATCATTATTATCATGAGATTTACAGTTACAATATTTGATAATTAACATGATAAGTATTTTATTTTTACTATTAATTAACTTGTAGCAAAAAAGGTGAGATTCATGAGACAAATTAATTAACAAAGGCACTCATCCGTCTTCAGATTAACAATTAGTTCATTTTTTTTCTTGTAAATTTGATCCTCAAGGATTAAGGATTATTAATATTGATTCAATATTATTATTAGTTAATTGGATGGACTTGCAGATGAAATTTCAAGTTAAATCTGAATTGAAATGGTTATAACTTAAATCAGTGAAATTATGAAGGGACAAAAATCATTTGGTTGTCAAAGGGTTAATCATAGTTATCGATTAGTTAATTGACATAAAGGGAAAAAGATAATTGCTGGTGATTAAGCTTTGTTTCTTAATCTAATATTAACCTTGAATAGATGATGGTGATTATTATTATTACTATTGAGATGATGATCTTAATCCAAAAATCTTTGGACAAGAGATTCTCGAGCTGTTTATCAGGAGGGAATAAGATGATTAATCTAGACCATGATGATGATTAAGAAGATGAGCTATAATTTTAAATTAGTAACAAATTAATTGGATTAACAATTAGATCTCAGAGTGAGAGAAATAAAAATAACGCCAGTCATATTTAAGTCCAAGGAAAATGTTGAGAATGGAAGAAAAAAAAACTTCCTTTTGCATATTGTCGTCTATCTCCTTGATTGTTACTTTAATTGTGATCATGAGATCATGGTAATTCTCAGTGGTAGACAGGGCGTATTTTGATGATAATATTAATTTCTTAATTGTTATTATAATAAATTAATTGTCTCTCCTTTGACTTGGATGCAAAAGATATGGCAATGAGTTGGCAACCCCATTTACGACGAGATGATTATGTTGATGATGATTAGTTTCCTTGAGACTATTTCAGTTAATTCATTGATCATGATTAACTTTTCTTTGGTTCATAACATATAAAAAATTGTGACAATTAGCAGTAGATTTTTTCTTCTTATCAACTTCAATTTTCGTCATCGATTTTCAGGTCGATCTTCGATTGGAACGGCTTCGATTTCGATTCTTTTCTCGAATGTTCATGATAATATACACATACACACACAAGAATAGTTTCAACTGCTTCTCTTATTAACTGATTTACCAGAACTTTATCGATCCTGGATAAATTTTCCGTTGTTTTCTACGGAGAAAATTAATTACCTCCAATTCACTGGTAGTTAACAAGACGCAAGTTAAATTGCTTGGTTTTCGATTAATGAAATGTACAACGGACGAAGTTGATTTACCCCAAGAGATTGTTTCATTATAAACACACTCCGAATACCAAGTTGCCTCTCGAGTTCGAAGCTTAACCAAATCGGAGGCCATTCTCTCAGTTCCATAAGCTTTCACTTTACGATCGAAAATTTTAACAAAATATGAATACAATTTAACATCAGCCCAGTTAATTATCTTAATCCGATCCTCGGCTAATTGTGATAATCTTTTCCGTTGAGGTCTAGCATTGATCTAGATACAAAAGTAGAGTAAAAATAAATATTCATATTAATATGTAAACATTTCTGATTATCGAATAGCTTTATTGTAACTAAATATCAAACGAAAACATAGCAATCAATAAATGTTGATCAAATATCATCAATTGTGATGATAGTTTTACAATAAATCAATGTTTTTGGGCGTCGACAACCAATCAAAATAAACCATCAACAATCAGGAAATCAGAATGAGAAAGATTCATTTTCCTGAGTCTCTCAAAGAAAAAGGTAAAAAAAATTGTCACAATCGAAAAGGTAACAATTTAAATTGTATAATATTGATTAAAGCTCAGATGATTAAATTATTATAATCATATGGCATACAAGTTTATCAATTCATCTGTGAGTGAATTAAATCAAATCAAATGTTGTAAAGTTACTGGTGAAAATAATATTATTAGTTATTAAATTACCAGAGATTCAGATGAATTGAAAACATATTGAAATGTATTATAAGTAAATGAATGAAAGTCAGGATAAAATGATTAATGATAATCTTTCCCATGCACAGGTAAAAAAATTGGAATCAGGTGAAAATGAACTTTTCCAATATTCATTTCATGAATCCAATTTTCCACCTCTATTCAAATCAGGAAGACACTCAACATTTAACATGCAATGTTCATCAATCTAATCACGTTCATCAACACAAATATCAGAAAATTTCACCAGTTTATCACGTTCATCATTCTCATCCCATCATAATAGTCAAACTGTCCCACCTCAAGTTCAATCATTATCACCTTTATCATGAAAATATCACATCAACTAACGATAACAACTTATTCATGAATTAGAATCAAGATATGAAAAAACTCATAGAAACTTTTTGTCTCGATCAACATTTTAATTGCTCCTCTGATCCAATTTAAGACTTTCGATTTTAATTAACCATTATTACTTTGAAGGACAATTAAAAGACTATTAAAAACTGATAGTGTCTTAAATGAATTACGATTTATTAATCATTTACATTCATTGGTGAATTTAAATTTAATGATCAATTCCTCAAGCTAATGATTAAGAGATTGATCAATTGTATTAATAGATTTAAATTAATAGAAAAGGTAAAAAAAATCGTTCTGAATCAGAATCAATGTATTGACTTTATTGACAATTCTGATCTCTGATTGTTGATTATCATGAAATCATTGAAACAATCTTCATGAAAAGCAATCAGATTAAATTATTCAATTTGTTGAATGAAAGTAAACAATTTCAATTGTTGACTAGGAAACTTTGCTGTTGTAGACAATTAATTGACAGTTAATATTAAGCAATGATGATAAAATCATAATTTATTATCGTAAATAGTAAAGTTCATTGATATTTTAATTGGTCGATCAATATTATCATCAATTAGCATATCAGATGGTACAATTAGTTAATCAAGTTGCAACGATATCTTTCTGATTCTCTAGTATTATTAGAGAATTATTATTAATAGTAATCAAGATTGATCAAAATCAATACACTTCGTCTTTCTAAATGTCCTTTTCGAAAAGCTTAAGAACGAGATTCGACAAATAGCCTGAGGGCATCTTCGAAATCATTTCGATAAAATCATAATCTTGATTCGAAGTTATTGAAAACTAGTTAACTAATTGGTGCCATTTCAAATGCTGTTAATTGTCTTTTGATTATAATTGTCAGGTTGAAGGAGAAAAATTAATCAACAATTTAATCCAATTAGTTGCCTAAATTTGTAGCATTGAAACAAATCGACAATGATTTAGATTACAAATGGTCAATTAATAGATTATATTGTCCATTAAACAATTAGTTTAATTGATTTCTCTTAATCGATAGTAATTAATTTAATTGTCTACCTAAGTTTTTGACATGTTAGTCTAAATGATGAAGCATTTTCAATCAATTGTCATAATTAAATTACAAGAAAAACAAATCAATATAATAATTGTTAATCTTTCAAACGATTATATTAAAATGATGATAATAATTTAAAAAAGTGATTATCTTATTGATTAACTAATTGTTGAGACTATTAAGTTATTCACAAAATGATTAGTAAGATTGACGTTGATTACAAAGTAATTGAAGTCAATTGAATATATCAAGTAAATAAATAATTTAATCAACAATTTAAATTGATTCAGTTGTCTAGAATTAGATTATACAAAATGAACTAAATTAAATTGAGAAAATGAAAAGTAAAAAAAAACAACCATTATAATATAACAATAATCAAATTAAATTGTGATCATAACAACAAGTTAATTACAAATTACAAAAGTAAAAAATCAATCGTCTTAATTGCTAATAATTTAAAGATTAACTAAAAAAAGGGAAATGTAAACAATTAACATAACCAATCAATGTAATCTAAAAATAAAACAAAAATTACCAAAGTGAATTAGTAAATTAATCTTGATTGACAATTTAAATTGGTAAAGTAATCAAAGTAACCAAAAAAGGTAAATGAATGAAAGTGATTAATAGTAACACAGCTAATAGACATGAATGAAGAGAGTAAAGTTAATCAATCAATTGATTGTCTATGACAATAATTGATCATCAAATTGATAATGTAAATCTAACGTGACTTACCTTAAATGTAATTATATCATCAAATGACCAGCAAAGTTTATCCTTAAGGAGTATAAGTGATTCATCAAACTTTTCCGAAATCATAACTAAATCAAATATTTGATCTAATTTGGGTAAAATGTCATCAATTAGTTGATCAGTTAATTTGGTTGGATCATAACCGAGGTCGAAAAACATTTGATTGGCACCAATCTTATTAATCCAACGGGAATTTTGAAGCTTATGAATGGGAACATAGGAAGGTCGAGAAAGTTTTTCGGTAAATGGTAAAATTTGGTCAAGTTCCAGTAGCCGAACATGGACTCGTAAAGGGCCAACGGATTTCGTAGTATGGTTATGTAAAGGGTGTTGGAAGGCATAACGGCGGATATTTCACCCAAATTGAATCGAGTGTGAATTGCAAAGATATTGTATGAACCATGGAAACCTTCAGGTAATAGGTTTCGGTCAAAGGGTTCAGGGTGTCCAAGGTAATTGCCGCTCGGCGGGAAAGCGAATAGCTTATGATTAAGGTAACCATATTTTAAGAAGATCCGTTGGATTGCTGAAGATGCACATTTATGTGTCTTGAGGAAAAATATATTGCTAATTGGTTGATTAATTGTACACGATTGGGTTAATTGTCCTTTTAATTGTGATTGTCCAGCATTCTCATTGGATTGATTGGATCGTGAAAGTTTCAGTGTAATTAGTTGATCGTTGGTTATACCATTTGGATCATAAGGACTAGAAGGAAACAAAGATAATCAAAACAGAAAAGAAGACGAGAAAAAAAGGACAATTAATTAATTATCTTCGCAATTGTTAAGTGAATCAATAAATGGGAGAAGATAATTAATCATTGATTGATTTGTTTCTTTTGTCAGTTACCATTTAATTGTTGTAATATTATCAAAAGTAATTTAGGTAAGAAAACTTTTAATATTCACTAATTAAAGTCACGATTTTATAACAAAAAAAAAATTATTTCAACAATTAAGTTAATTAAAATGGAGATTAAATTTGAATATTTAATCATATGGAATATTTAAATTAATTGGATACTAATTATGAGCCAACTAACTAATTTAGAAAGTCAATATACTGTTAACTGTAATAATCTAACTTTTGATTGTATTGAGTTTAAATTACAGTTGATTAGATGATTAAATTAATTGGATAATCAAAAGTAAAGATTAAACAAGAATTAAGTTTTTTTTTCAATTTGTTTTCAAGATTAACCTTGAGGTTAATTGTTGAAACAATCAAGTATTACAATCACATGTAACTAAATATATTTATAATAATGTAAACTGATGATAGGAAAATATAATTGTAATTATTAATAGTAATTAAAGAGAGAGTCTAATAACAATTTAATCAAAAAAGGAGAATAAACAAAAATTACTTTTAATGGTAAGAAAAGTAATTAATTGTTGTAATCAAAATAAATTGATTCCATTCTTGATTTGATGATATTTAGGTTAGTGTATTATGAATGTAATAGTTTGTGAGCAAGAGTTGATGATGATGATCAATAAAAATGAACAATATTGATTTTGGCTGAGTTATTATCGGTTAAATTGGTGTTGATTGTCATGTAATTTGATTGTAATCCAATAGTAAATTGTTGAAACTTACCTTTTATCAATTCTTATGTAGGGAATCAGGTAAAGTAAAACAGAAAACATCAAAAGTGGTAATATTATTTTACCCAAACGAAACGAGTCACTGGGAAGGTGATGATAATATAACCCACCGTGGGCATCGGTGGTTCCGTCAATGGTTACATGGTGATGACGATGATATCGTAAGTAATCACTGCCACCATTGGACGTTGATTTGGATGATGATGATTTAATTAACGGTCGAGTCATTTGGTGGTGGAGATTTTCAAGATTCTAGATGATTGAGTTGGACATACACTCGACCTACGATGATGGACTAGCGATTTGAATTGTCAACTAAAACGAAACATTTAGTTGATTGTAGTTATATTTTTTGGGTTTCTGGTAATGACAATTGAAACTAATGATGATAATTTCGATTAATTAATGGATGAGTTTTTTTCTTTAAGGTTAAACAGTTATCTTATTGATTGGATTTATGAGGATTTTTAGAGTTGATTTGATTTTTAAATATCGATCAATAATATTCATTTATATTATGATGATGATAATTGTTGGATTCTGATTAATCTTGTTGACAATTTAACTTTTTAGTGAAAATATTTCAAGATTGATTGGAAATTTTTTCCAATCAATTGAAATAATGTTATTGTTTCCCTTGATTCCAATTGATTATCAGTCATTATTGGTTTAGTTTGAGTAAAATCCACAAAGACAATTGACTTTGATCATTACAATTATCTGTAAAACGTTTAATTGTTGATAATAAATTCACTTAAATTCAATCATTAGCTGGACATTATTTAATTTCCTTTGAGAATGTCCTTTTGGGTGATAAACAAAAAATGGTTCAATGTTAATTGTTATTGGTTTTCAATGATCAGAAACACTAAGTAAATGATGTTGATATTTATGTTCCGGGTTTAAAGATAAACAATTGATTTGGGAATCTAATTGATCTAGAATGTTGTTGATGGTAAAGATTATGATTAGATAATAGATGATTAAGATAATTGTCACAATGGAGCACAAAAAGGATAAACAATCAAAGTGTAATGATACAAATTGTAACCATGTTTTGGTTTAGATTTGAAACTTGCTTCGAGTTTTTTTCTCTTCCTCTTCTAGAATATACATAGAGAGTAAGATGAATATTGGTAGAAAAACCTTTTCTCATCCTAAATATTGAGAGAGAGAGAGAGAGAGAGAATAGAATTTCAGTCTTTCTCTATCATCATCTTCTATTTTCATCCTCTTTCTTTCTTCTTCTTCTTCCAACAAAATCCATAGGAAAAGATTCAATTCCATGAGCATGACATTCACTCTTTGGTGCTGCCACCTCAAGAGTCGGTCCATAGGAATAGAGAATTGCTTTTACTTGATTTAATCGATAATTTTGATTGTCTATGGACTGGAAGAGGGAGAACCAACTAGGAAGAGAAAAAAGTTCTAATGATTAATAACGTAAATGAGTATCAATGAACAATGAATATCTATGTAATAATATTAATGTCACTTGGATAAACCTCATATTCATAGTGAAAGAAGGTAACAAAATGATATTAATAACATGGAGGGAAAAAAACTAATGAATTTACATGAGAATTGAGGTAATTAATTTAGTAACAGAGGAATAGAATTTTTTTCCTATGGTAATAATATAATGAGTGTTTTCATTCATAATTGTACTGGATTATTTTGTTAATTAACTTCTAAAAAGTAGTAACAATTTTTACTCTTTTAGTTTCATCCTAATTCTTGGACATGGTCAACTGGAAACATTAAAGTCCATGGGTATTGATGCTTCATTAACTTCATTGTAGATGATGATGATGATGATGAGAGGGATAAAAAGTCCAGAGATATTCAATTAAGTGTCTGAAATACATTAATGACCAAAGAAAGAGTAAAATGACATTAATTGGAAGTCGAAAACATTATATCTCTTTGATAATAATAATTTCTAAATGAAAGGTTTTCCGTTGAGTGACCATTTAGATTGATCTTGTTACAATTAGATGTTACCAAGAGATTTCCAGTGATTATCTTGATTGTTATTCTGATGGTCAAGTTGAACAACATGTTTGACCTTCACAAGACTGTGAAGTTGCTTGACAATATTTAACATAATTAGTTGATGATTCTGACGGTCCAGTGTCAATAGTAAATGGTTGGGACAAGAATTCGGGTTGGATTGTCGTTGAATGAACACCAGCATCGCAAAGGATATGCTTGATTTCCCTGATTGATGCGATATAATCAGCGGGTGTTGAAAAGATACAATGTAGACTGGCAATCGATACATCGCCCGATAATCTCCAAAGGTGAAATTCGTGAACCGATTCAACCAGAGGAAGATTAATGATACACTTTTTAATTGTTTCCACTTTAATATGTGAGGGAACAGTTTCCAGTAAGATTAGAATTGATTCTCGAAGTAATCGCCAAGCCGATGTTAATAAAATTAGAGCGGGTACAAAGCTCAACACTGGATCAATAAAGATAATCCAATCATAATTTAGAGTTAAATTAATTACAGTTGAGATGATAACCAAAAGAGATGAGAAAAGATCAGCCAACAAATGAAGAGCTGCTCCTCTCAGGTTCATTTCAGTCGATTTGGAGATTGATTTTCGATCTTTTTTGGACACTTTCGATTTAGAAAAATGTCCAATGATTAACTGTTAATATAGAAAAGAAAGTTATGATTAGATGATTGAGGATTAAGGATAACGAATGGTCTGTGATTACCTTTAGTGGATTGAGATCATAGAGTAAACAAAATCCAAATAGATTGAATATAAATCCTCCTGATCCAACAATTAGAACTAACTTGACTTCCGTTATTTTGACTGATTCGTTGATCGCATTGATTGAATCGGACAAAATTTCACCGGCCAAGGTGAACAATAGAAGTGAATTAATTAGAGCACCAAGAATTTCACTTCGAGCCCAACCAAAGGTCGATTTAGACCAAGATCGAGACGCGAAGATATGTCCAATCAAAGCGACGATCAGAGCAGCTAAATCGGCTAGCATGTGATAACCATCGGCTTGCAGGGTTACCGAACTGTAGATCCAGCCGACAATTAACTCGATTAATCCATAAATCAGGGTGGAAATAATCAGTGTATACAATTTAATAGTAACATTATCCCATTTAAATACATTTACCATTGGGAGGATGTTGATTAACCCAACAGATTCATTAGATTTTCAAAGACAAATTGCAAAAATGGACAACAATTAGCAGTTAAATTGATCAAATTTGGAGGGAAAATAATTTACTGAAAGGTCAGAAAGTAATACTGAAGAGTCTAGAAGTTTGATTTAGTTAATTGTATCGAGGAAAATAAGGAAAAAACAAATAGATAGGTTAATTGTTGATTAGATTTTTTTCGTCTCTAATCATTAAGAGGATTCTAATCAATGATTTAGACAGTGGATTAAACAAAAAGAAACGATTAACAAAATCTTTTTGTTTTATTTGTAAATTTATCAAAAATTATGTTACTTTTGTACATGAAAAGATTACAGGTCAAAGGTTACAGGTTAATTTTTAAGATTAACTAATTAATTAACTCTGATTGTCGGAATCAATGATAATTATATCAATTTGATTAGTCAGTTAAACAAAATAAGCTGATATTAGGCAGATAATGGTAGTGAGTTTTTCTCGAGTGAAAGCAATTTAGATACTAATTGTCAACAATTAAGGTTTTTTTTTCAAGAAACAAAAAGATATGAAATATTAGGCAAATGGTTCAATCGATCCATGGATAGATTGTCAAAGGTTAATTGTTAGTTTGGCTGGAAAAAGCTTCTTTATGATTTGTTATTTGGTTGAAAATGGTTGGGTAAATGTTGGAGTTAAATTGTTGAGAACGTTGATTAACCTTTTATGAGAAATTTAGCCTGAAGGGATAAATGATCTGATCCGATGAAAAGATTGGGTAGACATCCGATTCGAGCCATTTGTTCACTATTTAATAATCGAGTGTATCCCAGTAACTCTAAGCTATCAGATCTATTGTAGAAAATATAATCAACCATACAAGATCCAGTTCCATGGTGAGTTGTGATGAATGGTAAATTATTCACATCGGTGGCTGGATAAACTGATGAGAATTTGAAATTATGCTTAATTAATTGTGAATTTTGATCAGTTCTCTCATCGATATCGTTAGTTTTAAGAAAATCTTTTCTCGTATATTTCTCGTTTTTTGATTTTACGGTATTATTATCCCTCCAATTATCTTTCCTTCCATTGTTTACATTTGATTGTTTCTCATTTTGATTAGATACATATCGAGTTAAGTGATTAATTCCTTCCAGTTTCAGGTCAGAGGGTCGAAAAAGTTTTCCATGTCCAGTACCTTCTAACTGGCCAGATAAATCTCCACATTGGTAGCCCGATGTATCAAGTGAACCGGTGGTAATGAAATTATACAAAGGTGAATATGGAACTGAATTCATGTCCCCACAAAGTATTACATTGGTTTTGTATTTTCCCGTTTCATTAAATGAATTAATCAGTTGATCCAATTCAGCTAAAAGTAATCGTAGTTGAGCTAATTTAACATCACCACGGGAAGGATTGAAAAGAAGGTGAGTTGTTGCAACAATTAATCGATTAGAATCTAAACCATTGGTTCCATTAGATGATTGGATAAGAGGCTTGAGAACACCAATTATTGCGATATTATCTCTATTTAGAAGGCTGGTTAAATCACATCGATAAAATTCCAATTCAATTTTATCCAATAAAGTGAATTTCGAGGTTTTGTAAAAAAAAGCGCATCCATCATACATGGAACCAGTTCTTTTCTTATAGATACCAGAATAACCTAAACTGGTGAAAAAGGGTTTATAAAATTGACCATGATGACCATAGTTAACTTCTTGAAGACAAACAATATCGGGATTCGAGTCACTTAATTCACGGGCTAATCTGTCTCTTCGTAAAGGCCAATCAAGGGAACCTCTTGGACAATTGACATACATCTCGGTGTGTCGAGCAATTAGATCTTGGGAGAGACAATTAAACGTCATTAAGGAAAATTCAAATTGTCCATTGGTACTTTTAGATTGATCTCTTTTTAATCTTGAATTTGTCCCATTGTTTACTCGTTCATCTTTACTCTTGAGATTATCCTTTTGTCTTATCCTTCCTGAATTGGTATAACACCAGGGGCGATTAATATTATAATAATCTTGTAACATGTCAGATGAGAAGCACTTTTTTATCAATAGTAAAATCCTATGTGGCACTTTTAACATTCAGATAGTGAATGTAAATTAATTGGAACACAAGAGAAGTGATTTTATATATTTAGTAGAGGAGAAACAAAAATATCAATTCTCTCAGCTGGTTCCCTCCTTTTCATAGATAAATTTCCAATCAATAGATAATCAACCAATGAGATTAGAATTCAAGAGACTTTGGACAATTAGATTTGATCTTCTTCTACTCCTCCAATGCTACAAAACAAAACAAAAAAAGATTCACAAAAATAACAAACACATGAGAAAAACAATTGGAAAGCAAAAAAAAGATAGAAAATTTTTCTCTTCTAAATTTAGACTTACCTTTACTTGGTTGATAATGTAAACCAAATTAAACAATTAAGATGATATAGATTGTGTCAAGATTCAATTTGATTCTAAAAAGAGATTGAAAAAAGAAACAAAATTTAAATTAATTGGAGTAAAAATGATCTTCAATCATGAGAAATTGGTTGTTGTTGTTGTTTTAGGAAAACCAATGGATCAAAATGAAAAATTTACCAATCAGGCCAAACTATTGAGTAACTGGTTCTTTTTGTTGTCAACTGATGATTAACAATCCAATTAGAAGTAAATCAAAATTACCAAGCGGTTAATTTAGCACTTGGAATGATCGGAAATTAATCACAATTAGAAAATGAATGTAACAACAATCCAGAAGTAACCGGCTGATGATGAGAGTCTTTATCTTCCTATAAATGGATCATGTAATTTTCGTCTCTCTTTCTTTGCTCTCTGTCTTTTTTTCCCCGAGGTCTTTGTCTTTTTGGGTTAATCCAATTGTGATGTGTTTAATTGTTTATCCAAATCAATCAAATGTCATGTAAACATTAATGATGGAAAAATTTTGCGACAACATTGCACATGAAACCATTTTGTTTTCAATCCAATTGAAGACACAAATATGATAACTGATGATGAGGTTTTATGTTTTAATCGTCATCATTTGTTTTCTTATAATCATAAATATCAATTATGATTTATTATTAATTAGAGGATTATTCACATTTACACACATCATTCTTGATCATTTTGTGTCAGGTTGATCAAGTGATTAAGATTGATAGTTAGTTGGTTCTTTTGCTTTTCTTTGTTCAATTCGGTTTTGTTATTATTACATTTCTCCACATTGAGATACCGTCACTTGAAGTTTAGGTTTATTGTTTGGACCTATGGGGACATTTTCTATCTTTCTCATGACCAAAAGTCCGTCAACTATACGGCCAAAGACAACATGTTTACCGTCCAGAAATTTACATGGAGCACAGGTAATGAAAAATTGGCAGCCATTTGTATCTTTACCAGAATTTGCCATGGAAAGTAAACCAGGGGAATCATGAGAAAGGTCAAAATTTTCATCTTGAAATCGACCACCATAAGTACTCATCAGTCCAGTTCCATCTCCGTTAACAAAATCACCACCTTGAATCATAAAATCTTTAATTACTCTGTAAAAAAAAGGAAATTAATTTAGATCTAATTGAAAAACGAAAAGAAAAACTAACCTATGGAAAGTGCAACCTTTATATCCAATTGGAATTCCGTCTTTCTTAAATTCGCCGGTACAAAATTGTCTGAACACAGGGAAGAAACACAATTAAATGAAGTTAATTTAAAATTAAAATGAATGAAAATTCAACAATTTACCTGAAATTTTCCGCAGTTTTAGGAACAACATCAGCAAAAAGTTCAAATTTAATTCTTCCAACCTCAGTGTTACCAATGGAAATGTCAAAAAAGACAACAGGATTATTAGAATTTCTCAATTGTGATTGAATTTGACTCCAAGAAGACATAATTAAACAACTCAACTGAACCAGGGAACGATTAAGTGGACAAAAGAAACAAGAAACTATTGTCAACAATTAAAAACAATTAACTAAATTGACCGAAAACAAAGTAAACAAATTCAACTGAACCGCTCAAAGAATCACATTGATCTTTATGCCTCTTGAGGGAGGAAAAAGTATTAAAAGTTAACAAGGCGCAAAACTTGAATTCGGATTCGATGGTCACAATTATCGTCCAAGTGGAAATTGTTTCTCGAAGTGTTCATACATTTATCGAGAACAGTGATACATATAAACTTGAAGATTTTGTTTCGATTTGAGTCTCAAAATTGTCCATCGATTGGCAAAAGGAAAGATTCGAGTCGAAACTAAAAGTTTACATGTTTATACTTGTTCTTGTTATGAGAATAAGAGATGTCACTATGGAGATCGATTTAGAACTTTGTTCTAAGTCGAAAATGATTCGTTGAGAAGAGTAACAAAAAGTATGGCGAAAAGTTTATCTTATTCGTTATTCAGTTCTCAGAATCTGATCATCCTCATTCATTTCCATTATTCTTTGTGATCATCGTCACAATCAAATGGGTGAAACAGAGTTAATTTTAATTGTTCAACTCAAAAATTTACTGGATTTATAATGTTAACCAAAGTGATTGGATTAATTGAATCAACAATTTGTAGTGATTTAAGTGATTTAACCAAATTAACAAATGGATACTAATGTTGTTTGTTTTTTTCTTTAACTAAATTAGTTGATTTTGTCACAATTAACTTAGTCATCAACCATCATCAGTATATCATAATTACAATAATCTTCATCAATCATTGATTAGTGTTTAATTTTTACAATTAATTTCGATTGATTGAAAAACTTTTTTTCCTCTCAAAAATTACCATTCATTAAACTTTTATTTACTTTCAATTGTTCATCATCAGTAATAATTAACATTGATTGTTGATTGTTCAAAGTTAATTGAAAATGTTGATTCGATCGGAAATCAATTTTTTCCTAATGATTAACAAATTGTTCCAAGTAGCTTCTATCTTATTAATAATTGGTGATGTTAATTTGGTTAAAAGTGTTTCCGGAGTTCCTAGAGTAGTTAAAATAGGTAAGTCAACAATTAACAATTAACATAAACAATTAGCTGTCAATTCAATTGTCTGAACAATTAAATCGTGCCAACTTTCAACTCGAAACAAATTGAAAAAGTTTTTTTTTTCCTTCAATTTTGTGTTAATATTTTTTACTTTCCAACCAATTAAATTTAATTACCATGAAATTTAATTTGATTAACAAAAATACCAGAAGTATGAAATTTGATGATAACAATTACCAAAGTAAATTCAATTGTAATTGTTAATGGCGATGGTTAATTGTAATATATTAATAAATATAGTCTTCTAATTAACTTTCAAGTAAAAATCATCATCTTATATTTGATATTAAATTGTCACTGGTTGAACAATTAACCGAAACAATTAATTTCACTGTTCAATAGAATTGATTAATAACCTTAATAGCATCAGCGGAGAAATAATATATTTAACCATGATTAAGTTAATTCAGTTCCATAGATTCAAGTTAATGAGTCAAAAGTAGTAAGAAAAAAAAAATGAAACAAAAGCTGAAAAACTTTTCGTGTAGTTGATTAAATGTAATAATATAAATCAACCACCCACCGGTGGGTATCTTCAGTAATTAATATCCACCTAGATGATTAGATTAGCTGATTGAGTAAGTTAATCAAATGAACAGCAAATAATCATAATCAAGGAGATATAAATTAATGTTGAGTCTTTGGGGGTTGACTGTGAATAGATTTGAATGTCAATGAATTTCAAATGAACAACATTTTTATGACAATGAAATTTAGTTACTATTAATGATATTGAGAAATTCAATTCAACTCATTTGAAATTGATTTAGGATGATGATCATGATGATCATGTTGGTGGTAGTGAATTCAATGTTAAATTGTTATTGGTTTAATAATAACAATAGAGTTTAAAAGGAGGAAAAAAAATGCTTCCATGTTTAATTTTCCGGTTTCAGAATCAGAATCAGAATCAGAACCAGAATGTGAATCCTTTCAATGACAATTGTATTTATTATTAACATTATTATGTGAAAGACTTTATCTGTCATTCATTCAGAATTTCAAACCATGAGGATGATGAACAAGGATGAATGAATGAAGAGAGAGAGAGAGAGAGAGAGAGAGAGAGAGAGAGAGAGAGATTTTCATGTGAACATCATTTCCATCGATAGAAAGTTAATCGAAACCATCGATTACATGATCTTTTTTATTCTCATCTTCATCTTTCTCATCTTCTTTTCATTTTGACATGATCATCATTCTTATTAGAGTAAAGGTGAAGAAAATGAAAGGATGATGATGACAAAATGTATTATATCATCCAAATGATGACGGATAAGATAGAGTAAGAGATAGAGAGAGAGAGAGAGGATGAATATTAGGAAATGAAAATAATGAGATGATAAAATCCTATCTGACTGTAATCACTTTCTTATTAAGGATTAAAGATAAAGGATGAGGATGATTTGGATCAGTATGATAAAGATAATGATGAAAATATTTGAGATATGCAAAAGTCTGTTGATCAAAATCCTTCTCATGATAATGAAATCTCATCCCCATCAATATACTAGTATCACCTTCACCTTTACCTGATCAAAAGCATCACTTTCATCATTCACATTTCCATCTTCATCTTAGTCAAACTTTACCTGATCATCAACATGAAAATCACCTTCACCTTCATCTTTATTTGAATTTTTTTTCGAAAACAAATTTTCCTCAAACCATTTTTTTCTATTTGTTTTCTATCTTCACATTATCATGATTCTATCACAATCTTTTCTTTTTGCATCCTCATCCTCTTCCTCTTCGTGTGTATTTCCTTTTCTCATCCTTATCTTCAACTTACTTATCTTCATGGGAGAAGAAGAAAAAAAAATTCTGTGATCTATTGATGCAGAAACAAAGGGAACATGAAAAAAAAGGTAACCAAAAGCTGAAGAAACTTTTTCTTTCTTTCTCATCTTTTCCTCTGATTTTCTCATCATCATCTTCATGGAATCATTCATTTCTTATCATCCTCATCTTACATTATTATTATACTTTAATGTTTTCGTGACTCAATATCTTAGACTGACCCTAACAAACTGAATTTATACCTTTTATCATGAGATTCATTGAGAATCCAATTTTTTTCCTGTATAACATTTACACTCACCTAAATTCAAACAAACAAATCAAATCAAATAATAAGAAACCAACAGTAAATCAGTAAATCAGTTAATTATTTTACTTATTTTAATTCAAACACACAAGAAAACTGAATCATCCTCATCCCTTAATCATCACAATTCAACCATTAACTTTCCAATAACAACCAATCAACTATCAGGTTCATTTAATGTCAAGTATTATTATCAATTCAAGTAAAACCATTTAATCAGATTATTACCTTAATAACAATCAGTGATAATAATAATAATCAACCTTAATAGGATAAAGCTAAATTGTTGACGGAAAATCCATCATAATAACAATCAATTGTAAACCTACGGCAATAGTAACAAAGATGACATTAGATTAACTATTAGAATTGGAAAGAAACAAAAAGTATCAATGAAACCCAATCACAATCATAATTAATTAACTGATTAACAAAGTTATCCTTTAGATAGTTAATCGTAATTCACCAATTAACTGGGATAGTCAAAAGATTACAACAATTTGGAAAACTTTTGTTTTTCTATTATCAATTTTCAGGATGAAAACGAAACTTTTGAAAACTTTGATTGATCATCAAAAATTCATCACTTTGAGTTCGTAAAAATGATTCGATATCACGAACTTTCAAATTAAGACAAACTCTTAACTAAATCGTTCTGACGAACAACTTTTTTGGACTTTCCATTCATAAGAAATTGATTACAACGATTCGCTGTTGAATAGTTAATTGTGCTTCTCATGTTGAACTGAATCAACGTCAGTAACACTATTGATTGTAATGATCATGATTACCCTTGTATTAGTTGATTAACTAATTATATTATCTACTAAACCTTTTTGGTTGATAATACAACTTGTTATATGATGATGATGATGATGATCAAGACTCATTAACAAGATACAATTATTGAGCTAATGTTGCCAATTTCTAGTTAAGGGATAAAAAAATGCTTCAACAAATGAAGACAATCAATTAATTGTTGACAAGAAGTTTTTGTTTTTTTTACCATTCTCTTTCATTTTATCATCATTTTCTAGTATTATTATAATAATGATGATGGAGAGGATTTGAAGATGAAGATACATGATAAACATGGTAACTGAAATTCAAGATTTCTGGATATCCGACTCTTGGATAATCTTTGTCATCATCATCATCATCATCTTGATTGTTGTCATCACTTGTCTTCATTGGGATCCATCTCATTTGTCTCAATTACCATTGTCAACAACTGAATAGATTCAATTAAGATAATCAATGAATTGATTTCAAGTGAAATTCAATTGAATTGTTATCTTTATCATGCTCCTTTTCATATGAACAATTCAGCTCCTTGAATATACATAATAAGGATAATTTGTCTTCTTCATCCTTTTAATCAGCTTTTTTTTTGCATCTCTCATCATCAAGGTGATGATGATCATCTTGATTATCATTGTAATTAACCCATGATCATTATCACGATGAAATCAAAGGAAAACTTGTATTGGATGAAACTTTGTCTGTTCTGTGAGTAAATTTAAATTTGATCAACGCTAATTAGATTTTAATTTCCAGTGTTACCATGATAATCAATTATCATAATCAAGCTAATTACCATTATGATATGTTAATTATATCCATGAGGTTGAATAATGATCATTTTGTGTCAATGAATAATTGGAAACAAATTTTTATAAGAATAGATTAAAATTATCATTCAAATTCAGATCATGGAGATAAATCAAGTTTCATCCTTGATGATATGAATCTAATTCTGTCAATAAAATTGTTGAAAACTTTTTTCTCCCTTTTTACTGAGATTCCCATCTACAGGGTAATCCTGACATGTTCATGATAGTTAATCATCATTCAGATTTCATGTGATAGAACCAGAAGAAAATTTTTACCTGATTCTTATGCAAGAGAAAAAAGTTGAGTTCTGAATTTTGGTTAACATTTTTTTCCCGTCATTGAATTGTTCTGACATTAACATGACATATTATTATCATGAGAACCAGTGAGATATCTTTCAACTTGAATTTCTTAAAGAAAAAAGTTCTAATCGATTCTGAATAACCATTTCAATCTCTCTCGATACAAACCGTGAGAAAAGTATCAAAATCCAAAATTCTAACACCAAAATCATAGGAAAAATTATCATGTAATCAGAATCAGTAAGAATCTCAACAGATTAGCCAAGGAAATTAATGAATACACAATTTATTCATCATCAATGTTAAGAGATAAGTCTGATATTCATATGGCTGAGATGGTTTCATTCAGTGTCCTCTGAACTTTTCATGAGAAGAATGAAAAAAAAACTTTATCCCATTAAATATAATAATATCTGGATATTAATATTATTACATCCAAGTCTTAGCTTCTAGTATGTAATACATTGAATGCTCAATGTTAGTCTGATATTGTTACTGTATAACCAATAAAGTGGATCCTTGATTTGATATAATGTTTATATTTGGGATATTATTACATGTAATACCTTTATCTAATACTTGAAGATAAGTGTAATAATATTAACAGAGGAAAAGATGATAAAAAAATATCGCGTGTTCAATCATCAAGATTATCTTCATCATCTTCTCAGAACAAGATGGAGAAGAAGAGTTTTTTTTCCTTGTTCATGAAAGAGTCTCGAAAATTAATAGATAGAAAACAGAAGAAGAAGAAGAGCAAAAAAGTTCTATGGATAAACAAAAGGAGATAAAATTCTGAATCCTGATAATGAATAAATCTCTTCATTCAACTTTCTCATGATTCTGTCTTGATGTAATAATCATCTTCAGTAACCATTGAAGAGAAAGAAATTTTTTTTTCGTCCTAAATGTTTCCCCCTTTCCTCCAT